CTATGAAATTCCAATTTGGCTGAAGTCAAAACAGAAATACGAAAATCAGGAAGAAGCAGCACCAAAAAATGCCAACCACAATTATCTGAAAAATAAAAAAAATAATAATAAGAGAGAAACAGTCAACACAACGTGGGCGAAATGAAGCCAATTGAGTGAAAAGAAAAGAGGGGAAAGTGGGGTGGAGGGGGAAGTGGGGGGAGTACAGTGGGACACTTGGACTGTTCGAGCGATCTTCATCATCATGGAAGTCATCTTGATGGGATGGCCAATTTGTGCGGCGCTGATTCATCAGCCGGAGAAACAAATTTATTCGGTTATCTAAGTACACACAATTAAAATTCATTAAAATATTTCCATTTCCATCATAAATTTTCATCAACGAATATTAGTGTTTTTTTTTTTGGCTTTTCATTGTTGTTTCTTTACTCTAAGCAAATGGCTTCTATGACTTTTTAGCATTACTTAAAGCTTGTCAAGTCAGTAAATATTATTTATTTGCATTTTTATGAAATGTTGGTATTGCTATTTGTTAAGGTGGCAGTTTTAGTTGGGTCTCTCTAGTTTCAATACTTTGCTCTACTCAATATTACAAATAAATTCATGATAGGGTATTAAGTCTTTGGTTCACCCCCTCCTATTTGTTATTAAATATGATGTTTGTCCAAATGATGAGCTCATGTTTCGCGGGGCGTTTTTCGGGACTAAAACTGCTAATTGTCAGACATGTAGACATGTGAACATGTGGCACCAGGCCCCGCATCCAAACACTAACATTTGGATTTGCCACGCCCCGAATTATCGGGTCAGGGGCACCACTCCCCGCTCCCCGCTTCCCGCAAGATAAGAGTTCGCTCCCAAAAAGAGTTCACGGTGCGTTGTGTGGCCCGTTTATGATAAGTGGTCAGTGGGTAGATTCCATCTCCATCGCCATTATATATGGGGCCCATAATTATAATTGCCGATATGTGCGTGTGAGTCTGTGCCCTAATTGCCCGCGTCGATGATGGAAATGTGTGGAATGCCAGGGCACGGAATGGGAGCAGTAGCCGAGTGGGAGCTGTAATCTGAATGGGTTGTCAGCGATAAGGGAACGAGTTGGGCAGATGATGAGATGCCCAGCATCGACTGGAATAGCCTTAAGAAGGTTTCATCACAGCGGGGATTGTCGAATCAAAAATGCATTGAACTGAACTGGAGGTTCCCAAGGAACTAACTTGATAACCCAATAAGGGATCACTTTGTCTTGGAAAACTTGAAGTGAATAAAACCCATGACCACGAATGGGGGCTTCTCATCCGCTGTGACCCAAATCCACTGACTGGAAATTGAACTGACGTGTCAATTTAGTGCGTACGAGTCCACTTGATACACGGCCACTTCCGAGTTAGATTAGCCGGGTCCGGGTTTGGCTTTCCCAAAAGAGTTGCTCGCCGGAGTGAGTGCTCCGTAATTAGTTCGCTTTGATGGCAGTTTAAATATTCATTCGTAATCTGTCCGCCTCTTCGTCTGCCATTGTGTGCTCCAAAAGTGTTGCCCACATCACATCACATCGCAGACACGTAGAGTATTCATTGAAACACGCATATATGTATGTGAATTTATATATATAAATTATATAGTGGCCTCGACACATACCGAACCGAGATATAGCCCCTGCACTAGACGAATTCACATGTATTTATTAGTATGGCGGTGCAGTGCGTTTCAAAACCGTATGACAAGTGGCCAGAACTTCGAATGAATTTAGATTAATAACTTCACTGTAGATGTTTTAAATGAATATGTGTAATTTCAGATCAAAGCTGGGCTATCAAGTATCTTTATATATGTGAAATCAGTTTAGAGATTGTATAATCATAAAGTTACAATTAAAGTCAAGTGTCATTTAGATTAATTTGATTAACGTTTGTGAAGCTTTTCCCTTAATTTGTATTAGCTGTTGTATGGTCATGACGCACACTGTATGTGTGGATATATCCGTTTACCTGACGCAAAGCCCCCTCCCCCCCTCTGCACCCCTCTGCACCACCATAATCAACACCCCCCCGCGTGTTGTCACGAACAATTTATGCGATCTGCACATTTCGCACATTTCTCATCTTTTCGGCTTTTATTTTCCACTTGCTTTTGTTTTTCTTTTTCATTTGGCTTCTGTTTTTGTTTCTTCTTTTATTTTTCTGTTTTAATTTTCCAAGAGTTGCAAACGCAAAAATTCCTCACCATGCATCGTTGTAATTGTTGCAGTTTTATTTTTTATATTTAAGCACAAAATTCCAGCGAAAAATTAAATTTATGGGGGTTTGGCTGGGGGAAATGGGGGGAGGGCTCCATAAAAATGATGAGCGGAATTTAAAAATACATTTCCATTGTTGTCATAAAATATACTTGTTCTTTTTGTGCAAAATGTTGCTGTACAACGGAGTGACGTACGGAAGTTCGTTTTGCGCAAAATCAAAGAATGAAATGTGTCTCAATTTGGATGGCTGTTTGACACACATTTTAAATTGAATTTTATATTATTTGCTATTCAAACCTCTTGATTGATAAATTCATACATTTTTGACTCGACCTATAAATGGCAATGCAATCATTACACTCTGACTGTTCTTTGGCAAGATTTCCCTTTACACATTTTCATCAGAGTGTAGGTAACATAGAAGTACAATAAATCCCCCATTCAGGTGACTCATCTTCAACTAATCAGCAAAGTGCAGTCAATTGGTTGGCAATGTAGAGCATGAATAATTATGGGGAAAATCCACTGAGAAGCGGAGGCCAAATAGGGACTGTTGGGCTGACAAGGGGCAATTAAATGATTGGCAATGATCATGAAATTTGATAGCAAATGTGCCAGCAAACTCGAAACAGACAAATTGTCTGACTGACAACTCCTCTGGCAATTTATGTGGGCCCATTGCCAAAGGCCAAGGCAATCGAAGGGGGAAACGTGAAGATTACAGTGAAATATCTGCAGAACGAACTGCGAGAAAAATGATAAAAACTGATACTATAACATAATTGAGTATGTACTCTGATTTTGTTATTGAACCCAATTGAACTATGTTCTTTATCTTTGGCTGAGCCCAAGTCCAAGTTATCGAAGTGCGACTTCATGTTCACACGAAACTTCCCCATTGACACTTGCCACTTTAATCCAAGATGCAACTGCAACTGCAACTGCATCTGCTTCTGCCTCATTATCTGCGGGAATGATGTGCGTGATTGCCGCGGGGCAATTTGTCAGTTGCTTAGGCCTCCGCTGAAAAGCGGGCAGCACTCGGCAGTTTCTTGTGCCAGTTCCTTGCCACATGCAACCCAATAAGTGCGACCACTCGAGTTTTGTGGGTGGCGACAAGAGCACAGAGCACGGAGCACTTCTCTGTCCAAATCGGCATTTTCCGGGGCGGAGGGGCTGGAAAACGGTGGCGACGAGGTGCCAAGGGCTGTGCAAAGAATGGGGCGCTGATGAAAGAAAAAACTCATTACTGCCTGCCAGGGCACTCCAATAAATGGCGTTCCTTTCACTTGCAACGCACATAGGCCTTTAAGAAAGCCTTGAGCCCACGACTTACAGTGGCCTTTTTCTGGGCAGTAGAGTTGGTTGAAATGCAGTAAAGCAAACTATACCGAAATAAGTACAGAAAGTTGTCCAAGTTTGGAAACATTTTACAAATCATAGAAATGTGAAAAAAATTGACCCAAAAATACAAATCAAGCTTTGAAAAAATTTTTTTTAGAGAATTAAACCACTATCATTTTAAGGTATGCCACTTTGAAATCGGATGTCCGTAACAAAAGTTATGGGCTAAGAAGTGCAGGTTTTAGGTCACTTTTCTGCAAGCCCATTTTTCGAAAATTTGGAACGGGGTTACATTGCTTAAAATGATGAAAAATCGATCCAAAAAAAAAAAGTAAACTAAAAACACAGATTTTTAGGGAATGAAACCGCAATCATTTTAAGGAATGCCACTTTGAAATCGGATGTCCGTAACAAAAGTTATGGGCAAAGAAGTGCAGGTTTTAGGTCACTTTTCTGCAAACCCATTTTTTGAAAATTTCGAAATGGGTTAATTGCTTAAAATGATGAAAAATCGACCCAAAAACAAAAAAAAAACTGGAAACACAGTTTTTTAGAGAATGAAACCACAAGCATTTTAAGGTATGCCACTTTGAAATCGGATGTCCGTAACAAAAGTTATGGGCAAAGAAGTGCAGGTTATAGGTCACTTTTCTGCAAACCCATTTTTTGAAAATTTGGAAGGGGGTTACATTGCTTAAAATGATGAAAAATCGACCCAAAACCAAAAAAAACTGGAAAAACCATTTTTTTAGAGAATGAATCCACAATCATTTTAAAGTATGCCACTTTGAAATCGGATGTCCGTAACAAAAGTTATGGGCTAAGAAGTGCAGGTTTTAGGTCACTTTTCTGCAAGCCCATTTTTCGAAAATTTGGAAAGGGGTTACATTGCTTAAAATGATGAAAAATCGACCAAAAAACAAAAAAAAAACTGGAAACACAGTTTTTTAGAGAATGAAACCACAATCATTTTAAAGTATGCCACTTTGAAATCGAATGTCCGTAACAAAAGTTATGGGCTAAGAAGTGCAGGTTTTAGGTCACTTTTCTGCAAGCCCATTTTTCTAAAATTTGGAAAGGGGTTACATTGCTTAAAATGATGAAAAATCGACCCAAAAAGTTTTTTAGAGAGTTAACCCACAATCATTTTAAAGTATGCTACTTTGAAATCGGATGTCTGTGAGAAAAGTTATGGCGTTAAAAGTTCATGTTTGGGTCACTTTTCAGAAGAAGAATTTTTCGAAAATCAGGAAAGCAATTAGGAAATTTTCTGATAAATTTTCGGTCGTTTCTATGGCAGCTAAATAATATAGTCGTTCTATTTTTATAAAAGTAAAAGCGTAACTCTGAATACGTTTAAAATGTGTTTTGCCATAAGTACTCTCTAAAACGGCTCCTCTCTGCCTTGCAATTCCAGAATGTGGTGGACCATCACAGGCAACTTCGGCAACATTCTGCCCATCGACTGGTCCAAGTCGTACACCCGTCAGATGCACATGCCCACTCTGAACCTGGGCCAGAGCCAGAGCCACACGAAGCAGCAGCAGCAGGCGCGCAACCAGCAGCAGCAGCTGCACCACCAGAGCCACCAGGCGTATCCACAGAGTAATGGGTCCGGATCGGGACTGGATGCCCAGACGCCGGGCGACGAGTTCAACGACCTGACCAGCGAGGACGAGGCGGTGGCCAACGACCTGGACATGCACGCCCTGATCCTCAACGGGCTGAACGGCGACCTGGACGACCAGCCGATCAAGACGGTGGAGGAGGTGATCAAGGAGATCGACGACATCATGGACGAGGCCGAGAGCCCGCTGGACGAGCCGGAGACCTGCGACTCGGAGGTCATCGAGAAGGCGCGTGAGGTCCTGGGAGCGCCCCTTTATGCGGAAAGTAAGTCGCTTCAATATACTATATACTACAGACCTTACTGACATTGCATATTCCGAATTGACATTCCAGAACTGCAATATCTGACCACGACACAGCTGAACGAGCTGTACATGGAGATGGAGGTGCTCATCCAGGAGCTGAGCGAGACGCTCATCAACGAGCTGGCCCTGCGCGATGAGCTGGAGTTCGAGAAGGAGCTGAAGAACTCCTTCATCTCGCTGCTCCTGGCCGTGCAGAACAAGCGGCGACAGTACCATGTGGAGAAGAAGCGCGGCAAGTTCCAGGGTGAGTTTCGCCATCCCAAAAGTTCTAAGGTTGATCCCCACCTAATGTGTCCCATCAATATCCGCAGGTCCCGAACCCAAGTACTTGACCACCGTCATTCCGTATCACCTGGAGAACGGCACGCCCAACAATCAGTCCCTGCAGGTCCTGATCAAGAGTGAGTATTTATATTATTGGATTGACATTCTCTAGACCCTCTAATCCTCCGATTCCCTCCATCTCTTGCAGTTCTCAAGGCCATCAACGAGGACAGCCCCACGGTGCCGGCCCTCCTCACGGACTACATCCTGAAGGTGCTCTGCCCAACATAAGCGCCCTGGGACTTGGACCCCCAGCTATCGCTCTATCTCTCTGTCTGTGTTTATACAATTATACCGTGCATCTATATACAACTTGCATATACACACACAAACACCACACATAATTTAATGATTAGTTTGTACTTTAAATTATTGTTTAAATGCAATCTGTGTACTCAGGCGAAACAATTGTTTGCATTGAGCAGGAGAAGATTTCCACATGATCGGGAGAGTGCCAGGAATGTCTGGGGAATTGGGATCGAATCTTTGGGTGACTAAAAGATCCACTCTTAGTCACCGAAAATTGAGTTCTCCAATCCCTTCCTTGAACGATCCCCGATAGAACAAAAATATGCAACAAAATATACATGTAATTCATATATAGACACATATATATATCTAACAAAATATTTACGGAGAGTGCTACAAGAAATAAGCCAGTCCTCCCATGGCAATAATACTCACTCCTCCTTCTCCCAAAAAGGTCGAAGAAGTTATTTATACTAAAGAGCATTCGTATTGTTATAGAGCAGACTCCAACTAAGCTTAAAATTGATATGATAAATGCATCTGAAGCCAGTTGCAGTGCCCCTGTAACCGGAAAAGCTTGATATACTTCATCTATATGTGTAATATCCAGATCGGAAACCATTCGCTGCTTGCACTATGTTCGCCCAGCTTTCTGCAATCGAACGATCGGGCTATCTGAGTGTTCGGCTGCCAATCCCTAGTTTGTACAATAAGTAACTTGTATGTAATATATTGTGTAACTTGATTGTAAGAGGCGCAAGGCCTGTATGTCCCTGGAAAATCCGCCGTTTCCAACTGTGTTCCGAGTGCAATTTGAGACGGGCATTAGAATCAGAATCAGAGTCAGTTGAAGAAATTGATTTCGCTTCGCTTTAAGTTTTACTATACCTAATTTACTCATTTTTATTGTTTTCGAGGCCATACAACGCGTTCTGTTTTGTTCAAAACAATTGTTTAATGTAAATGAAGGAAACACAAATTTAATTTTAATTTGCATAAAAAACGCTGTGTTATTTACTTTTACCAAACAAGCATATATACAATTAATAATAACTAAAGAAAAAATAAAAGAAAAAAATAGCTAAAAATCAGTCAGGCGCACAGTGCTCTTCTTTTTATTATGACTACCAATAAAACGATCTAATTCTTTACATTTTAAGCTACCAGTCACACTAACAAAGCAAACGTAAAACGATAAACGATAAAAGAATAAGGAGGATTAAAAGTATAGCATATATAAAGTTGCATCGAGTCAAGTCCAAAAGAACCACTCTTACATACATATATCATGTTTCACATCTCACACGTCAAAAGTTAGAGGAAAAAGGAAAATGGAAAATGGAGCTGAGAGCGGAAGGAAGTCGAAAATTGCAGCCCATTCGATCAGCTCTTCGAAAGGAAGATAATTGAATCACATCTAATGCAAATCTTAGGTACCTTTGTTAGAAAACGATATGCAAGACATACCCAAAAATGGAAAACCTATATGAAAGACAAAAAACACACTCTCACGAGAAACGCATAAATGTTTACGACTCCATATACAAATTATAAATGTATATCAAATATGGTCGCGCTTTATAAATCAAATGAAAACGTATTTACTAAAACGCAAAAATTTAACTGAAATATGACTTTTTTAGGTCTCTGCAAAGTAAAGCAAACAAAAAACAAAAACAAAGGCTATATAAATCATATAATATGATACAAAATTAAGAAAGAATCCCTTAATTGTACGTGTATTTGTAAATTATTTAAAGAGTCCATGTTAAAGTCGAACGAAAAACCAAGAAATGACAGCCTAGAATGGAAATTATATTTATTTGATAAATTAGTAAAAAGAGAACACAAAATACATAGTTCTATGTACAATGGACAAACCGAAAAACTTTTAAATTGCTTGAATAAAAAGAAGAAAAACTATATTTTGGCCGTTGGTATTTGGGGACTTCGATTGGATTAGATTTCGTGATATTGAACTTTTTAATTCAGCGATTTTCTGGATTAAAATTTTTTTTTTTTATTTTCCAGGGATTTTTAATAAAGTTACCGTTCTACCATCTTCAAACTGCTTGTGCGGTTATATTAACGGTAGGGTATTTAAAAATCGATAACATGAATAGTTTGTTTACTATTTATTTTATTTTGAATTGATGTACCAGCAATGTGATGAGATCATTTAAACCATTAATTGACTTGACCGAATATTATTATATAAAAATATATCAGATATCAAAAGTCAGCAACATAAAATTAATGAAACCAAATCGGTGAACTGTAAATGGGTTTAAGTTTTTGAGAACTTTTTAAAACGAAAAAATATGTAAAGAGTGTAGTGGTTTTTTTCAGTATATTTGGCATTTTGTACCGCAAACTGGCAACCATGTGGCGGGGATTCGTGTTTCCAACTTACAGAGTTTTCACCGTACTATCTGGTTGGTTTTAGTCACCGCTAGTCGTTTACCCATGATCTACACCGATTCTCGCTGGCATTTTCCTGGTTTTTTTCTCAGACTCGCCTGGCCACACCGCACTGCCCAGTAAAAAAATAGTTTTTTTTTTTGTATCCAACCAACCAACTGTAAAAATAAGTTTAAACAAAGCATCTACATATAAGTTTCATTTTTTTCCGTTAAGTGTCACCATTATTTATTTTTTAAGTGTGCATTCAATAAGAAAATGTCATCGCGAAGGTAAATCCAATAGGAAATACGACAATGTACCGCACACACACGCACGCAGTCGCACACACATGCACACACACACACGCTCCGCTCCCAACTGGGCTATTTACATATGTATAAGTAGATACAAAAGCAAAGGCAGGGTGAAAAAAAAGAAAAACAGAAACAAAAAAAAACTGTTGAGATAAAAAGTGCAACAAAGTGACAAACGAAGGAACCAAAGAGCGGATGCAACAAAACCGTTACTTCTCGCTGCTACAGCTGTTGTCCACCGAGTAATCAGTGCGGGAACCAGTGGCAGTTAACTTTAAAACTATAAAATACCATGCTACTGTTGACCAAAAACTACAGATACTTTACTATCGAAAACTACACAGATACTACAATTTACCAATGCCCACCGAGTACCCAGTCCAGTAACTAGTGACACTCGACCCAACACATTCCTTTGCTTTTGCACCTAGCACCATTGACCACCCAGTAAACAGCCCGGGAAGTAGTGACAGTGCACCCAAAACTACACAGATACATTACTATTGCCTACCGAGTTATCAGTAGTATTGTCCACCGAGTAACTAGTTCAGTAACTAGACATATGTATCTATATCCCCCCTCCGCAGATGGTTCCACCCAACGATATCTGGCATCGAAGCTGAGAAATTGCTGCAGGAGCAGGGATTCGACGGCTCCTTCCTCGCCCGCCTCTCCTCCTCGAATCCGGGCGCCTTCACGCTTTCCGTGCGCCGCGGCAACGAGGTGACCCACATTAAAATCCAAAATAATGGCGACTTCTTTGATCTCTATGGCGGTGAGTGATTACCCCCTTCCCCCGCTTGGTCGTTTGATCATCACCAATTCACCAGAATGAATCTAAATCTGAATCTGAACCTGAACCCCCCTTCGTTTTGCAGGTGAAAAGTTCGCCACACTGCCGGAACTGGTACAATACTACATGGAGAATGGCGAGCTGAAGGAGAAGAATGGCCAGGCCATCGAGCTGAAACAGCCGCTGATCTGTGCCGAGCCCACCACGGAAAGGTGAGTTCCGGATCGGTTGGATCGTATGATATATAGGAGCGGGCTTGGGAACCCTTAATAGATGGCATGCTACTTACCCCGACATATCCCAGAATGCTGTATTACTTCCACTTAGATGCAGTTTATCTACTTCGTGATGATGACATTGTTAAGAAGATCCCAATATATGACTGATATTTTAGAATGATCTGCGTTCTGTAAACAGATATAATTTATTTCAATTAGGAGAGCCTTGAATTATTCTTTTGAAATACATAAATTGTTACAATAGTCAATAGCTTTTCGGTGTACATTTTTTTGGCAAATGTAATTTATCAGATTGATGTAATACATTTTTATACAATATCCTAAATATATCCCGTTCCCTTGGAACTGGGTCACCAGCAAAACGACCAACCTGTTCTTATGAAATTCCATGACCTACATTAGTTCCCCTCCGCTGTGTCCAAGGATGAATCGTATTTGTTTGCTTTCGGCTCGGATTTATTATTATTAAACGGTGTTTACAAACGATCTTGTGTGAGCACTTTAAAGACCAAACATCAGATTCAAGCAGTTCGCTTATCAGGCTTTCCCTAATCGTTATCGATGTCTGGAAATTGGGTTTATTAATTGGGGCAGGGCCGCATTTCGCATCCCTTGTCACATTTCTCCTGCTTCCCGCAAACAGCTGTTCTTATTTTGTGCAAGCGGTGCAAACTCATAAAATTATGTTGGTAAACATTTGATTTGTTTACACAAAGACATCAGATCGAGCGCATATGGCTGATTGTAGATTTAGGGTACTATGAATTTGGGGGAAGCTTCGAAACCTGATTATAGTAGATTATTTTGAAATTGTAGTATACACAATGACTCTTTTTAACTACCTTCCTACTTCCGTTTAGTATACCTCAACGAGTTGTAGACTCGAACTCCTTAATATATAGATGCCTGAGAATTAATATTTACAAATAAGCTTGCTTGGATTGTTTCACAAAAAATTAAATTACTACTAAATAACTTGTTATAGTCTCTCAAAAAACTTGAAGCGAAGATACATACTTATATACATACTTATAAATATTTTATTTGACGGTATTACAATATACAGTTCACATTTATAAATACCTGCATTACTTGGCAGTCTGTTGAATAAATAATAGTAAACGTAATAGGCTGCCGTTTAGTGGATTTAATGAACATACTATGTATTTTGATCCATTTGAAATCGTAATATATATATTATAAGTATTATAAGTACCTATATGTATCATAAAGAATCAGGCGGAGGCACTTGAAGCTTTGTTCCCCCCAACTCGTCTTTTATTTTGGATTATTTTCAATTCGCTGAGCTGGGCTTTGTGGCTTAATTTCAAGACGAGATGAAATTTGTGGGTGAATAATTTCTAATTCCACTTAAATCGGACACCCACACACCTGTTGCTCACGCAGGCACCCACACCCGCAAAAGCAGTGACCATACAAGCAGTGCATTGTCTTTGTTGTTATTGTTATATTGGCTTTTACAACCCACACGCGCAAAATATTTTCCTTATTTATTGTATTTCTGCTTATTAATATTTTTTATACCCGCTGTCTACCCAGGCCATCAAATATTTTACGGCTCCCCGCTCTTTTCTTTCTTCTTTCTTGTTTGTCGCCTTGTCTCGTTTTTTATTATCGCTTCTGCTTTTTGTTTTGCTTCGTGCGGTGCATTTTCCGCATCCTAACGGGTCAGCCACCTCAACTGGGCACGCCCACCGACGCCCCCGTCTAAATTTGGTCGGGCACTTGAGAGAAATATAACCCAACTGGAATTTTGAAACTTAACGGTGATACGTGTGCGTAATTACAGTTGCGGATGAAATATTGGTATAATAATAATAACGCATGCTGATAATAACATGCTGGTATTTTTAAAAACTATCATATACTTCTTTTAGAAAATAATAAATTAACAGAAAGAAAGAATGTGAAATTGGATGCTTTTTTTCTTTTACTGAATTAGAAAAATCACAGATCGTTTATTCTTTTGAAGGCACAGCAAATACTATTTAAATATATATACATATATATAGTATTTTGACCGCATCTGTTCATTACTGACGTTTGAGTCAACCCTTCTCTAACCTCCAATCTGGTTTCCCAGCCCCAACACTAACCACTTATCCTTGACTGAAGCTCGTGACGTTTTTGTTTTTTTCTTCGATTCTGGTTTATTTTTAAAGCCCCTCGATCCGAGCTTCGTTTATTTTTAGCCTAAGAAGGTGTTGTATGGGTTATAATCGAACTGCGAGTCGCAAAATTCATTTGATCCGCGGTGACGTCAAACAAGGGTTGGGATCGATCGGATGCAATCATAATTATATTTTTAGGGGTTGGTTAGGGGGTGATTTAAATTAAGGTTGAGAACGTCAGTCGTCCGAAAAGTGGGTTTATTATGGACTGTGGAAAATTTACGCGGTCAGTTTATTTATAAATCGATTCGTTTGGCTTCTGTTGGGTTTTATAAGTCAATGTAATATGCATACAATGGGACTCATTAGTTCCAACTATGGTTTTGCAATCTCCGTAAAACATCGGGAATTTCTATTGAACTGGTTGAGGGTACATGTATATTTCATGCTCGTTGGATTATTTAAAGAAAAGGCAAAACTATTTAAAGAAACTCCAGGAGAGTTATTTCTTTGAGTCAAAGAAAAAACCCATCCCAACTCCAACTTTCTTGAATAATACATATATCTAGAACAATTTCTCGCGTCTGAAAATTCCTGCAGAGGAATGTGAAAGATGCCGGTAGGAATGTGTTTGCCTTGTGGGAACCACACTCGCTGAATTGCCAAGACATTCTACAACCTTCTCTTACCCAATTTTCCCGCGACATTTCACCATTCGATTGCATTCCCATTTCTATTTCTCAACGCTGATCTTGACCTTTGATCGAGTCGGAGCTGCGATTGGAGTGCAACCGAATTGCAAATCACTCCGTGTAATGCGGCTAGGTTATTTTTGTTTGCTTACCTGCCCACTTAATCGTTGCAATTAAAGACGATAATTGTTAATTGCTTTAGTTTCGCGCACTTTCTTCCTCTGCTCTGCCGATCTGTCGAGGAGCAAAACAAATCTGACATTCGCCAATTAAGCTTTCGAATTGTTTGTGTTGGATAATGTATAATGGATAATGCCCACCTACCCCACAGGCACTTCAGCCCCAGATCTCCACCCTTCGCCCTTGCCCATTCATCACACTCTCGAGTGCCTGAAATGCTAAATGCTTTCAATTTTCGCCATTAAGACAAGCCTACAAATGGTTTATAAATTATGCCGTGCACGTAGCTAAAGCTATAGCTGTATCTGTATCTGTATCTGTACCCGTATCCGTATCTGTATCTAAGGCATCAGCCGTAACAGCAGCAGCAATAAATGTCTATAGAAGGGTACACGGAAAGAAAATATTCACATTTGAGATCATAATTAATTTAATTCATACCTTACACAGTTTTCAGTGAATTGTGAAGGTTTGTAAAAGAAACGTTTTCCTATTATTAATGATTTTTCTATAGTTATTAAATAACCCCTTCAAAATAATATTAATTTAAAATTGAAATTTCGGTCTAAATGTTGTTCTCTGTGCATATTCGCAAATGAAATGAATTGTGCATACACGCACATGGATGAGTATCCATATGCATGTATTTGGCTGCAGGTACTTTACCGCCCCCGATCGTGTCATCTGTCACATACTCCACAAACTGTTGACTCGTCGTCCCCCAAAGAATTTTATCCACTATATGGGCCCATCATTCCATCAACACATCCCCCGGGCAAACAGCATCGCCAGTTGCACCCGATCAAGCTGTCAGCCTCTAAGAGGACGCTCTGATTATATAACATAGCATAGTAATACAGGCACAACTGTACCGCTCTAGAGATCCGCCCTGAAGTGCCTGTCAAACCGAACCCAACTAGACCTACTGCTTATATAATACCCGTCTAATTCTCGTACATTGATCGTACTTTAATTGTCGACATCAAATATAAATCGCTCAACTAAATCAAAACGCATCCGAGATCAGCTGAGGATCTGTGGATTTGCTGATCACGATTATCACCTCTAATCAAACACTACACAATTAAAGTTTAAAGGCAGATGCTTAATGGTAGTAATGTTCAAGAAAGGTGATTAATAAAACCTTTCTATTATCCACTATAATTAAGTGATCAGTCAATTACAGTTGACCCAATGATATTTAGTTATAAAAAAATTCCATCTCTATTATAATTAACCAGAAACTAATAGCTCCGAATGTGCATTCCCCTTGTAAATCCCATGAACTAAATTAAATTTTAAACGCACGTATACAAAAGTACGCAAATCGAGATGATCGGTCATTATATTTGGTATCCTAAACTGCCCAGCACACGACAATTTAAAGCGCCCGGCACGAACCGAACAAACGTCCGTCCAGCAATTATTTATTCAGGTAAATCCCTCGCCAAAAACCTCACCAAAACAAAGAGCCACAAAGAAAACGAGGAGAGATTCGAGACAATAAATGGGGATATGGGATTCGTCGATTCGTCGGAACGCAAAGAAAATCGAAATTGTTGGGGCCAACGAACCGACCGAATATTCTTCCCCAAACCAAAAGGAAAAACTTTTCCGCCATTAAACGGCTAACAGCTCGTGAGTCCCCGGCTATTTGTGGAACGGGAGAGCTGATCTGGTTGCAAAAAACAGTGTTACATGGAGATCTCACGTAGCATTCCATCTAATAATATAAATTACAACGATGATCGTAAATCTCGGGAGATATTTTCGGCTAGTACAGCATGGAAAATACGGAGTAATATCATAAATCTCAGCAGAAATAGGGAAACCCACATAGCAACAAGTAAAAACTGGGATTGTCTCTCCAACCTTTGACAAAGGTAATCGCCTATAAATAGAACACGAGACTTATTTTACGGAAGTTAACTTGTTTCTGTATTAATCGAACTAATCATGTAATATAGGTGTATAAATATTAAATAATAACCCAACCTCTAGTTGAAAAAAACAGACACTTGATTAGTATTTCCGATGGAATGAGCAAGAAAATTCTTAAACTATCGTTTTCTTAAATCAATCTTATATATGAATCATATTTAAAATAGGCTGTCTCATTGTTAGCAACTTATTTTTTAGCTGACTAATACTACGATTTTACACACGCCCAATGACAGTTTATGTTTATGATTTGTAAATTATTTGCAAATAATTTAAGTAGTTCTCCTAATTGGCTTTCTCCGTCGTTTCTTGTTTCCCCCCTTTTGGATAGGGCCTCAAGGTATTCAGTTCGAAATTTATTATATAGCCAGCTGACAAACGCCCGATATTATGGCCCATAAACTATATTTGCGAAAACAAAAGGCTTTGGCGAGCGCCGCAAAAAGTTCTGTTGGTTTTTGGCTGATTTAGTGAGAATTCAATTGTCGACTGGCTAACCCATTTCGGGGGTTGTCCACGCTTCACCCATGGATTCGGCTTGGACTTCGGCGACTTCAGTCCTCGGCTTCCATCCCGGGATCTCGATCTCGAACCCAAAACCGAATTAGGAATGGCAAACAATCAATGGTCGGCTCATAGTTGTGTGTATGGCATATTAAGTACGCCTTCCCCTCCGATGAAACAACAAATTATTAACAATAAATTATGTTTATTTCTGGCCCACTCCCCATCGCCCCTGCAAATGGTTTTGGTTGTGCCCAAATACGATTTCGGGATAGCCAAGGTCGCAGAGCTCTGGAATGGGGCATGGTTGTCGGGGCAGATCAAGTTTATTTCTGGGTTGGGCACCCACTATTTTGCAGTCTCTCATTGTGCAAGTGATGCCTGAACTCGTAATCATTCTACAGATAAGGTAAACAAGTTGTAAAAATGACTGGTTGAACCCCAAATTCATATTATTTGATTAGCTAAATCTTAATTTGTTCTCTCTTACAAGAAACTTAAACTTTCGATCTTCTTAGACTTAATGTTGCAATTAGCTAAACATATAAATACATCTTTAATCTTCTCTTCTCACTTTCACTTCACTGGATTGCATTGATTAATATTCTTAACTGACATTCCACTCCGCACAAAGGCCCGCATGTGGTTTTCCATCGGATCTGGTCCATATGGCATGGGACATCCTGTTTGCATTGGTGCATGCAAATCTAAAGGGGTTTTCCCCATCTGATTTATGCTTTTTTGTATCAATTTGGATGCATTTTCAATTGAGTGGACTTTAAATGTGGTTTTGGGATCGAGTTTTAGTTGGGTTCTAGCGAAAAACCAATGACGAAATGTAGGAAAAAAATAAACAGTTTGTCACCGGGGGGAGGTATGCGTATGGTAGTTAAGTGTTCCTAAGATCGCAGTTCGCAGGCAGTCGCACGTCTGTCGATTCTGTTGTGTTGGCCGAAAAAAAAAGTATTCTGCGCACGTTCGCTCCTCTGACGTCTGCGCCTGCGCTGTAAGAGAGCTTTGGCACTACTCGCTTCTAGCTCCCACCTACCCACCTGCCCACCACCTGCCCCGCTGCCACCCAACTCCTTGCCTAGATGGCCGCCACAATTGTTGCTGTGCGGTTTCAGTTTCATTTCCGGTGGCAGGCAACGTTCGGCGCTTAAAGCGCTTTTTATATTTGTTTTTTTTTTCTTACAAGACAACAACACACACTCATATCACGAAATGACCATTTTCGGATTGGAATTAATTTTCTGTGTGTTTGCTTTTCGAAATGTATATGATTCGGATTCTGATTGCGATGAAATCGGTGATTCATCCAGGAGTACAGTCATTACTCACAAGAATAGAGAGGGTTCAATTTTCATAGCCTGGCACTATCTCTGAATTGTAAATATGAATAGAAAAGTGAAAAGTAAAAGTGTCGCTGAATTAGAATTAAGTAAAAGCTTAAGTCTAAGGTCAAACTTTCAAGAAGGACACCTAATTGGTGGCGCCCAACGAGGGTCCGAGCAGTTTAGGGAGCCTGCAACAGGAGGCAATGCAAGCAGTGCACACACCCACTGCCGATCAATGCGTCGAGTAACGTCTTCCGTTTTTCGTTTTTTGTTGTGCCTTCTGGCTCGCTGACAGTAAATTAAGGCCATAAACAAAAACCCCCTGACCCACGAGACCGGCAGGAAGGGTTAACCAGAGCGGTGGATGGATTTAAAAACAAAAAGCGCCGTCCCCAGCCAGACAAGATTCATTCATTCCCCAGCGCTTAGAACACCACCAGTCCACAGCCCCCAACGGAGACGGAGAGATATAGCCACTGAGAGAGCGGAAGAATCAGAGAAGCAGAGAGAAGCCGCGCTGAGACGACGTCAAGAATCCGAATTTGAATCTGAATCCGAGGCAAAAAGCTTCAGACCCGGCAGCAGGCGCTTCATTCTCGAGTTGCGGTCCAACGGGTTAGCAGCTCAGCTCAGCTCTCAAGCAGAGCGGCAAGCAGTTCAGTTCGCTATTTTTTACGCCCAACGAGTTTTTTGTTTTCAAAATCCAAGCCGCGAAAATTATGCCTTCGGCCACATTTGTCCTGGAGCATTTGATGGCGGCACAAACGCGTCTCAACGAGCAGGCTGCATCACCAGCAGAGGTCAAAACCACCAGTTCAACCAGCACCACCACCTGCACCACCGGCACCACTAGCACCACCAGCACCACCGTGGCTAAAGCCGTCAAAGTCAAGTCGTATGAGAAGAAACTGTTGTTGGCTCTCAAGAAAATTGTGCAATAATAAACGAATGCGGGGTAAACAACACTCTATTTGACAAACTATAGACACATTTCACCTTAATCGAGCTGACTAAGATCAATAAAAAAGCAAACAGAAAAGCAAAACAAACAGCAAACAAGAATTCTAGCTTTTGTGTTTTCAGTGTGTGCGTTCGTTGTGTAGTGTGTGTGTGTGGGCAAGTTGTTACATAAAAACAAAAAGTAATATATATAAAAAAACCCACCAAGACGCATTTTTCCACGGCGGAATACTACCATCTAAGTTTTTTGTTTTGGTGTGTGCGAGAAAACGAGAGTGAAGAAAATGCTGTTCAACAAATGCCTCGAAAAGTTGTCCAGCTCGCTGGGCAATGTGGTCAATCACAAGTTGCAAGAGAAACAAGTCTACAATAATAATAATAATAATAATAACAACACTAGTAGTATAAACAACAATGCGTACAACAAGCAGCGCAATTTTGAGTACGAACGAGCCATACAGGCGCACTACGGAAGCAAGGGAAAGCGGTCGGAGGAGCGGGAGAGGAGCGGAAAGTTCAGGGCCGCCAAGGGTCAAAAGTCGAGGGGCAGTCCGCCGCAGACACCAGATGCCCAGGAGACGGCCTGCAAGAACTGCATGACCCACGACGAGCTGGCCCAGATCATAAAGGGCGTGGCCAAGAGCACCGGGCAGAGCAATCATCAGAACAATCGCCTGAACCGCAGTCGACGTCCCTTGTCCGCCCAGCCCTCTGCCGCCGCATCCGCCTCCACGTCCACCGAATCGCTGCACCGGCTCACTCCCAGTCCCCAGGCTGGCTCCTATCCGGCCACGCCCACCTCCTGGTCAGCCACCCCGCCCCAATTCCCGACAGCCTTCGGCGGAGCCAGCTGCTCCACCAGCACCCTGGCCCTCCTGGCCAACATGCGGTTCCAGCTCCATGGCTACACGTAAGTTCGGACCACCCACCTCAAAAATAATAATCAAATCATGCTGACAAAAAACTTCAATGAAACGTAATTAACTGATTTGGGGCGCGTGCGAAATTAAACGTTAATTGTTAAAAAAGTGCGAGTTATTAATTCGTTTGGCTGCAAATTAAATGATACCCTGCAAAGAGTGTAGATATGGGATATGACTAAAGGGGTTTGCATCGATAGTTCAAAATAGCAATGTAATAAGCTTTTTTCTTTTGGCCTTTCAATATGCGATCAAAACACAAGAATCAATGAGAAGAACCATAGCAATCTGTCCGATCAGCAGATAATTTAAATATAATTATCATTCGCCGTGTTTGTCAGTCACATGTCGTAGAGTAGCAATCGATTCGAGAGAAGTCTGGAGCCAATCTGGTGCCCATTAGCATTAACCCTAATAAGGCAGGCAATCACTGGCAAAACAAAACAAAAACAGCACAACACAAATTGTCATGTGTTCAAAATTGCCACGCAAAATGGGTAAATATTTACGCAAAGCATTCGACAACAAAAACAAGCGATCGTGCGGAGGAAAAAGTCGTAAATTGACGTTCTAATATGAATGAATGCCCCGTCAAGTGAAGGGGGAAATGGAATGGAATGGACCTGCTTAGATTGCCACTCAAATATTGTATTTCACTCCCCCCCACACAATTAACCCATTGTCAGGCACAACATTTCGATATTGATTTTTACATTTAGACCTAAAGATTGAGTTGTGGGTGAGGGAGATACACATCTAGATTGCCAAGTGGAATTACGCACTTGTAGAGTTCGTCGAAACATCCACTGCAGGCATCGCAATCGTATCTTGGTCCACTGCCAGATCGGATTATCTCTTCACTCTCCTCCGGAATGTTTACCCATGTCTGCCGTCCACATTCCCCAAAGATTCCATCCCACTCCCCATCCGATCTCCGTGTTTATCTCCGCGGCTTGTGCCATGTGCCGTCTGTTTGTTTGTGTGGGCTGTCCCCGTCTTAGAAGTCTCGATTCGCACATCTCCCCAGAATATTTACATATATCTGCTGGAGCATCATGTCCCATAAATTATCTTTGACTTTTAGTTGAGCTTGAATTGGCACTATAGACAGTTTTCAGTTTTGGTTGGTTATTTATGTTGATGTTTATCGGAATTGATTCATTTCAGGTGAATGTGTTGATTGGCTTGCTGAGTTGATCTATGGGAGTTTTGCCCTCGGGTGGTAATAATTAATTGGCCTCTAATTTATGCTAAACCCTTTTGAAATATTCTTTAGTACCATGACAACTGAAGGTCTTTATTTGGTCTCAAAGTGGGTAACATTCTTGGAATTTATTATAATTCAAATTTACAACAAGTTTAGAAAATTAAGTACCTCGTAAATTATAGTAATTATGTTTGGCTATAGCATCCTATATTGTTTTTAAAAGGATCTTTTCTCTTGCTACAATCTTTGTTCTTATCCCATTAAAACCATTTCCACATTATCATTATACGTATGTCATATCAAATGATCTGCGAATGATTTGCCAATAGCGATTTCCGGTGCTCGGATCGAGTCACGCGTCTGTCACTTGTCACTTCACTAGGTCAACAATGGGGGAAGTCCCTCCTCCTGCCCCCCAAATCTCCCTTTCTCCCCGCGATCCCCTCACTATTTATCTCCCGCTATTTTTGTTTTTCTTTGCCATATTGCTGATAAACGATTTATGAAATCGCATTTCTCGTAATGACTTTCGAGCGCTGCCTTCTGTTTTGCATATTTCCGTTTTTTCCATTGCACAACCGTGTGCTGTTGCTGCTGATCAAATAAAAACACTTTAATTTGTGCAAATTCATGCAGCCAACCGACTTAAAGATGCTCTCTGTGGAAAGTCCCAACTGCAACGGGGAAAAACTCCACGGAAAATGTACGAAAATGTATGGTCAATACTCTTATTTGCATCTTTTTTTTATAACTAATTATTTGAATCCTTCTAACAAGCATAGATTTCAATTACAATTATAAGCTAGCTTCAAATACATGTTCATGCTTTGACTAGAATGTACTTTATCGGACTATCTGATTCCTTAACTAAGCAGTGACCTAGCTGGTGAGTGGGTGTTTAGGGTATGGAGAAGCAGTTCATTGAATAGCTTTTCGAGTTGAGCAGTTAATTAATTGAAGGCCTCACTCCCTGATTCCGCGCCCCCTTCGTAGCCCCCATAACACCCGTTTCGCTGCCGCCTTTCCAGGTGCGTTGGCACACAAAAAAATAAATAAACCTGTGACAAACGAAACGATTAAAAACACTCGGGCATCCATACATGTACACACATGCATGTAAATCTGTTTGTTGACCTTAGGCGGCGCTTTCTTGAATGGCGCGCAGCTTCAGCTTCAACTTCCTTCGTATGTAAATATATCACATTCGTATTCGCGGCTGCTGCTGTAAGTGTAACTGTAAATGATGCAAAAAGTTGTGAAATTTTCACTGACGTACTCCGCACCGGAGGTAATACTTCTGTTGATATTTTTGTCCGCTGCGATTAATCCCACCCCCCGCCCACCCAGTCTGCCCGATTTAAATCAAGGAGAGGGTGGAAGGGAAAGCAGTAAGAGTAATTTGTGTTGTGTTATATTATCGTCACAGTGCTAAATTTAAAGATCAACAGCGAAATATGGGTGGAGACAACAACGTTTGGCAGAATGACACAAAGGATATGAGAGTTATGATGGATGTGGGATGTGGGGTGCGATAATTGTTAAGTTCAACTTGATTTCACGGGGTCAGACGACAGAGGGCGAGGCGTCCCCGAATTCGGACAATCTTTGCTTCGATGGTCGCAAATAAACGATCGGCTAAATAATACGCAAATGTGCTAATAGATGTGGTCCGAAAACTGTGAATTGTCTTATGCAAATATCGCGAGAACCTTTCCACACACAAAAGTGTACGAGCTATATGTTGAATCATCGCAAAGAATGCGCAGTTCGTAAATATTATCCATCTGCTTAAACGGAAATAGCTTCTTTTTAAATTTGTTGTTTACTCATAAATAGTTAGAGCTAAAGAAACATTAAATTAAGGAAGTCCTAGCTACGAAAGTTCCATTCTAAATTGAAATGAAAAGGCATATATTGTATGATACCTTTTTAAACCAGCTACACTGCTTTTGGCAAGCAGTTCATAAGCTTTTGATACGATTCAAGCTGTGTATTCCGGCCTACGTGCAAGCAAGCAGTGTGCAAAAGCGCAGACCCGCTTGTAATAGATTTTTAACTTCCGTTTTGCTAAAAATAAACCTATAAAACTCATTCTTATCACTCCCAACCGATCGGGTTCGAGCCACCTTGAATCTGTAACAGGTTGAAAAACAGACAGCATTGAAATGCACGACTGTGTGTGGCTCTAATGTAATGTTAATTGTTTCTACATGAATTTCTATTAATAGCCAGGCCAACGGCACACACAATCGCACGCGGAAGATGAATTGATTTGGCTGGCTAAAACTCAATCAATATATGATATATGTACACAGAAAAACTTGTTAATAAATATCATAAGCACAACAAAATTAATTCTCTCTTAAAGAAGAGAGAGAAATGATCATGGAGATATAACTTATTGCAACAAGGAGAACAACTGGTATAGGAAAAACTTATCAAATATAATTAGTTGTCTTTAAATGCAAGACTTTTTGTTTTCTGTGTAGGGGGATATCCGGGGGAACTGAGCTCTTAGCACCTCTATGCTGTCGCATACATTATACATGAGTGTTTAGCCACCCATATTCTCCCGTTCTCGATGACATATTTTATGATATCTATGACCCCAGAGGCACTAAATTGAAACCGGCTTAAGGACAACTCAATGTTGTCAATTGTTTTCTAGATTTTGCTCGAATTCCGTATCTTTTTATTTTTTTTTGTTTGCTTGGTGGCGACGAACTCGAAAGCGGGCTAAAAGATGGACAATACAACAGCAGCACATGGTCGATAATGGCATTCAAAGCAAGTTTTTTAAGTTAGTGTTATTTATGCAAAATAGTTGGAGGGAGGTAAGACGAAACAAAACAAAACCAATGAACTATAAGCCAACAACAGTGGGAGGTGTGCGAATCGAAGTGCGAAATTCGTTGACAAATAGATCTTATTACTTGAACATATCGCATGCGAAACCCTTAAATTATATCGAGAGCTAAAAAGTGAAACTTTGAAAATAATTACGGGGCGCCTGTAATTAAAGCTTAAAAACTGCATGTCTATTGGAATTTAAAACGTTTTTTGGGGTGGTATGCAATTGAAAAAGCAATAATTCTTAGTTTTAAGCTTAGTTTTGCCGCGTTTTAAATCCTTAATGAACTGCATCCAGTCAAAGTTAGATGGTATCGTTGAGAGCCTCTTGCAACCGCTGCTTATTCACACGGACACACATAATCTGAAATTAGAATTTAGATCATTTATTTAGTGAATTAATTTATAATAATATAATCTACATACCTTGAGAGATCCTTGATTCTAAATTCTGGTGTATAATCTATGTCAAATTAATCAACTGGAGCCCCTCCTCAGGTAACGCACACTCACACTTTCGGACATCCGAGTAATCCGATTTCTAAATCGTAATTTTTGGCTAGAATTTTGGGAGTTGTAATTTCCCTGGGAGATCAAAAAATTAACAAAGACAACTGTACATTTGGTCATCATTACATTAACATTATATGGACTTACCAAATGTTATGTTATTGTTGATTATTAATTGTTGAGTGTTACATGGATCTAATCTAACATTTACCAAGAGTTCTGTTTCAATGTTGACTGTTAATTGAACATTGTTGATTTTGGAAGTGCGTCGATTGTGAGCACAGCCTTTTGTCTCATTATTTTTGATCAAGTGCAAAATTTGCAGTCATATTCATACTAATCGAAAGCTAAAAAGGCATCCTAAGGTTCATCGAAATCGAAATATAGAATATTAAGTTTTTGTAACAGCTGCAAGCTTGCTTCGCTTCTTGTTTCTATGTCACATCGCTAAATGCAATTGCGATTGCCATGGCGATGACAATCTCAAGTCTGTCAACCCAACTAAGCTGAGCAGGCCAGACGGGTCGACTTATAAGTCCCGGGCCTCAAGTAGCTGGCTTCGATTCGACTTGCGCTTTTCCACACGGCGTATGCGTGTTGTTGCCACCACTGCTGTTGTTATTGCCATTGTCGCCTTGCATTTGACTGTTTTCTTCGAACTTTTGCTGGTGTGTGCTTGAATACGTATTTTACAGTAAGGCATCGGGAATAAATGCCTTAAAATTTATAAATGTTAGAAAAACCTTTTTGGATTCTAAAGGTAAACAAATATTACCAAAGTCATTCATATATTTTGAAACATTTTGAAGCTATTATGACTATAAGACTTTAAAAGGTTACGTCCATAGCATATCTACTGTACCTAAATTCGCTTTGTATTTGCGCTGCCTGGTTCCTACTCGTAATTGTTGTTGCTTTTTGGTTGGTATTGCGGTTGCTGTTGTTGCAGTTTTAGTTGTTTTTACTGGTGTTGTTGTTGTTGTTGGCACTAGTATTTTGCGCTTTTGCGCGCTTCTCGTATAGTTTGTAATTGCATTTTGAGCGCACACGTAGTCGTCAGTCGAGCACTCAGTCATTCAGTCAGTAAATCGCCCAGTTCGTTCAGTGGATGCGCCATCGATCGGTAGATACACATACATATGCTAATGCCGTACTAATGATTATCCTGAAATTTGTTGTTATCCCATTGCAGATGGTTTCATGGCAATCTTTCTGGCAAGGAAGCGGAAAAATTGATCCTGGATCGTGGCAAGAATGGTTCTTTTCTCGTCCGTGAATCTCAGAGCAAGCCTGGCGATTTTGTCCTATCCGTGCGGACGGACGATAAAGTAACGCATGTCATGATTCGATGGCAGGTATGTTGAATATGTAACCACCCAATCACCCAACTAACCAGATATAACACCCCACCTTTCGGAGGGTGCAAAATGCAAATGCAAATCGATGGCAGTACAGCAACAAAGTCGCACTGCCCATAAAGTTCCTCATCGCGCGACCTTGGCTCTATACTCGAGTCATATGTGCATTTATTAACTGTGCTGTGTTGCCCGTGGCTAAAACTATACAGTGTAAACTCTTTAAGTTCGATTGTTTCTTGGTATTTCAAACAAAATAGTGTTCGGTTTTATACAAATAGATTTAAATCTTTAATCACTGTAAAACTCCAATTTAAAATCAATAACCTTAAACTTTTCAATGTTTCGACTGTATCGAGTGATGACTGTAAAATTCAAATGCTTGACTGCTTTGCCTTGGGACATGCCAACTGCTTGCAGGAGCTTCAACCGGGTCAAGCAGTGCAGTTCCAGTTTCAACGTAATTCCCCAAAACCATTTTTCCACCATTACTATAAATTTAGCAGTGTTCGCGGTTTTTGCGGTTTGCGGTTGCAATTATGCCATTTACATGTCTAGCTGGCCTTTTTCCCATTTGACATTGCAGTCACGTTTCGATTTTATTAGCTAATCTCTTGACGCTCCATCGAACTCGACCCCCTCCACGTGCCCCGCATAATAATGCCCCTTGACCATTGTTATAGTACTAATCCCCAACCGAAATCCCCCGATTGCAGGACAAGAAGTACGACGTCGGCGGCGGTGAATCGTTTGCCACCCTTTCGGAACTGATCGAGCACTACAAGCGTAATCCCATGGTGGAGACGTGTGGAACCGTGGTGCACCTGCGGCAACCCTTCAACGCCACGCGAATCACGGCGGCCGGAATCAATGCTCGGGTGGAACAGCTGGTCAAGGTGAGTCCCCCTTCCATGGTTGATTGGGTGACGCAATGCCCCCCTCTTGGGTATACTAATCCGGAGCTTATCCCAATTTCAGGGAGGCTTCTGGGAGGAGTTCGAGTCGCTGCAGCAGGACAGTCGGGATACCTTCTCGCGCAACGAAGGCTACAAGCCGGAGAACCGGTTGAAGAACCGCTACCGCAACATATTGCCATGTGAGTATAACAGTATAGTATATATATAACATTCCGAATCCAATAATACTTCCATTACCCCCGGTAAACACAAGGGATTACTCCTCTACAGTCTAATGCCAATCATTTATTCAATGTCTTTCATAATTTATATAATCAAGTTTTGTGGACTAAATATGGATGTTATATAAAAATTGCATAAACAATCTTGCAATCTATAAGTAAGAAATTAATAATTGACTGTTTTTTAATCAAGTCAAAGTAATCTCTAGAGGTTTTTAAACCGTTTGAAATGGGGTTCTTAAAGAAGGCTACGATTGACTTTTGGCCACATAGGATATATCATACGCACCCCCCATTTAGATGTACAAACCGCATATTTCTGCTCAATCTGCATGCCTAATTAAATCCAATTTCTAATCTAATTCTAATTCCCACTCTGTTTCCCAGACGACCACACGCGCGTGAAGCTGCTGGACGTGGAGAACAGCGTGGCCGGGGCAGAGTACATCAATGCCAACTACATACGCCTGCCCACCGACGGCGACCTGTACAACATGAGCAGCTCGTCGGAGAGCCTGAACAGCTCGGTGCCCTCGTGCCCCGCCTGCACGGCGGCCCAGACCCAGCGGAACTGCTCCAGCTGCCAGGTGCTGAACAAGACGTGCGTGCAGTGCGCCGTGAAGAGCGCCACGCTGCCGTACAGCAACTGTGCCACCTGCAGCCGCAAGTCGGACTCGCTGAGCAAGCACAAGCGCAGCGAGTCCTCGGCCTCGTCCTCGCCCTCCTCCGGCTACGGCTCCTCGGCAGCCAGCGGAGTGAGCAGCGTCAACGGACCGGGCACACCCACCAATCTCACGGGCGGCACAGCCGGCTGTCTGGCTGGCTTATTGAAGAAGCACTCGAGTGATTCATCCTACGTACCGGGATCGGGATCAGTAACTGGAGCTGGAGTCGGATCCATGTCGATGGCCGAGCGGGAGCGCGAGATGTTCAAGACGTACATCGCCACCCAGGGCTGCCTGCTCACGCCGCAGGTGAACACGGTGACGGACTTCTGGAACATGGTCTGGCAGGAGAACACGCGGGTGATCGTGATGACCACCAAGGAGTACGAGCGCGGCAAGGAGAAGTGCGCCCGCTACTGGCCGGACGAGGGCAAGGCGGAGCAGTTCGGCCAGGCGCGGATACAGTGCGTCTCGGAGAACTCGACCAGCGACTACACGCTGCGCGAGTTCCTCGTCTCGTGGCGGGATCAGCCGGCGCGCCGCATCTTCCACTACCACTTCCAGGTGTGGCCGGACCACGGAGTGCCCGCCGATCCGGGCTGTGTGCTCAACTTCCTGCAGGACGTCAACACGCGACAGAGTCAGCTGGCCCAGGCGGGCGAGAAACCGGTATGTGTGATCGAAACCCCAAAGCTTGATAGCTCGATAACTAAACACGCCTCTCTATTCCCCCATGTTCAGGGTCCCATCTGCGTGCACTGCTCGGCGGGCATCGGACGCACTGGCACCTTCATAGTGATCGACATGATCCTTGACCAGATCGTGCGCAATGGTAAGTTATAGTATATGAATATAAAAAACCAAAAACAGAGCTAAGAGTAGTTTGCAAAAACAAAGCAAACACCAACACTACTTAAACAATATTCAAAACCCCCCTTTTTTATGCGTTTCTACCCAGGATTGGATACCGAAATCGACATCCAGCGCACTATTCAGATGGTCCGCTCGCAACGTTCCGGCCTCGTGCAAACGGAGGCGCAGTACAAGTTCGTCTACTATGCGGTGCAGCACTACATCCAGACCCTGATCGCCCGCAAGCGGGCCGAGGAGCAGAGCCTGCAGGTTGGCCGCGAGTACACCAATATAAAGTGAGTGTGGAATGTGATTATCGGGAACGCGTGTTCTAACTGCTTTCGTCACCGACTTTCAGGTACACGGGCGAGATTGGCAACGATTCACAAAGATCTCCATTACCACCAGCAATTTCTAGCATAAGTTTAGTACCAAGTAAGACGCCACTGACGCCGCCGTCGGCGGACTCGGGCATTGGGATGGACCTGGGCCTGGGCGTGGGCATGGGCATGGGCATGGTCATGGGCGTGGGCAACAAGCATGCTTCGAAGCAGCAGCCGCCTTTACCGGTGGTCAACTGCAACAACAATAACAACGGCAGCGGCAATAGCGTTAGGAGCTGCAACAACGGCAGCAGCAGCAGCAGCAGCAACAGCCACAGCAGCAGCAGCAACGGCAGCAGCAGCAACAGCAGCAATGGCAACAGCCACTTCAACGCCCTGCTGGGTGGCATCGGTTTTGGGCCGGGCGGCAATGCGCGCAAGTCGAACTTTTACAGCGACTCGCTGAAGCAGCAACAGCAGCTGCAACAGCAGCAGCAGCAACAGCAGCGCGAGGAGCAGGCGAATGCTCCGGCAGGAGCAGGTAAGATGCAGCAGCCGGCGCCGCCGCTGCGACCGCGCCCCGGCATACTCAAGTTGCTCACCAGTCCCGTCATCTTTCAGCAAAATACAAAAACATTCCCAAAGACATGATCGGCCTGCGACCGCCGAGCCATGCGCCTGCGCTGCCGCCGCCGCCGACACCGCCGCGCAAAACATGACAAATGAATTTCTAAGTCGCGACGCCAAGCCACGCCACGCCCCCCTGACACACGCCCCCTAAAACCCACCACCCCCACACACGCACACAGGCCACAAGTGGATTTCATTTATTATGTCACCCTACCACACCCCCCGAAAAAACCCCCAACCCAGAACCCTTGACTATGTTTTACTGTTGTACCACGTTCTACGTTCTACGTTTTTTTTTTTATTAATTGTAATCTATATAATTTTTGTAATTGTGTGTAATGCTTAGTTGTATGTCATTGTCTCGCTTTATGTTGTAAGTGTTCCCTGCACACGCAAAGCAGTAACCCCACCATCCCGAAACCCACACCCCAGGCATATTTATGTACTAGTTTTTTAGGAACCCCCGAACCGGAAGTTTAGGATACAATCTGGGCGGAACTGCAGCAGATCCGCCAAAAAGAAACACACATTTTTAGGAGAATCGCAGCCACGACATGATTAGGACCCGTTCCCAGTTCAATATTCACTTTTTCGAATATTATTCGCCTCAGATTTGAAATTTTATGTATGCCTAAAGAGTTTATCTTATTTCCAATTTTGCGAGGTTGAAATTGTAAGTATTTTATTTTTCGGAAATTCGGAAACATTGGTTTTTTTTTACCAGAAACACTGAGTTGAATCATAATTTAACTTTAATATCAATCGGATAACTGTTGGCGGAATTTGAGTTCATTTTTCAATTCAATTCATTGGTTTTAAGCCAGAAAAGGTATATTCAAAAATAAATAAATTTGAAATGGAAACGGGTAACCGGTTGGAGTGTAGAAGATGAAAAAGCAAATGCAAATCAAGTTTTTAGTGTTGTAAGTGTTGACAAAATCGGAGGAGGAGAAGTTAGAGGAGTAACTAATGCAGTAAGCACGTAACGATAATGATACAAAAAGCGTTGATTGTGATTCGAGTGACAGCGAGAACAGTAACAGAAGCAGAAGCAACAGCAGATGAGAACAGAGGCGAACGAGATCAGAATAGGACAGCAGAGACGCCAACCGAACAGAACAGAACAGAACAGATGAGAAGAGAACAGATTAGAGGTAAAAACAAAAAGCTAAGAAGCGCTTAAGCGTGTCGTCCCTAGGATAAGAAAACTAAGATTACAGCTCGACAGGTCCAGATCTATATCTCTAGCAGCCAATCTCTAATTTCCCCTTCCCCCCGTTTGCCCCGTTGCCCCGTTAATTTAGTGATTGTATGTGTATGTTCTTAATCGTATATTGATGATTATTTATAACGTTTGCCCATTGTGTTACATTTTAAATGATCGAAAAAATTGTATTTACAAATTTATAACTAGAAATTATACATTAATTGTGTGTCTGTGTCTCTCTATCCCTTTCTCTCCGCCCCAGTCTCCCCATTTCTCTCTCTCACTCTCTCTTTCTGTGTATGTGCGAGTGTGTTCTTTGACTAAGTTTATTATTTCAAACGCTGAAGCGGAATCAAACTATATGCAATATTTATGCACAGTACCTTGGGCGCTGCAAAAAAAACAAAAAAAAAACCATCTGCTAAATCAAAAATATACAATATACAGGAAGAAATAACTCAATATCAGCAGCAGCAAATTAAATACCATTTAGATTACTGTGCAAATCTAAGTAATATATTTAAAATATACCTTTATTTTATCTTATTTTACCTTATGCTTTTGTAAGTGCTTTAAATTGTTATTCATCTTGATCTTGCAAACAAACAAAAAACAAAAAAAGAAAAACGAATACAAAACTAAAAACAACACAAATTATATTTGTATTTATACATAAAAAATAAAACATTTTATATGCGATACACGAAAATAAGCACCTTATATTTTATTTTCTTTGCATGTTTGTTGATCGCTTTGCTTTTTTGGTTTCTAAAGTACGTTATATTACAACAGATCCTCAACGAACTGAAACAATAGCCCGAACACTTAGAAACTTAGCCTTATATCGATCGAAATGCCTCGACCAAGACGAAACCATAAACATTGAAGCGCAGAAATGGGGGAGCCATATCCCGTGTCTCTCAGTTAGAACAATAAGTACTCATGTGTTCACTCCCACCACCCACTCGAACCTGAATCTGAATCTGAACTGACCCCCGACCCTCGCCCCACGATCTTCCACCCACCATCTAAGCACCAACGGGTGACCCCAATCGGACGACGACCGTGAGTGTAAGTGCGTGATCTAGTACTTTATATAGTTAGCCTATAATACGATAATTCAAATGGAATAAGTCGAAGCCTGGCTTCGACTGGGCGGCGACCTAGTGGCCCCCAAAAACGAAGGTGAATCTGTATGTGAATCCCGCTGGGGATACGATTTGTTTTGATCTTGATCTTGAAACGCGGGGCAAGCCCAGCCCCACAATTATCGTGTTGAATTTTTCTATAGCATATAGAAAGAGGTGGAAATCGGAAAACGGACATGGAGAGCGCAGTCCCCAGGAGTAGCTGGCGGAGGAAGAGAAGAATGCCAAAGCACAAAATAAAGCCAACACGCAACAAAACACCAATAGGCCTCATCGAAGACATCAGACCATCAGAAACACTTTGAAACAACGATGTTACGATCAATAAGAATGAACCTAAATCAAAATAACGACGTGGATATTGACGAGGAAAGAGGAGAACCAAACACCAAAAAAAACCAAGAGCAAGGAAACGCTTTAAACTTAATTAATTCTAAAATTGTATCTAGGCGATATCGAAATGTAAGCCATACACCAACTATCCATAGTAGAAAACAAACACCAAAACAAATTGCTTAAGTGACTTACTTTAGATAACGATATTCGCGGGTAGGACCTCAGCCCCCAGAAACCTCGGACCTCAACCGATTTCCCACAACCGAATCGAACCCCAAAAGCCACCACCCTCACCCTCCCCCTCCCACATGTACGTCTGTAAGGTAACCAAACCACACGATGCAACCTCACCCCGTGTTCATAGTCCGATGAGAAGTTGTTCGATTTATAGTGAAACCTCGGTGCGGTTTCGATGTTGCAAGAATAAAAACAAATAGAGACGACGTTTTCTTTGTTCAAATGTTGCCAATTTGCTTAATACAAGTGTTATAGTACCATATACCATATGGAGTATGAATAATATATATTTAGAGACGAATTACATCGCAGTACTCTGTGACTTTTCCATTGAATCCGAAAAAAAAACGAAAAGCAAATATATATCTATATACAAAAAGCAACTAAAAAGTAGTTATCTTTGCATATGAAATATTAACCGACCTACGAGCATTAGATATATCTGTAGAATACTGCGAATATTGTTGAAGAATGACGATTAAATTGGAACTATAGGTAACAATCCAGAACAAAAGGTAAACAAGCCCACGACGAAACGCGATAAACGCAATAAACCACGTTTTCTTAGCTCTAGATCTTAAGATAAACAAATTAATTAAACGCAACAAAGCGATTGTGAAAATCGAGACAAAAGTCAACACCAAATAAATTATAGACAAAACTAAATCGTTGCAATGTTGAAGCAAATCTATATGTAAATCAATCTGCAAACGCTAAACAAACGTAACAAACATAAAAACTTAAATACAGCCACAAAATATTATTGCGAAATTAAATCGAAACCTTAAGGCATAGCTGTTCGAAACATTATACCGAAAATAACAATATTGAAGATATATTCAACATTTTTATGTGTCTGCATATTTGAAAGAAAAAGATAATAAATAACCTTTCCAAAACGTATTATTTTTATTACTTTTGACTTTTAAGATGGGATTACGGTAAGATTTATTTGATTGTTTGAAATTAAAAATTATATATTTTCCAAAAAATAATAAACATTAATCAAAAAAACTGAATAGTTACAAAATAATTCTTATAAAACCCGGGGAGCCATTAAAACTCGATCTCGACTTCATATTCTCGTTCATTTAAAACAGTTGACAGTGACAGGTTTTATTTTGTTCAGTATGTATGTATAAACTAAGGTGAATTTGTAGATACAGTCGTTCATTTGTTGGAACCCAAATGGTTCTATTCGTAAACTCAAGCCAAAATAAATGTATTATTTTATTGAGAGCTCGCTGTCACTATTAAGAGTTGTATTAAAACACCCATAAGGTGACAGATTTTATGGGAATTAAACCTAAATTATGTAACTAGCAATTTTAAAAATTAAAAAAAAATAGAAGGTTCTTGCAAACTCGCAGGGTTCGCCTGTTTATTCGGAGCCTAGCCATGCCGGCCAGAATTCCTGCGAACGCTGCTCGTTATGCGCTCAATAAGTCAATAAATTAAATTTTCAGTTGTCGTTCTCAATTCAGTTTCACTTAGGAATTACTTCAGGCGTAAGTTTTAATGCTAAATGTGTAAATATATTCCCAGCTTACCTCTAGTTTAAGTGATTCTTAAACGCTCTTCCCATGGGGTGTTGTGTAGTGATTAACAACGTTTAAACATATACGTTAGCGCTTAGGTGTAGTGGTGAAGTTCTATACAAGTTGATTGATGAATTGATGAATTGATGACTGGGACAACAGTCTATGCTTTATCATACATGCGGCGGCCTTTTACTTGAGCTACGACAACACCCCTCTAGTTAAATCTAGATTTACGTACAAAAAGTCTACAGCCCGCTTCAAGCGAATCAGATTCAGCTCGGGCGACGGACCTGGTTGGACCCGGTCCAGAGCTATGGCTCCTCCTCCAGCCTAAGGTCGTGGCATAGGCGCGTGGTCAGGTCGAAGCACAGGTGACTGCCCCCGCTGCTGTCCTCAGACTCCGGCGGAGTGCTGGCAGCAGCGGGAGTGGGAGTAAGAGTCGGAGTTGGAGTTTGAGCGGCTTGCCTGTCCGTACCAGGACCCACCGGCGAGTACGGCGGCGGGGTAATCGAATACGAGGGCGACGGCATCATTTCACCTGGCTCATTTTGCTGACACTATTGCGCTCCACCCGCCGCCGCATCCTTCGTATCGCCTGGCGGCGGCACCTCCTTCATGGACTCCACCTTGGCCACTATTTTAAGGGCTGGGCCCAACTTCATGCCCATGGCGTGCACTAGATGGTTCTCCTTAAGCAGCAGCAGCGCCTGGCCGTCGATTTCCTGTTGGATAAAGTCGTCCACGTAATCCTGACACCCAGGCAGTTCCCGGATGAAGTTGCTGACCTCCTCCACACTCCAGCTGCTGATAGGCGGGCGATCCGATCCATTCACATTACTTGATGGTAGGGTTACCGCAGGAGTGATTTCTCCAGCTGGAGCCACTGGCAGTGGTGCAGGAACAGCAATTGCAACTGGCAATGACAATGCCATGGGTAATGAAATAGGCGAAGAGGCCGGAATGGCCGCTAATACTGGCATTGTCATCGGTGCCACCTCCGTTGGAGCCGACTGAATGGGCAGGGTTTCGCACATCGCTTGCATGGCCTCCGTCTGCATCTTCTCCTCGGCCATGGCCTCGTCCAGTTTGTCTACCAATGCCATGGCGTCCACGCCTACGATGCCACCCGTGCCCAGGCCGTTTATCTCTCCTGTTCCAACTCCTCCGATGCCGTTCTTGGCTTGCTTGGCGCATCCCGGCGAGCAGAAGCGCTTCCGCTTGAGTTTCGTTTTGTGTTCCAGTTTTCCGCACTGTTCGCAAGCAACCATGTCCGAGGCTGGAGCTGATGCTATTCCACTCGGCTTGATGTCCTCCTGCATGGCTGCCTTTTTCTCTGCAAAATGAAGTGATGGAGATTAGATTTAAGCGTAAGTAACAGTGGCTTGTAGTATACTCACTTGGCGGCTCATCGCTGACGTCCTTGTCCGCATATCGCTGTCTGGTGACCGGAAATGGTTCGTTGGACTCTTGAATGATGAAATCACCGATGACGTGGGTTAGAACATTCGGCTTTATCATCGCCTTGGGCAGATCTTTAGCTCCATTGCTGATGCTCGTCGTAGTAGTTGTGGTGGTGCTGGTACAACTCGTGGTTAAAGTGCTGCAGCTGGTGGTGGTTGTGCTAGCCGTTGTACTGGAAGCGGTACTTGATGTTGTTCTGGCTATCCCGATCCCATTGCTGATCGTTGTCGTGGTTGGCGTTGATGTTGCGGACGTGGAGCTGACGGAGGTAGCCACCTTGTGTTCTTCCTTTCCACTGGCAGTGCTGGGAGTGGTGCTGCTGCTCGTCGGCAGCACCGCATTGCTTTGCTTGCTGGTGGGAGTGGTGGGGACCTTGGAGGGCGTGGAAGCCCGATCTGTGTTCTCTCCGTTGGGCAGAGCGTCATTCGTGGAACTGCTGGCCTCTACGGATGCACTGACACTAGCAGAAGTGGAGGATTTGGGTGTGGTGCAGGTATCATGTCCAGATGCAGGAGCAATGGGCGAATCAATGGGCACCAGGGTGGCTGTGGGCATCTTTGTTGGTGTCTCCTTGGAGGGCGTGGATACAAAGCTTCCTCCCCCTCCGCTGCCAGCACTGCTGAGCGTGACCAGCTGACCCGGCGAAGGAGTGATAGCGGTGCTAGTCACAGAAACAGTCACAGGCGGAGCCGTAGAGAGGTGCCCCACCGTGGCATTCATCATCGAGGTCATGGCCAGGATGGGATTCGTGGTTGGTGAGGGCGTGGTGGGCGTAAGTGAAGGGGGTCCCTGCTGCTGCTGTTGAGTTGCTGCTGCAATGGTGGCCGTGATTAGCTGCTGCTGCTGTTGTTGCTGCTGTTGTTGCTGCTGCTGCTGGAGCTGAGCTTGGGCATGCGCCTGCTGCAGACTGGCCATCGTGCTGCTGGTGACCAGCGGAGTGGTGCTCTGGTTGGTAATTGTGACCACACTGCTGGTGGGGAGGGAGGAACTGCAGGTGCCGGGCTTGGCCGACTGGAAAATGGCGCCAGAGGCGGAGAGAGCCGCCTGCAGGGCAGTGGAGGTGGCTATTCCGGCTGGGGTCGTTGTCGATGAAACCGAGAAGGGCACGCTGCTCAGCTGCAGCTGTCCGGATTGCTGTTGTGATTGCTGCTGCTGTTGGGCAGTAGCGCCACCCGACTGCTGGACCACAATCTGCTGGATGATATTCTGCTGCTGCTGCTCCCGCTGCTGCGCTTGGGCCTGCACCTGTGCCTGCGCCTGTTGCTGCAGTTGCTGCTGTATCAGTTGGTTGTGCAGTTGCTGCTGTTGCTGGTGAGATGTGATGAATTGGCTGGGAGCCACCTGCAGGATCTGCTGAGTCGCGTTAGCCAGCGCCTGCTGCTGCTGCGCCTGCGCTTGGGCCACTTGCTGTTGCTGCTCCCTTTGCTGTTGCTGAGCCTGCGCCACCGCCTGCTGCTGCTGCGCTACCGCTTGCTGTTGCTGGGCGTTCACCTGCTGCTGCTGCGAGACTTGCTGCTGCTGCTGCTGCTGTTGTTGCTGCGCCTGAACTGCCGCCTGCTGCTGCATCTGAATAGCAGCAATTTGCTGCTGGAACATTTGCTGCTGGAACATCTGCTGCTTCTGAATCTGAATCAGCTGCAACTGTTGCTGTTTGTCCACTCCTGCCGTAGTGGCTGCATTAAGTGTTTGTCCATTCTGGAGGGTGATGGGAGCGCCCGTAGTGCTCATCACAACCATTCTGTGGAGGAATATAAATAGTTAGAGGATTCTGTTTGAGTCTGACAGATCTTAACTCACTTGTTGCCTGCCGCATTGACCACCTGCTGGAGGTTAGTCGCCTGTTGTTGCTGCTGCACGGTGGTCAAGTGACCCACCACCTTGTTCTGGCCCGCGACCTGACCATTCTCCGTTTTCAAGGTGGGTAATGCGGGTCGCACCGGCTGCTGCTTGTTGCGCATCTTGGCCTTCAGCAGGCTCTGATTCTGGGCCGTCTGCGTGGACACAGAGCTGGCCGGCCGCACTTGAGTTCCATTGTGAGGCATGATCGGGGCTCCTGGCCGCTGCAGAGCAGCTGCCGTGAGCTGTTGCTGCTGTTGCTGCTGTTGCTGCAACTGGGCAGTAGCCACAGCCAGCTGCTGCTGCTGCGTCTGGTTTGTGGATCCTGCTTGTTGCGGCTGTTGCTGCTTGGGAGCAAGTGCGTCCAGTTGAGTGCGTGCCTTGGTCGGAGTTTGGGTCACATTGCACTGGATTATCTCTGTGGGGAAATAGTCTAAATTAGTATCGAATATATCAAATTTATCAAGTTATCCTACGGTTTTGCTGCGTCTGCAGGGTCTGCGTCGTCGGCTGCTGTTGGATGAACATGCTCTGCGTCCCATCCGGTTGGTTGCGCAGTATGATCTGGTTCGATCCGAAGGGCTGTAACCCTGCCGCATTCTGCCAGAACCAGGGGATCTGCATTTGTTGCGCCTGGCCCGCGTTCAGGAGTTGGGCAGTCTGCACGGACTGGGCGCCCACCCCCACTGGTAACGTCGACTGCGAGACCTGGACGCACTGCTGGGTGGTTTGGGTGGTCTGCTGCTGCTGTTGTTGGACCTGCTGCACCTGCTGCGCCTGTGTAGTCCCAGCGGATCCCGGCCCGGTCGCCGCCTGCACTGTGCTGCTGGTGGTCGTCACCTTTTGAACCACTTTCTGGGCCAGCTTGCCCTGCGCATCCACGCCCACTTTGGCCAGTGCAGCTGTCAGCTGTTGCTGCTGTTGTTGTTGCTGCTGGGTAAGCTGTTGCTGCTGGGTGAGCTGCTGCTGCTGTTGCTGCGTGAGTTGTTGCTGCTGCTGAGCGGCGGCGGCCATCTGCAGCAAGTTCTGCTGCTGCTGCGGCGAGTGGGAGATGACACTCACCGGCGAGATAAGCAGCGTCTGAGGCGACTGGTTGTGGTTTGAGGGAATACAGGTGGCGTAGTTGCCGCCCGCGAATCCAGCCTGGCCGCCGATCATCTGCTTGGCGTTCTGCGTCGTGGTGGTGAGCATCTGGGGGCCGTTCCCCTGGAAGGGCTTGCCAGCGGTGATCACCTGGATGGGCTGCTGGCCAAGGCCGCCTGAGTGCAGCACATTGCCCGACACGAACATCTGCGGGTACAGGAAGCTGGTCGACGGCTGCATCAGCTGTACTGCCCTTCCCTGCGACCAGTCCCCGCCCACGCCTCCGGTGGTCGCCGCTAGCTGCATCGGTGACATAGTGCTGATAGCGGTGGACTGCTGGGAGTTGGCTGGGCTGGGTGCTCCTCCTGCTGCTCCTGCGTTCCCCGATGCTCCACCTCCCGCTCCTCCCCCTCCAGTAGCATCGGACAGCTGCTGCTGCAATTGCATCTGCTGCTGAACATCGAGAATGTTGGCTGCGTGCTTCAGCTCTGTGCTCCCTCCTCCAGCCGTGTGCGTTGGGAACTCTTGCTTCACCTGGATGGCATAGGGATTGGTCGCATAAAACTGCTGCAGCTGTTCGGGGGAGATCTGGAGCGCCGTGGTGGCGGCCGCCACTTGTTGGGCGGGACTCTGTGACTTCTCCAGCTTGAAGGCGCGCGGCTTTGAGTTTGGAGTTCTTGGTGAGCTGCTCGTTAACGGCAGAAGTGGGTGGCGCCGCCTAATAGGTGGCGTTCCGGCTGATCCGCGTGTTTTGGTGCTGGGCGACTGGGACGGACTGGCAAAGTCCTCGTCGAAGTTGATGCCCGCTTTCTGTGCAAGTGTTTCCAGGCACCTGAGCGGTCGCTGGGGATCGTCGTGAGTGGTGGGGATGCAAGCGCCCTTTACGGTTTGATTAGTTCCTCCTCCGGATGTGGTTGATACAGGTGAAGGTGGCGGTGTACTTGTTGTTGTTGCTCCTGCTGTTGATGTGCTATCCGTGACCGCACTGCAGGAGAAAGAGAACGACGATCAGTAAACATCGCGTATAAACACAAACAAACACAAACACACTTGGGGCGGCTTCGAAAGCGTGGGGCATGCTTCATATTCTTTAATCGCTTGACCAACAAACCGCCCAACAACAAACTATGACTACAACGCGCTCCCGCCAAAGTGCTCTCTTCCAACTAATTGGGGATCGGAGAGTGCGGAGAGCAGAGAAGAGGGTCAGCTATACGCTCTAAAGAGGAACAAGCAATGAGAGGAGTGCCAGTGCAAAAGAGACGGATGATCACTAAGAAAGACAAAGACGGGATCGTGTAATAATGCACTTACGATCCAAAAACGGCAGAGAACGAAAACGAAAACAATGTCTAGAATAAAAAGTGAGACGGAACGAGATACACTTTGTTTTGGGTGATCATTCACACACAAGCTAAATTAAGTTACAGTGGATAGCGTTAAAGTCAAACAGACGAGATCCATTTTTCAAAAATACTTTGAAATTTGTTTAAGTTTAATTGAAATTTTTTAAAGAAAATTCAAGCAAAACTTGTATAACAAACCATTTTCAGTTTGTCAGTTCAAAAGTATCTCGTAAATTTATTATGTGCCGTGACCCACTAAAAATGCACTGTTTTGCATAGATGCAACACAATGTTTAAAGGAGGTCACTTGTCTCTGTTGCCTGTGCCTGTGCCCACAACTTCTATTTTTAGTAGCCTTGCTCTCCTGCTCTCTGATGCCTATCCTGCTGTCCTCCTCTGTCTATCCTCGTCCTCTGTTTATCGTCCCATTCAGTCAATCCTCCTCCTTCGCAGAAAGCAAGTTTGAGTGGGAGTAAGCGAGACGACCTTTATTTATGGGTTGCATAGAACCATGATAATGGTATCCAAGGGGGGCAGTTCAAAGACCTGCAATGCGAGCCCAAAATGTTGACAGTTGCCAGTTGTCCAGGAGTAACAAATAGTTGCGGTTTCGGATGTTCAGATGAGGAGTACCAAGGGGGTTTAAGAGTTACCCCTGCTTAGTCGGGGGTGGATTTCCATCCGCAGTGTGAGTGTTACGGATTCGGATTCGGATCCGGATCCGGATTCGGAATAGAACTAGACGCAGCAGCAGCATCTTCAACTTGCAACCGAAAGACTGGTTTCTCTCCACTGTGCGAGTGTGTAGTATGTGTGTGTGTGAACGTGTGTAGCGGCAGACGGCTTACAACAATGCCAAAGCCATCATCATTTGATTTTCCCTTCAACCAAAAATTGAGTTGCAAGAGGCAGCGAGACAGAGGAAGAGGAGGAAAACGAAGAGGCAGGGAGGAATGACAACAATGCGGGGCAAACAACTGAAAGAGAGCATGCGCCGACGATGGCGGCGTCTCGAAAAATATGTTTTCTCCTCTCCATTCAGTTATCTCGTTTTCATTTCGTTTCTTAGGTGTGCGGGGTATATTAAACGAATTTAAAGCACCTGTGCACGCGATCTTACATAAAATAGGCAACGACGACCACTCTAAACGTCTCACAGCATTAATTGTGTCTTTGCTTTTTTTTGGTGTTTCTTTTTCTTACGTTGTTTTTATTCAAGGCGACGACACACTCCACTATCCGATACACTTTCCAGCGCGCTGCCTACGTTGCCAGCGTCGCGACACCCATAAACATTTTCGTTTCTCCTCATTTCATTGAGTATTGCGGTATTGCATTCACTAATCCACTAAGCGTCGATCGCAAGCACAGATGTGCAATTGTCGCGAAAAAAAAATAAATAAAAAATACGACGGGGCAGTGGCAGTGTGTGTGAGTCGCGTCGGCGAGAGACTTTTTCTCCGTTTAATACGTCCACTACAATTTCACACGACCGGACCGCAGAGCGCAAGAACCGCACGCCGCCAAATTTATTTTCAATCTGAGCCGCGCGCCAGAGCGACAACTCTACGCTGTCTTTCCATTTCCATCGGGAAACAAAATGAAGTGCGCATGTGTTCGTTTGCGCCTGTGTGTGTGTGGTGTGCAGCTGGCATGGAACGAACCCGTTTCTCTGAAGATACTTTTGCGACTATCAACTTTTCTCTATACCAAAATGCGCGGGTGCGAGTGCGATGGCACTAGGGCTGGTTCGCGTCGAGAGCGTGTGCGAGCGGGATGGCATCAGCGCGCTTGGGGTTGGAATGAAACGGCAGCAGTTTAGTTGGCAAGGCAAATCGAGTAAAAAAAAGCAGGCATCGAGGCTACAGCTGGCGGGCATATGTGTGCGTGTGGTTTCAACCACCCCGATTGTGGGCCCCCTGCCCCTGGAAATATAAAATATACGCACTACCAAATCCAGTTTTCTGTGTCTGTACACCCGAATGTCTACCGCCCGATTGTTGCTATACTTCATCTTCTTTTTTTCGTTCCACCACCAGTACCCACTACCTCCTCCTTTCTCATTTCTCCCTTCCCCTTTTTCGCATCGGATCGGATCGGCTTTACTTTATTATTAGTTGTGCTTGTCGGAAACAGAAGGTGGAAGAGAAAGAGGAAGGGAAAGGGGAGGGGTAGCGTATGCGCAGAGGCAGAGCGAAATGTTTTTTCACTCACTCTGCCGAACAGTGGTATGCGATACATTATTATTGGATTACATATTTGTTGTTGTAGTGATTAACCGTGAGCTAAGTGGAGCAAATTCCCTTTGGGGACTGTGTTCATAGCATTCAAATAATTGTTGCTTGCAGTATGTACCAATTCAAAGCTCGTAAAAATTAAATAGATCGGATTTAACTAAAAATCCTTCCTAATATTTATTGGCTTATTATAACCACCTAATTAATAATTAAAATTCAACAGACGTTGACTTGCAAAATTTGCCTACAATCCACCTTGTCCCACTGTGCCTGTCTTTGGCATTTCATTTTTCATTTTGTACTCGCCTGTGCTGTGTGTGTGTGTCGTTGTATGGGTGCGTCGCTTTGGGCTCTTGTCGGTCTTCTTCTTTTCTTCCCCTCCAACAACAACGTGGCTGAGCCCCACAAATGTTCATCATTCCTATTACTATTGTTGTTGTCCGACTGAATTTCGTTTCGTCTTATTTCTTTTGCTTTTTGCTGCCGCCATATTATTTGTATGCTCGTTAAATGCTGTTTCTCTCGCTCCCAGCTTTACTTTTTTTGTTCTCTTCTAGTGTACGTTTGGGGCAGCTTGGTATTGGTATTTTTTGTTGAGCTTTTTTTTTTTGTTGTTTTGGGGGTCCTCCTTCGCCGTTATTTCCTCTTTCGTCTCTTCTTCTTCGCACGCTCAACTGTACAAGAAGTCGAGCATGCGCTCTTCCTCTTAATATTCCTACCGATTCAATTAATTTCTTCCAACTTGTTGGGTTGTTGCTGTTGGGGCGAATGTGGTGTGAGCGAGCGAGCGAGTTTGTGTGTGTATTTGCATTTCGTAAAAATGACAAACGCTTAATGAGCGTAAATTGCTTTGCGCGTGCCTTCCTCACACTCGCACATTGCCTCTCGCTCTGGTGCATAAGCATTAGCGCATACATCCCTCTCCCTTGCTCGCTGTAATAGAAACTTACCCGCAAATTTACCTGTTGTTGTATTGTTGCTGTTGGACAATTTTCAGAATTTCCTACACCATTTTTGTGAATGATCAAGAGATACATACATTCATATGTATACATATGTATGTCTAATTATAGATACGTACTAACGAGGTAGTATTGGTGGCTAAAGTGATGACCAAAGCTGCCCGTTATTTTTGTAGTTGTTGCTAAAATTGTTGTAATATATACAAAAGTTTTGTTGTCACAAGGCGTGGCTAACGGTAAAAATGGAAATTTCAGGATCGCTGACAAATTTCCACCCTTCAAGTACAGTAAATATTACATAAAATAACTCGGAGTAGGATATTCACAGCAACTAACATATTTTTGGGGTTATCCCCCAGACTGGTAAAAATTGATAGCATATGTAGTTTTTACAAAAATTGGAAACAAAAAAATTGTTCTATCACTCGGCACCCTGCTTTTTTATTGGGGTGTAACCCCCAAAACCCCCAGCTTACCCACTGCCATAATCACTTTCTATTGCTGACTATATAAAGTTAAAAGCTATTGGGAATTATAACATCATTTGTTATAAGTTTCTATACGAGGAACCCAAAAATTGGACAATGTTATTTAGTTTTACTTTGCTTTGCAATAAAACCTTTTTGATTAAAAAGCTACAAATGACTTTCTTGTGTTCTCCCGTACTAACCTTTTTAATATATTTTTGCTGGTCCCCAGGGAAACTGAGTAAACTGTACCCAACTAACTAGCACTGTGCAGGAAAGTGCCGCGATAAGAATAAGAGGGGTGAAACCCTTGCAAAAATCAAATGGGAATGCGGAAAAGGGTTGACCTCTGACACTTGCAGACCTCGGCGACCCCAGTGCACCCTTAGCCACCATTTTAGGCGCTGCAGTGAAAACGATTTCCAAGCAAAGCGGCTACAATTACCCTCAAAAGCAACACTATTCGGGATTATAAACGGAATGGATAGCGAATTCAACCCCTAGGTTCATTTTAAGGGGTGAAAGGCCAGGGTCGCGGGTAATTCAGGAAAATCACTAAGAAAAACAGGGGAATTGTACTTGTTCATGTGGAATTTGGGATCGATCATTATTTCGAATGTTACTTGTACCCTCCATGAATAGAATCACAAAACCCTAATGACTTACATTTTTTAAAAAATTGTGGAATAACTCGTGTTAAAAATATTTTTAATTCGAATTACTCAGCTCTATTACATGATCCTCACCTCATGACTCATATAATCATTAACCTGATTGTGAGTTGATTTTAAAAATCAGTTTTACAGCTTTTAAAAAAATATCAATGGACACAAAACGAGATGACACATTCCGTTGGGTAAAAGTAGAAAAATAGTTTTATTTTAGACCACAAGCCTCGAATTCTTCAGAACAAATTCTTTTTTGCTTAGCCAAATTCCGCGTATCATTGTCATAAATCAAAGCACAAGTCCATTCTTGAGGTTTAAAGCTGTATCCAAAAAGTTTATTTACTTACCCTAAAAAGAATGTAAGAAATTTTTTTAAATTTGTAAAATTTATTATTAAGAAACATACTATTTGTTTTTAATCTGATATATTTCGCTTGCTTTTATGAGCTAATAATGGCTCATAGTATTAGCTTCGATTCATAGGACGAACGAATGGCTTATAAAAACAAAGGTCGCTATTTTGATCACAAGCTTCTTGTAGAAGTATTTTGTGTAAATAATTAACCATATAAACATAACATTTTAAGTTATGATCTAAAGAGCTTGCAATAATAAAACTAATAAATTAGTCCCTAATGAAGTAGAAAGATATAGTAGATAAGAACGGTATACAGATTTACATCCCAAGGTGGCATACCTTTAAAATGTTGTGGTTAAATTCTGCTCTCAAATTTTTTTTTTAAAGTGACTTTCCTCTTAAAGTTTAAAGTGGTTTTTAAACGGTGCTGAATTTTTTGACTCATTTTCATGTTGGATATATCCATGTTTCTAGTTTGATGGCAGAAATGTAACCCGATATAATCAGCATTCAAACCATGCAAGTTCGTTAAATTAGTATAAAAAAGAAATGTTGATTAAAACGCCAGAAATGATATCTATTGTTTGGAATTAAATTTAAAGAATAAAAAAAAGAACTTTTGAAAATGTTTTGGTTGATTTTAAGAGTTATATGTGTATGTACAAAGGAATTACCATTCTCCATTTTGAATTGCCAGCAGCAACAAAAACAAATAAACAACAACAACAATTCATAGGTAAGCCCACCGATCCGAACCCAAAGTCGCCGCTTTGCCTCTGCCGGCGCTCAAAACAAAATGCCGACGGAAAGGTGGAAGTGAAGAAAATGGTGGGGTGGTGAAAGGAAAGAGGGAGGGAGTGTCACCGCCTCTGCGACCGTGTGTAAGACAAGGACGACAATAAGGCACTCACAGCCGGTCTCTTTCTGCGTTCTGGGGGCGTGGCATAAAATTGTGGTGAGTTTGGCGTATAACAGTTTATATTTCAGAAAAGGCTTACATATTTTATTTTGTAGATTTAATTAACCTTTTAAAATAGATTTTAGATTGATTCTTTTGGTAGATTTTTGAAACTTTGTTAAATGGTAAATATGTACTTATTTAATCGATCCTCTTAAATGGGTAATATTTTAGATACAGGATTTAAGCCTATGAACTATAAAGATCCCCTATAATGTATTAGTTTTTACTCAAGGTTGGTTTACAACATATTTTAAACATTTTAAACTTTTCTTTTTTATACTTCGAATAAAATTGTTGTTTAATTTAAAACTCAATATCCCTCGTGTAGATAATGTCATCTTGAATATTCATAAAAAGTTTAAATAAAATTGATTTATAACTTTTTGAGTTTCAAAAAAAAGAGATTTAAAAAAACGCGAATGAACGAAAACGCATCAGTCGTAACTTCTCCCAAGTGCTGATTCGATCAATTAAAATAGGTTTAAGACTTAGACTTTACTTTTACTTATTTTTTTTTAATATAAAACCACGTTATCTCTTATCCAAGAACTGTTGGCTGGAGAGCTTTTAAAAAATGAGGATTAAAAGATATATTGTACAGCTTATCACACTTAATTATCACCAGTTTCTGGAATTAAACAGAAACATTAATCGGGTAAAGGATATTGTTGTATTGTTATTGTTCATTTTAATCCAGCAATTAAGCCTTTTCAGCTGAAATTGTTCGATTAAAACATTAATAATTGTAGAGATCACAACACATGTTATCAATGAGAAGCTTAGTTTTATTCAATCTGAATCATTTAATTTATGACAATAATAGTGCTGACCATAAATCGTCTTTAAATTTTTGTAACCAAAAGTAACCATATTTTGGTTGTTATATAGTTAAAATTGGAGACAACAAAAATAATTATTTATTTTCTAAGTCAATACTATTTTGATGTATAATAAAGCTTAAGTCTTTGGAATTGAATTAAGTTAAAATTCAAAGTGGTAGATCAAATTAATTCTTTGTTCAGATCCAAATTTGGATAGTTCCACACATTTTGTTTGAAATAAATTTAACTTGTGAAACGCAAACCCCAACGAAAACCAAGAAAAGTGTATGTTTTTACATTTATTAATCACTATACAGTGCATTTGTATTTAGTTCAGCAATAGCAAAAAAAATAAAAAAAAATTAGCTTATGTATAGGCATTCAAAAGTTGTAGCAAAAAGTTCAAATTCACATTTAGATGTTTTCTTCTCTTTCGCAAGTTTAAAATGTTTTAGTTGTTATTACAATCTTAATCGTAAATTTAATTGCTTAGTTTAAAATACTAGTAAAAACTATACATGACGATGCGTTTTATTAAAATGCTACATATGCTCTACACTTATGCTTAAATGTACAATTCTATTTATTTCACTTGGCTGGCAGGTCAATTAAAATATTATTCGTAGCTTATATTTATTTTAAGTAATTCCATGCGTTTTCCGACTGTCGGGTTTTAATTTCTAAATAAATATCTTAATTCTTTTGGAACTATATACAATTTGATGGGTTTTTGGATTTGCTGGCCTAGTGATGTTAAGGACTTTACGTTTGGGTTTGCGTGCTCCTCGCCAGTCCGATTGAATCAGATTATCCCGGCTCGCCGGACTTATTGACCAGTACCATTGACCGGTTTGGAGATCATCTTCTGGGGCCCCTCGCACTCTAGCTGCCGCTACTGAGCTCCTGCGTCCTTAGCCTCGCCAGGTGGCGGAACCTCCTTCATGGACTCCACCTTGGCCACAATCTTGAGGGCTGGGCCCAGCTTCATGCCCATGGCGTTCACCAGATGGTTCTCCTTCAGCAGCAGCAACGCCTGGCCGTCGATCTCTTGCTGGATAAAGTCGTCCACGTAGTCCTGACACCCAGGCAGTTCTCGGATGAAGTTGCTGACCTCCTCCACACTCCAGCTACTGATGGGCGGGCGATCTACCCCATTGGCACCCGAAAACGGTGGTGCCACCGCAGGAGTGACCAGGGGCAGTGCTGCAGGAGCGGTTATTGCCAATGGCAACGGGGATCCCGAAAGCAATGGAAGTGGGGAAGAGGCTGGAATGGCCGCTAGTACTGGAATTGTCATCGGTGTCACCTCCGCTGGAGCCGACTGAATGGGCAGGGTTTCGCACATCGCTTGCATGGCCTCCGTCTGCATCTTCTCCTCGGCCATGGCCTCGTCCAGTTTGTCTACCAATGCCATGGCGTCCACGCCTACGATGCCACCCGTGCCCAGGCCGTTTATCTCTCCTGTTCCAACTCCTCCGATGCCGTTCTTGGCCTGCCTGGCGCATCCCAGCGAACAGAAGCGCTTCCGCTTGAGCTTCGTTTTATGTTCCAGTTTTCCGCACTGCTCGCAAGCAACCATGTCCAAGGCTGGAGCTGATGCTATTCCACTCGGCTTGATGTCCTCCTGCATGGCTGCCTTTTTCTCTGCGAAAATAAGTGATGGAGATTAGAATTATGCAATAGTAATAGTGGCTTGTGTACTCACTTGGCGGCTCATCGCTGACGTCTTTGTCCGCATATCGCTGTCTGGTGACCGGAAAAGGTTCGTTGGCCTCCTGGATGATGAAGCCATCAATGACGTGTGTTAGGACATTTGGCTTGATCATTGCCTTGGGCAAATCCTTCACCCCATTTATACTTCCAGCCGTAGTGGTTGTGGTGGTGCTGGTACAACTTGTGGTTAAAGTGCTGCAGCTGGTGGTGGTTGTGCTAGCCGTTGTACTGAAGGTGGTGTTTGATGTGGTTCTGGCTATTCCGATCCCATTGGTGATCGTTGTCGTGGTTGGCGTTGATGTTGCGGACGTGGAGCTGACGGAGGTAGCCACCTTGTGTTCTTCCTTTCCACTGGCAGTGCTGGGAGTGGTGCTGCTGCTCGTCGGCAGCACCGCATTGCTTTGCTTGCTGGTGGGAGTGGTGGGGACCTTGGAGGGCGTGGAAGCCCGATCTGTGTTCTCTCCGTTGGGCAGAGCGTCATTCGTGGAACTGCTGGCCTCTACGGATGCACTGACACTAGCAGAAGTGGAGGATTTGGGTGTGGTGCAGGTATCATGTCCAGATGCAGGAGCAATGGGCGAATCAATGGGCACCAGGGTGGCTGTGGGCATCTTTGTTGGTGTCTCCTTGGAGGGCGTGGATACAAAGCTTCCTCCCCCTCCGCTGCCAGCACTGCTGAGCGTGACCAGCTGACCCGGCGAAGGAGTGATAGCGGTGCTAGTCACAGAAACAGTCACAGGCGGAGCCGTAGAGAGGTGCCCCACCGTGGCATTCATCATCGAGGTCATGGCCAGGATGGGATTCGTGGTTGGTGAGGGCGTGGTGGGCGTAAGTGAAGGGGGTCCCTGCTGCTGCTGTTGAGTTGCTGCTGCAATGGTGGCCGTGATTAGCTGCTGCTGCTGTTGCTGCTGTTGTTGCTGCTGTTGTTGCTGCTGCTGCTGGAGCTGAGCTTGGGCATGCGCCTGCTGCAGACTGGCCATCGTGCTGCTGGTGACCAGCGGAGTGGTGCTCTGGTTGGTAATTGTGACCACACTGCTGGTGGGGAGGGAGGAACTGCAGGTGCCGGGCTTGGCCGACTGGAAAATGGCGCCAGAGGCGGAGAGAGCCGCCTGCAGGGCAGTGGAGGTGGCTATTCCGGCTGGGGTCGTTGTCGATGAAACCGAGAAGGGCACGCTGCTCAGCTGCAGCTGTCCGGATTGCTGTTGTGATTGCTGCTGCTGTTGGGCAGTAGCGCCACCCGACTGCTGGACCACAATCTGCTGAATGATATTCTGCTGCTGCTGCTCCCGCTGCTGCGCTTGGGCCTGCACCTGTGCCTGCGCCTGTTGCTGCAGTTGCTGCTGTATCAGTTGGTTGTGCAGTTGCTGCTGTTGCTGGTGAGATGTGATGAATTGGCTGGGAGCCACCTGCAGGATCTGCTGAGTCGCGTTAGCCAGCGCCTGCTGCTGCTGCGCCTGCGCTTGGGCCACTTGCTGTTGCTGCTCCCTTTGCTGTTGCTGAGCCTGCGCCACCGCCTGCTGCTGCTGCGCTACCGCTTGCTGTTGCTGGGCGTTCACCTGCTGCTGCTGCGAGACTTGCTGCTGCTGCTGCTGCTGTTGTTGCTGCGCCTGAACTGCCGCCTGCTGCTGCATCTGAATAGCAGCAATTTGCTGCTGGAACATTTGCTGCTGGAACATCTGCTGCTTCTGAATCTGAATCAGCTGCAACTGTTGCTGTTTGTCCACTCCTGCCGTAGTGGCTGCATTAAGTGTTTGTCCATTCTGGAGGGTGATGGGAGCGCCCGTAGTGCTCATCACAACCATTCTGTGGAGGAATATAAATAGTTAGAGGATTCTGTTTGAGTCTGACAGATCTTAACTCACTTGTTGCCTGCCGCATTGACCACCTGCTGGAGGTTAGTCGCCTGTTGTTGCTGCTGCACGGTGGTCAAGTGACCCACCACCTTGTTCTGGCCCGCGACCTGACCATTCTCCGTTTTCAAGGTGGGTAATGCGGGTCGCACCGGCTGCTGCTTGTTGCGCATCTTGGCCTTCAGCAGGCTCTGATTCTGGGCCGTCTGCGTGGACACAGAGCTGGCCGGCCGCACTTGAGTTCCATTGTGAGGCATGATCGGGGCTCCTGGCCGCTGCAGAGCAGCTGCCGTGAGCTGTTGCTGCTGTTGCTGCTGTTGCTGCAACTGGGCAGTAGCCACAGCCAGCTGCTGCTGCTGCGTCTGGTTTGTGGATCCTGCTTGTTGCGGCTGTTGCTGCTTGGGAGCAAGTGCGTCCAGTTGAGTGCGTGCCTTGGTCGGAGTTTGGGTCACATTGCACTGGATTATCTCTGTGGGGAAATAGTCTAAATTAGTATCGAATATATCAAATTTATCAAGTTATCCTACGGTTTTGCTGCGTCTGCAGGGTCTGCGTCGTCGGCTGCTGTTGGATGAACATGCTCTGCGTCCCATCCGGTTGGTTGCGCAGTATGATCTGGTTCGATCCGAAGGGCTGTAACCCTGCCGCATTCTGCCAGAACCAGGGGATCTGCATTTGTTGCGCCTGGCCCGCGTTCAGGAGTTGGGCAGTCTGCACGGACTGGGCGCCCACCCCCACTGGTAACGTCGACTGCGAGACCTGGACGCACTGCTGGGTGGTTTGTGTGGTCTGCTGCTGCTGTTGTTGGACCTGCTGCACCTGCTGCGCCTGTGTAGTCCCAGCGGATCCCGGCCCGGTCGCCGCCTGCACTGTGCTGCTGGTGGTCGTCACCTTTTGAACCACTTTCTGGGCCAGTTTGCCCTGCGCATCCACTCCCACTTTGGCCAGTGCAGCTGTCAGCTGTTGCTGCTGTTGTTGTTGCTGCTGGGTAAGCTGTTGCTGCTGGGTGAGCTGCTGCTGCTGTTGCTGGGTGAGTTGCTGCTGCTGCTGCTGAGCGGCGGCGGCCATCGACTGCAGCAAATTCTGCTGCTGCTGCGGCGAGTGGGAGATGACATTCACCGGCGAGAAAAGCAGCGTCTGGGGCGACTGGTTGTGGTTAGAGGGAATACAGGTGGCGTAGTTGCCCCCGCGAATCCAGCCTGGCCGCCGATCATCTGCTTGGCGTTCTGCGTCGTGGTGGTGAGCATCTGGGAACCGTTCCCCTGGAAGGGCTTGCCAGCGGTGATCACCTGGATGGGCTGCTGGCCAAGGCCGCCTGAGTGCAGAACATTGCCCGACACGAACATCTGCGGGTACAGGAAGCTGGTCGACGGCTGCATCAGCTGCACTGTCCTCCCCTGCAAAAAATCCCCGCCCACACCTCCGGCCGCCGCCGCCAGCTGCATCGGTGACATGGTGCTGATGGCAGTGGAGTGCTGCTGTTGCTGGCTTTGCTGCGAGTTGGCCGGACTAGGGGCTCCTCCGGCGGCGCCCGAGGCTGCTCCTCCGCCACTGGCTTCCGAAAGCTGCTGCTGCAGTTGCAACTGCTGCTGAACTTCCAGAAGGTTGGCTGCATGCTTTAGCTCCGTTCCATTTCCACCGGCCGTGTGGGTTGGAAACTCCTGCTTCACCTGGATGGCGTAGGGATTGCTTGCATAGAACTGCTGCAGCTGCTCCGGCGAGATCTGCAGCGGCACCGTGGTGGTGGCCGCCACCTGCTGGCCGGGATTCTGCACCTTCTCCAGCGTGAGGCTGTGGCGGGCAAGGGCTTGAGAAAGGGATTGGGCGTGGGAGTTGGAGTTGGGTGTGCTGGGTGCACTCGGCCTGCTCGGAGTGTTTGGGGTGTGAGCGTGCCTGCGGGCGGTGGGCGGAGTTCCGTGGCGATGGCTTGTGGGGGTGACTGTGCCTGATCCTGTGCCTGTGCCTGTTCCTGATCCTGGAGTCGCCTGCTGCTGGGCAATGCCGGGATGAGGGGGGCTGCCCACATCGTATTTCTCGTCAAAGGTGATGCCCGCCTTCTGGGCGAGCGTTTCCAGGCACTTTAGTGGCCGCTCGAGCTGCTTGCCACCGCCTTGTTGTTGTTGCTGCTGCTGATGGGGATGCTGCTGGTGCGAGTGGTTGTGCTGGGAGCTGTTATTGTTGTTGTGATTGTGGTGCAGCGGCTTCTCGCGGATGTTGGAGTTGTCCTTCAGGGGTAGAGTGCCACCTGCTGATATGGCCGATGCTGGTGTCCCCTGGGATGCTGTGGTGCTCACTGTTGTGGTGGTAGTATCGCTTTCTGTGTCCGCTCTGCGGGATCGGATAAAAAAAAGAAGAGTTGAGAGATCAGTAAACATTTGCTTAACAGAAAAACTGCTAAATCATTTTGGACCACACGCAAACAAGCTGGAAGAGCTGTATTCCTAATGGTCTTCTCTTGTCCTGGCGACAAACAATAACAAGCCAGTGCAAACAGACACCAATATCCTCCAAACCAAACAAAAAAACAGGTTAAACCATTTGTTTTATCTGTGTTGCATGGTTATTGCATTATATCGACTTGGAACATTTCTGGGCATAAATTTAAAATACCAAGAAAATGCTTTATATGTAAGATTGTTTTTTAATCGGTTAATATGAATCACAACGTTAGGTTACTAACTATATTCAGGGGGAAGAAAAAGAAGAAATCTACTATATTTTCTACAAATTTAACAATTAAGTTATTATTTTACAGTATTAAATAACAAATAAAAGACTTTAAAATAAACACATTTTATAACATGACAAATTAATGTAAAATAGCTTAAAACCGATCACGACAACTCCATATGACGAATAAATAAAACACTTTTTATTTACCCCCTAAAAAAAATAAACTCTGGCTTCTTGGTAAATATTAAAATCTGGGTTTAGTCATTCGAAAATGCGTGAGACAAATGCTGGAATTAGCAAACAAAAAAGCTCTTATTTAATAATCATATTTACAAGGTAAATATTAGGGTGGCGACTTGAAAGTGAGAGAAAAAAAAGGTGGTGCATTTTATAATTTTGGTATGGAACACATACAATTTTAATTTCTTAATAATTGACATTTAAAGAAGGTCAAGACTGTAGAAACTATAAATGTGTCACCATTTTCCTACAAAAAAAATCAAATGATTTATTGGGAAAGATTGTCCCTCTGATTACTTTTAGGTAGCTTCCCGAAATATTCTTTCATTTTGTGAACCTTCCTTTCCTTACCCGCCCTTACTGAACGACAATGAAAATTTGGCAAAATGCAAAAAGGACTTTTGCTTTCATTGAAACAAAAGAAAGGAGCGGGCCGACAGCCATATCTACGGATTGTCGAATTTCCATGTCAGGCATCGATGCCGTATCCGTTTTTCCACATTTGACAACAAACCGGGAAACTAATTCAGCCACGCAGCTGGCACCGTTGGATGGTATTGCACAGGGACACAGGACACAAAAGCCGATTCGAATTGCAGGCGAAGTTCAAGGACCTTCCTATCGCAATGCTAAAAACGCTGACAGTTGGGAGCAACACGAGATGGTTAGTGTTTCGTACAGTTGCGGTCATAATACTAGGAAATATACAGAGAATTAGGAGTTATCTGGTTTTATTTGGGAAAAGTTTAATGATTGCAAGATGCCATCAAAATAGTTCTTCTATATTCGTAAAGATATTTGTCTGTACGTCATTTGTTTACAAGTAAAGCAAATGAACGGTGGGCAATTATCTGGAATATAAACAAATAATTAAATACAATGACTCGAATTCTGTGTTCTATTTGGCTGACCTCAGCTGTGATTTCCAGCAATCCGGAGAGGCTGATCCCTCCCCCTCTACCCTTCACCCACTTAAATACGCCAAGGCCCATAAAAAGCAAGAGCATAAAAGGGAGAAGTAGAACGAAGGCAGGAGGACAAGCGAAATGGGTTGTAAAAGCCGGTAAAAGCATTTTGGGGTAACCATCATGTCGCTGCTACCCTCAACAAAAAATAAATACAAAAAGAAAGGTGGATAGGGGTGGTGGGCGTTCTAGAGGGGTGGATATTTCGACACAGGGTGGTGGGTGCACGTGTATATGTGTGTGTAAGTTGAGATCGCCGCCACCCGCAGTGAAAAAGTCTTCAAAAAAGACTGGTTTCCCACTTGGAGTATGTGTGTATGAACCTCTTACAACAGTTTTGCTGCAAGCTGGAAACGGCAGTAAAAATGCGGGGGAAACAAACACAAACACACAGGCGGTAAGCATGCGCCCAAAAGAGAAGGGCGGGGGAGCTCGAATTCAAATCAAATATCAGTTCCAGTGGAATCAGGCGTGCAAAATGCGAGGGAACGAGCGAGAGAGCTGTATGACAGCATATTGATTGATATACACAAACGAGTTTTGCAATCGAAAAAAGAGAAAACCCATGTGAGTGAACGAGATGAAACATACAGCTGTAAACAGAGTTGTCAACTGTAAAAAAAAAATTCACTACCAAAACGTATACGGATTCAGTTAAAATTATTTTTCAGTGATCCCAATGCCCAATTATTAAATTAATATATTTGATTTTTTAAAAAATGAAAAGAACACATATTTTTTTACCTAAAAGTGAAGATTAAAACACACAAATCTATATAACCTTAATTTAAGACTTTCGATTTTTGGGGTGCAGTCAAATATTATTGCTCGAAATTGTTTCGTTTAGAACCAAACAAAAAACATATTTAAAGACTTATAATTATTAATTTATTTTGGTTACAGTTGGCAGCCCTGTAGTAACAAATTTTTGTTTATTTCGGCAGAGAATGGAGCCAGAGAGAACCAGAACTAGAATGAGAGAGCAACCAGGGTTGCCGCATGCATTTTTCGACAACAACAAACACTGTTACCTTTTGGCATAGAACTTTTGTTTTTTCAATGTTGCCCCAGCGAGTATGTGCGGAGCGAGGGGAAATCAACTACCACCACCCGACGCACAAACACAGGCATGCATTGCGAAATTCGTTGTCAACAATGCAACAACACCGCACAGCAGGGGGCGTGTGATGGATGCGGGGAAGGTGAGCGGTGCAGGGTTGGAAGAATGGGGGAAACTCGTTTTGCGTCTTGTGAATTTCCTTCTTTTTTTTTGCACGCCAGTCGAGAGCATTTTATTATGACCGAACAGGGAATATCTCTCTGCAATTTTATTACAATGTGGTTTAACGTGTCACGATCCAGGCAATAAACAATCAATGTTTAAAAGCAACTTAAAATTTGATCCCACAACAAATACAAAGTCAGGGGACAATTGCAGGCAAAACACATGTAAGAAATACAATGAAAGTGATAAAAATTAAACGAAACCAAACAAAAAATACCTTTTTTGCATAAACTTTAATGCACGACGATCCATTATTCAAAATAAAAACAATATGTGTAATAAATTAATAGTATGCATGCGTCGGTGGTGGCGTTTTGTTTTCAGCGGCGGCGGAGACTCGTTGTTTTCATTGTTTTTATTGACTTGGCGCTTTCTTTTGGCCTTTAGTTTCTTTTTGTTGTATTTGTATTGTACATTAATAAACACAAAACACACAAATATGTGGAGGCAATAAATATAAACATACAGGCAACAACAAACATGTAACGTGGAATGCAAGACAACAAAATGTACACAAAAACGAATACGAATCCAAACCCGACGCAAGTAACAGTATGTGTGAGCGTGTGTGCTTGCGTGTAAATGAGTTTCGTGCTCGGGCAGTAGTAATTAGTACAAACTCCACTCACAGTCACTACTTCCACTCTCTTCCCGCTGGCTGCAGTCACTTTTTTTCTCAGTGCAAGTGTAATGATCAGGCACCTGTGCACGCGACCTTACAACAAAAAAAAAAAGCGCAATGACTACTTTAGACGCTTGTTTTTATTTCACTGCCTACGTCGCCAGCGACGGTTCGCCAGCTAGGGTTTCCACTGTGGCGCGGCATCACGTTTTCAGTAATGAACAGCACCGTTGGCACTAATCAAAAAAATAAAACAATTTATGCAGGGTATCAAGTGTGTTCGTCGCGTCGGCGCGATACTCTTTCTTCGTTCAAGACGTCCACTACAATTTAACACGACCGGACCGCAGAGCGCAAGAACCGCACGCCGCCAAATTTATTTTCAATCTGAGCCGCGCGCCAGAGCGACAACTCTACGCTGTCTCTCCATTTCCATCGGGAAACAAAATGAAGTGCGCATGTGTTCGTTTGCGCCTGTGTGTGTGTGGTGTGCAGCTGGCATGGAACGAACCCGTTTCTCTGAAGATACTTTTGCGACTATCAACTTTTCTCTATACCAAAATGTGCGGGTGCGAGTGCGATGGCACTAGGAGTGGTGTGCGTCCGAGAGTGCGTGCGAGAGAGATGGCCTCAGCGCGCTTGGGGTTGGAATGAAACGGCACCAGTTCAGTTGGCAAAGCAAATCAAGTAAAAAAAGCAGGCATCGAGGCTACAGCTGGCGAGCATATGTGTGCGTGTGGTTTCAACCACCCCGATTGTGGGCCCCCTGCCCCTGGAAATATAAAATATACCCACTACCAAATCCAGTTTTCTGTGTCTGTACACTCGAATGTCTACCGCCCGATTGTTGCTATACTTCATCTTCTTTTTTTCGTTCCACCACCAGTACCCACTACCTCCTCCTTTCTCATTTCTCCCTTCCCCTTTTTCGCATCGGATCGGATCGGCTTTACTTTATTATTAGTTGTGCTTGTCGGAAACAGAAGGTGGAAGAGAAAGAGGAAGGGAAAGGGGAGGGGGAGGGGTAGCGTATGCGCAGAGGCAGAGCGAAATGTTTTTTCACTCACTCTGCCGAACAGTGGTATGCGATACATTATTATTGGATTACATATTTGTTGTTGTAGTGATTAACAGTGAGCAAATCAATTTTTTGATCAATTTTCCTCGGGTACTGTGTTGATTCAAAAATTCAAAAATTTGTTATGTGCGATGTGTACTTAACATTATTCAAAGCTCATAAAAATTAAATAGATTACCTAGAAATCGTACCTACTATTTATTGCCTTATTATAACCACCAAATTAATATTTGAAATTCCACAGTCGTTGACTTACAAAATTTCCATTTAAACCAACCTTGTTCCACTGTGCCTGTCTTTGGCATTTCATTTTTCATTTTGTACTCGCCTGTGCTGTGTGTGTGTGTCGTTGGATGGGTGCGTCGCTTTGGGCTCTTGTCGGTCTTCTTCTTTTCTTCCCCTCCAACAACAAATGTTCATCATTCCTATTAATATTGTTGTTGTTCGACAGAATTTCGTTTCGTCTCATTTCTTTTTCTTTTTTCTGCCGCCATATTATTTTTATGCTCGTTAAGTGCTTTTTCTCTCGCTCTCAGCTTTACTTTTTTTGTTTTCTTCCAGTGTGTGTGTGGGGCAGCTTGGTATTGGTATTTTTTGTTGAGCTTTTTTTCGTTGTTTTGGGGGTCTACCTTTGCCGTTAATTCCCCTTCGTCTCTTCTTCTTCGCACGCTCAACTGTACAAGAAGTCGAGCATGCGCTCGTCCTCTTGCTATTGCTACCGATTCAATTAATTTCCTCCAACTTGTTGGGTTGTTGCTGTTGGGGCGAATGTGGTGTGAGCAAGCGAGCGAGTGTGTGTGTGTGTATTTGCATTTCGTAAAAATGACAAATGCTTAATGAGCGTAAATTGCTTTGCGCGTGCCTTCCTCACACTCGCACTTTGCCTCTCGCTCTGGTGCATTAGCATTAGCGCATACACCCCTCTCCCTTGCTCGCTGTAATAGAAACATACCCTCATACCTGTTGTTGTATTGTTGTTGTTAGGCAATTTTCAGAATTTCCTACACCATTTTTGTTGCACTGATCAACATCTGCATACACCAAGGGTATGCGTGTGGACGAGCGCTGGTGTGCGTGTTCTGAGTGATAATCAAAAGTGGGCAGTTGTTGTTATACTTATGCCAACGTAATGAAGTTCGTTCCAGAGGTTATAGGGCGTGGCCAGAAATGAAAATGGATCGCCAAAGGATCACATCCCATCGAATTCTACTGGAAATTTCACCGGATATATTCTTGGGCTCTGTTTACGCAGTTCACCTTATCTGTATTTTCTACTGTCAACAAACCCTGTAAAACCCTCTTTGTAAAAATAAAGTCACTTAAGAACTTCAATGTATTATAATTGTAATGAAAGTACCTTATAAATGTGCATAAATCTTTTGAATTTCGTGCTTTCACTTTTATTCAATTTGGTTTATTTAATAAAAATAGTTAGTTCCTTCCTGAATATTTTCAGAAAGGAATGTATATCTTCACTGCCGATTTTTCCCTGCACTTAACTTTACGTTTTACACTCTACTGGAAAAACTCTATAGCGAAACCCCTATAATGGATAATTCCAATCCATAATGTTTCCTTTCTTCCAGAACCCCTAGTTCCTTTATTATCAAAAATTCTCTATTGTTACTAACTCACCCCCTGTGCATTACATTTGCCATTGTCCTTTCGGTACACTTAATTGACCTGTCAACTCACATTCAAGTGTAGCGAAAACAGGAAGTCCTCGAAATCGGCTCAGAATTTGCCGTGGGTGGAATGTTTCAGTGGTCCTTTAGGTCACAATGATGATGACTGTGTTATACACTGTCCAAGGACTTGCATAGTTTTAAGCAAAATAAAATAAGGATTCAAATTTCTATCCTAAGACCGAAATATTTTAGCCTATGGTGACACAAGTATTGGGAAGGATGAAATTATCTAGAGCATTTTAATCGATTCTAAACATTCATATCAAAAGAAGAACAAAGTTTCCAAATAAATTATACCGTAAACATTATCTTCATGGTGGATCCATAAAATCACATAAATTTTCAGTTGCATCCGAAAATTGTTCAATAATAGAATTTAATATATAATCCTTTATCCTAACGTATTATTAAATGTCGATACGGTATTTAATAAATATCCCCTCTATAAAAATAAACACATCGAAACTGTACGAAAACTCGAGATTCGATACGATCCTTTTACAAAGTAAACAGGAAGCCAGGAAAAAGGGTTGAACTCTGTGACACTTGCCCTTCCACGAGACCTTTGCAACCATCCGATCCTTTTCCACCATTTTCCGAAGCAGCGAATACCGATTTCTAAAGCAAACATGATACAATTACCCTCAAAAGAGGAAATATTCGGATATCTGTATGGGGTGTACGAACTCCAACCCCTAAGCCAATTAGGGGTGTGAACAAGCTGTTGGAATTGCGGAAAAATTTAGGGGTTATAATGTTATAATGTTATATTAATCCGTAAAGCCTGCTTAAATTGTCATCTAATCATGTCCTTTTTTGTGGTACCTATTGTACCAGATATTTAGTAATGGGTATCGATCCCAATGATGTGATCTTGTTCTATGAAATTTTTATTCGCAATCCTTACAAAATTTATTTAGGAAAAAAACTTTTTGCTTGTTTTTTGGTTTTTGTTCTCAATTTTTAATAGTAATAGTAATAGAAGTTTTCATTCTTAAGCGCACAATTAGATTAATACCTAAGATATGTATGTTTAGCCGAATGGCGTACATTTTTTGACCTCCCGCACAAAAAATCTTACCTTAAACTGTTATATTCGAATGCGAATCGCATCATTAAATAGAATTAAAGAGATATTTCATTTATTTCTAAAAACAAGCAATAAATGTCTTCCTAAATAAAATAAATACATAAAATAAAATACATAACTAAACTTACAAAATAATTCCTATTAAAATGCCTACTCTGCAATAAAACAATTATTAGGTTAACACCAAAAACCGTATTGTTTTCAATGACAATATTACTAATAGCATAAAATAAAACGTAGTCTAAGATTGCACTCTAAACTACAATTCAATATATGCAAGATTTTGGAGATTTATAAAAAACTAAAAGCATTGAACTACAAAGTGGTTTAATAACTTAGAACTGTATTTGTTTGTATACAAAGTATATATATATACTTTATTTGCAAGAATAAAGTATGTAGGGCTTGTATTTTGACTAAGCTCACGAGTCCTAAAATGTATTCTTCTATAATCCTAATTCTATGTTCTCCATTTTGCTTTGGATACAACAACAAACACAATGCCTACTAGATGTCAAAGTCGCTGCTTATTGGCAATACAAAATGCCGACGGAAGATTGCAGCAAATAAAAAATGGGCGCACCACCAAAAAACCTTTTCCCTTTGTTTTTAAGGCGTTCGAGGGTGCAACAGAGATAGAACTATTGCGCTCCTGTGAGGGGAAAGGGATGGCGTTATAGTGCTTGCAGGGGTGTCCCCACCCCATTGTCGCTCTTCAGTGGGCGTGGCCTGTGTGTGTGTGTGGTGAATTCGATTGACAGTATAACAGTTTTTATTGAAAAACAAAATGGGAAAGATTTTTAATTACTTTAAAATTTAAGAAATTATGTTGTTTTAGTTGAGGAAAGTCGATATAATATATGTATGTATGTACCTCACCATTAATATCTCTCGAAATACATTTGTAAGTTAAAATTTTGAAGGATTTTTAGAAGAAAATTATTGGCCCCGTTCTTACTGCTTAAGGTATTTAGGAAGTTTCGACTAAAACTTTATCGACGTATTTAAATATATTTTATAATGGGCTGCTTTTAGCTTCTAAAACATTATTTTTATCAGAAATACACGATCATATTTGTTTAAAATGATGATTATATTGTATCAACCATACAGATTAGGCTAGCAGTATTTGAAAAATTTAATGTAAAGTTAAACAAAAATTGGAATGAATGTAGGGAAGGGAATATAGACAGTTAAATTGTTAGAAACTTGCTCATAGACATAAGGTTTTACCTTTAGAAAATAAATGGCTTAAGTTTTATACAGATTTTACACTATCAATAAAGTATATAAAAAATAAATAATTTGTTTTCATAAAGTTATTGCACCACATTTTGTGCTAAAAAAGGTTAAGAACATTCTCTTTCTCACTTAATAAAATTATTTATACTCATTTACTGAGATATAGTCGACCAACTATTTAAGACCAATATTGTCATCGAGCATTTAAAATAGTACTGCATCAAAAAATAATAAAATAAAATCAAACCCCCCTGACACATTTATACGTACGCTGCTACACTCTCGGAAAGTTCAATTTGGGGAGCTTTTGCTTGTCGATCAAAGAGAAAATGGTTAAGAGAGTGATAAGATTGAATGCGGCTGTTAAATAACAGTTTTAAGCTTTAAATTTAGAAAAACTTTGCATAAATAAGAGACTCAACAGAATTCTGTTAACGCAACGAACGTAACGTAACGTCACAAATGATATGTGAGATGTTGGCCCCCCTTTTGCGTTTTGATTTTTTAGTTGCGGTTTGTTGTGGTTCCGCTTTACACGCCGCTCCGAATAAAATAAAATCAATAATTTCCTAAAGGGAATACCTATGGATATAGGCAGTATCCCCAACTCAACATCAGTCGATAGAAATTGTGAGTGCAGTTAAAACAATATTCTCTTGAGTGCTTTAGGTTAGTTTAGTTTATTTTCCAATTTATTTTCCAGTGAGAAAAAAGGCGCGTGCGGCTCTCTTAAAAGTGTTTGCATCAAAACTAATATTTCCTGAGTGGTATGCAAATAAAGTATCCTAATTAATCGTTTTGTTAACATGCAATGGCATTGACGCCTCTTTTTTTTGTTTTGCAACCGGTTTACATATGATGGTGATAACGCTTTCCCGCTTATCAGCTACCTGTTTAACCCTATGCATACATATGTATGTTGCTCTTTATTTTTACTTGTTTATTCACAACACGCGTTTACCCACACACATAAATTCTTTGACGTAATAACGACACACGCCAACGAAAGAAAGAGAGGTCAGAAGAGAGAGAAAAAAAGAGAAAAAAATAAACAAATAAATTAACCAGGGGTGGGCCAATAAATATTTAAATTATTTTATCCTTAAAAGGGCTGAAAATCAAAATACTTAATAAATAAACTATTCAAAAGAATATACATTTTTACCCATTAAATAGTTTTATAAAATAATTAGTAAAGTATAAAGAATAACTAATATCATTCAAAATACTATTTCAAATTTAATAATTTATTTCGAACTTGCAATAAGATCAAATGTTTTTATTTCTCTAAATAATCACCTATTTGGTCGAGTGTTAACTCAACCTTTCCTAACCAATCTTGGGTAATGAAAAAAGTAGAGTGACCTGGTGATATTGGTAATCCAGGTAGTCTATATATATCTATATCTATATCTATATTCCCGCATCCGTATCTACATTTGTATCTGTTTGCATTCCGTCCCGGTACCAAATGGTTTTATGATCGCTTTCGGTTAGGGATCTACCTGCGGCCTCATAAAGATCTTGACTTCGCGGGTTGAGGATGGGATGGGCTTGCACTTTTCGAACCGAACTACACCAAAACCGGACTAAGGTGTTTGAGTGTGTGCGCCGTGTGGTCCAAAATAAATATGCTAATTTCTTTATGCACGCGCGAAGTCGGGACGGACTGAACTGATAACGCCATCATAAATGGCGATATAGCCATAGCCATGGAGTCGGATGGGTCTAGTGGAAAAGTTCGGTTTCCTGGGGGCTCTGCTATCAGTATCAGTGCGATACGGTCCGCGGCCAGGAGAAGGTGAAGATTGCCTCCATAACCCACATCGAGTGGTTCGTGGCGTGATAATACGATAAGCATCCCAGTGCTCCGGGGAAGTCCACTAGTCTGGGGTTCAGTCTAACCGAAGACAGTGATCGAAGAAAGTAATGTGACTTGTCAGCCAATACTTGAGTTTAACAATTTCCATGAGTATCTAACTTTATTCAGAACAAGGGTTGCTAAAGAATTCCCGACTTGCTGAGATACTTCAGTCTCACAGCTCTCTTTTATCACCTTTTTCATAACAATTAGTAGGAGTAAATGTAATTTAAAACTTATTAATTAATTTATCTAAGCCAGAATCTTTAAGTGAATCAAAGGCCTACTGACATTTGCCATGTCTATCCTCGTTTCAGAGCCATTTAGCAGTCTGATCGCCAGTTCCTGCAACCACCCTCCACGATGAGATTCCAGCAGCTCCTGCAAGTGCGCAGATTGGCCAGCGCCGGGGCCACCACCTTGATGAGGCGACCCACCACTGGCACCGCACTGGCCACCCACCCCGCCGCCAGCACCACCACCACCACCACCGGCACCACTCCCATCGCAACCACTGTGCGCACAATGGCGGGCAGCGGGGCACCGATTCCGGAGCTCACGGAGGTAAGTGCTCCTTGGTCCTCCCCATTCACCCACTCTTAAGTGGCCAGAGGTAATACCACCACCCCCCCTTTCAGATTACGGACAATGTGAAGCGCGGCAACTTCGCCTCTCTGACCGACAAGGATGTGGTGCACTTCGAGCAGCTCCTGGGCAAGAACTTCGTCCTCACCGAGGACCTCGAGGGATACAATATCTGCTTTCTAAAAAGGATTCGAGGTGAGTTGGGTCCTGAATAAATTTTTTTTTTTTTTTATTTCGCTGGTTCTGGTTCCCGTGTTTCAGATATTAAAGACTTTTAAAATAGGCCCTACTACTTTTGAAATGACTTTATCCTATTCAAATATCTTAAGTTGGAAGCCATTTTACTTCTATTATATACAATTACTTCAAAGTTTTCTGTATTTGCCCAGTAATGGAGCACCCGCTACCCGTTCTTTTTTTGAATCTTTAGAAATAAATTGTCAATACACGAAAACAAGGTCCATCCTTCTGTGGATTGTTAAACAATTTATATAAAAAAAAAAAAAAGTTTTCTGTTTTTCCATGCCAATGATGGCAGAGTGGTCTTAGTAAAGGTCCACTAATCATGAAATTGGGACAAAATTCAACTAATTTGCCATACTAACTAGATTCGCCACGCAATTCCAGGTAACAGCAAGCTGGTTCTGAAGCCCGGCAACACGGCGGAGGTGGCCGCCATCCTGAGGTACTGCAACGAGCGGCGCCTGGCGGTGGTGCCCCAGGGCGGGAACACGGGTCTGGTGGGCGGATCCGTGCCCATCTGCGACGAGATCGTGCTCTCGCTGGCGCGCCTCAACAAGGTGCTGTCCGTGGACGAGGTCACCGGCATCGCCGTCGTGGAGGCGGGCTGCATCCTGGAGAACTTCGACCAGCGGGCCAGGGAGGTGGGTCTGACGGTGCCGCTGGACCTGGGCGCCAAGGCCAGCTGCCACATCGGCGGCAATGTGTCCACCAATGCGGGCGGAGTGCGCGTGGTGCGCTACGGCAACCTGCACGGATCCGTTCTGGGCGTGGAGGCGGTGCTGGCCACCGGCGAGGTCCTGAACCTGATGTCCGACTTCAAGAAGGACAACACCGGCTACCACATGAAGCACCTGTTCATCGGATCCGAGGGCACGCTGGGCGTGGTCACCAAGCTCTCGATGCTCTGCCCCCATTCCTCGCGGGCGGTCAACGTGGCCTTCATCGGCCTGAACTCCTTCGACGATGTGCTGAAGACCTTCGTCAGTGCCAAACGCAATCTGGGCGAGATCCTCAGCTCCTGCGAGCTCATTGACGAGCGGGCCCTGAACACCGCTCTCGAGCAGTTCAAGTTCCTCAAGTGAGTTTGCCATCGACAAGTATTTGAGTACCCCGGCAGAAGTTGTTCATAACTATGGTTCGATATTGGTTAGGCAGTGGGGTAACCTTTTCGATCTACCAAATTTATTGCACTAAATCCCGAAAAAGAATTATTTTGGGAATAACCCAATCGGATTTCCGGTTATATATCTTCATCTATCTAATTTCTTATACTGAATCCCACTAAGTGGACTTAATTCGCCTGAAAAATAATGATTTTGAGAAAAGCCCAATCCGATTGGTTGTTCTATTCTCTTCCATCTATTATATCATTTAATATATAATATCATCTATAATATATGATATCATTTTATAGACATGTGAATATAACCACTTACATCAGGTTGAAACTTCTTTAGGTGTCACACGAGTACCTTTTGCTAGTAGAACATAATAGATTCCTGTTTCCTTTGTGACCGTGACTAATCCCGAGTATTTCCAATTCAGCTCGCCCATTTCGGGCTTCCCCTTCTACATGCTGATCGAGACGTCGGGAAGCAACGGCGACCACGACGAGGAGAAGATCAACCAGTTCATTGGCGACGGCATGGAGCGCGGCGAGATCCAGGATGGCACCGTGACCGGGGATCCGGGGAAGGTGCAGGAGATCTGGAAGATCAGGGAGATGGTGCCGCTGGGCCTGATCGAGAAGAGTTTCTGCTTCAAGTACGACATCTCGCTGCCGCTGCGGGACTTCTACAACATCGTGGACGTGATGCGGGAGCGGTGCGGCTCCCTGGCCACCGTGGTCTGCGGCTATGGCCACCTGGGCGACTCCAACCTGCACCTGAACGTCTCCTGCGAGGAGTTCAACGACGAGATCTACAAGCGGGTGGAGCCCTTCGTCTACGAGTACACCTCCAAGCTGAAGGGCAGCATCAGTGCGGAGCACGGCATCGGGTTCCTGAAGAAGGACTACCTCCACTACTCCAAGGACCCGGTGGCCATCGGCTACATGCGCGACATGAAGAAGCTCCTGGACCCCAACGGCATCCTCAATCCCTACAAGGTGCTCAACTGAAGTCGGATTCCAGTAAATGATAAGTGAAAAGTTGTGTGTTTTATTTTTTTTTTTGTAATTTCCATATGTGTACGCGTAATAAATTGATGCAAAAATAATTTAGAAAATGTCAAGTAGTGTTCTTTGTACTTGTGGAGCTTGAATTCACAGCCTAATAATGATGGAGTATTCTTAAACCATCAATTTTCTTTATCTACTATCTCATTTATACATACATATACGAGTTATCTAGTTAGAGGTATATTTTATATTCTTATAACGAACACCTAACTAATTTTTAAAAATTTAAGTGATACTTAATAAATGCATTTATGGAATAAATCTTTTGAGGTGTATACAATTCAGTAGACTGCATTCTATATATATATCTGTTATACCTGTATAACATTGATAAATGAAAGTACCGTGTATTAGAAACTCTCTTTCGAATTGGTTTAATATCGTGTATACACCCAGTAGTATATTCCATTCAAATCAAAATATAAGCTCTAAACTTGAATAGCAATATTTTTGTAAGAACAAAAAACAGGCATTAGTGGGTTAAGGATCGCTGCGAGTTTGCCGCTCTCCGAAAGCTTTGGCAGTGCAGCTTTTTAACATTTATCGATACTTAACATTTGCGCTGAAACTATCGATCAGCGAACTAACATTTAAAATTTGCCATATATAAATATTGTAAAAAAAATAATGCCGCAAACTGAATGCGCACCTTGCACACTTAACACACAAAACATGAGCGGGTAAGTAAGAGAGGAAATAGACCGTTTTTTTTTCTTGTTTGCAAGATTCTGTTTTCTAACGAATATTGGTTTTTATTTACTTTCTTTATTTTTTATGTTTTCTTTGCAGACAAGCGGACATTGCACTCATCGGCCTGGCCGTCATGGGCCAAAACCTGATCCTCAACATGGACGAGAAGGGATTCGTGGTGTGCGCCTACAACCGCACAGTGGCCAAGGTCAAAGACTTCCTCGCCAACGAGGCCAAAGGCACTAACGTGATTGGCGCCGATTCCCTGAAGGACATGGTGGCTAAGCTGAAAACCCCCCGCAAGGTCATGCTGTTGGTCAAGGGTGAGTTGCTAATCCAAAAAACAACGTTAGAAACAATTAAAACCGAAAGAAAAACACTAAAAACCTGCTGTTGTAAGCGATCGCTCCGCTTTGATTGTGTTAGTGACTCGGTTTTACATGTGTGTGCGCGTGTGAGTGGAAGTCAAAGCAAAGTCATCAAACGATTTTTTTGCGGGTCATATTGCAATGTGCAAATGGGAAGAGAGGATAAACCGGTGAAAGAAAAGGAGAAAGAGAAGTAAAAACAAAAACAACTTTCCAGAGATCTTTGAGCTACGTTTTTAACTCTAAGCTTAGTTGTTGTATTTGGTTAAGCTTAGAGATGGTACTTTTTCAAAAGTCTGAGTTATGAAATGACTAATTTTCCAAGAATGCCATTCAATTTAAGAAACTCGTGTTCCATAATTTTTGGTAAATTTACAGTTTTTTATTCATGTTTGAAGTACATTTTGCTTAATGACTAAAACAAGTTTATAATTTCGGGTATTTTGTACCCAATAAACCTGCCTAACGCTCTGTATTTATAGCTGTAGCTGTAGTGCATTATCCACCTTTTTGGTAGTATCATATTCAAACCCATGGTTCACGCTTTCTTCTCCCAAACTAGCATGTCCAAAATTCCACTCACCTCTAGTTCGTACGTTAGTCGGCGTACCCGGCTTATCTACACCTTCCCATTCCTACGTAGTTCGGTGTTGTTTGCACAAAAGCAACAATAACACGAGCGCAGAGAGAAATCTTTGACATTCATTATAGGTCACACACAATGGGCGATTTCCCAAGGGGATTTCCTCGGATTGGACTAACCGAAATCCATTCTTCTGTCCACATGATCATTTGTCCCGGCGACCTTCCCTGCAAGTTGCCAGGCCAATCCTATTCCAATGATTCATTCTGTCTGCGGATCGCCTTATGCTCACACAGTTTGGGTCATAAATATAGCTATATATATTTAATATATTTTTTTATTCATTTACATTTTTTTTTTGAAAGTTGCGTGACAAGTTGTGTGAACTTTCACGAAGTGGAATTTAGGAGAACAAGGGTAATTGCATATAATTTTTTTTTTAACAATTTCCAAATAACTAATAAAAAGAAATACTATAATTTGTTTAAAATTAGAGAAAAAAGTTCATATACATATGAAATGTTTCACGATATGTTGAGTTTTTAACTAATGGCAAAAAATAATTTGGCTTAGAATTTGATGGTTATGGATGTCATGGATTTCTATGATTATTCATAATCTTGGCTTAATTGATTAGCATTTCAGCTTGGGTCTTAGATTAAAATTTTGACCGCTGGTGTGTCCAACAAGCAAACGACCGCTAGATAGATAGATCAATGCTATCGCCGCCACTCCGACTCGTTGGCCTTATCTGGTTCTGGTTCCAGTGCGCTGGAGAAGTGCTAGGGACGCCTCACGGTGACCTCCAAAGCGAAACAGTGACTTTCCAAAAGCAGCCAACTGACCTTGTCTAATCGCACGCTCTACTTTCTGGTTAAATCGACGATTTCTTCATAAACCAAAGAACTGGCACTCGCAAAAATCGTTTATAAAACGGTTAGGAAATTGCAAAAAGCACCTTTTATAAGAAACGAATTAGTTATTTTGATTTTAGACGTACATATGTTCATATATCATTATATCTTTTAACCAATATTGTTAACATCTTCATTTTACTGTTTGGTGACAATTGAAACTTTTGGAACACATAAGGCAGGTATACAAAAAGATCCTTTCTGTCTTATCAAAGCCCATAATTAAAAATTAATCTAATGGAATTTGTATCGCAGCAAGGGTTCAATTGTATCTATTGTTATATTGTAAGGCTCTACACAAGGGCTCATTTATTGAAATATCGACTATGTCTAATCAAGATTTCCTTTTCAACTCCAGCTGGCAGTGCGGTCGACGACTTCATCCAACAGCTGGTGCCGCTGCTCTCCGCCGGCGATGTGATCATCGATGGCGGTAACTCCGAGTACCAGGACACATCCCGCCGCTGCGATGAGCTGGCCAAGCTGGGCCTGCTCTACGTGGGATCCGGGGTGAGTGGTGGCGAGGAGGGTGCCCGCCACGGACCCTCGCTGATGCCCGGTGGCCACGAGGCCGCCTGGCCCCTCATCCGGCCCATCTTCCAGGCGATCTGCGCCAAGGCCGACGGCGAACCCTGCTGCGAGTGGGTGGGCGACGGAGGAGCGGGCCACTTCGTCAAGATGGTGCACAACGGCATCGAGTACGGTGACATGCAGCTCATCTGCGAGGCCTACCACATCATGCAGAGCCTAGGCCTCTCGGCTGACCAGATGGCCGACGAGTTCGGCAAGTGGAACTCTGCCGAGCTGGACTCCTTCCTCATCGAGATCACGCGCGACATCCTCAAGTACAAGGACGCCAAGGGGCATCTGCTGGAGCGGATTCGCGACACCGCCGGCCAGAAGGGTACGGGCAAGTGGACGGCCATTGCTGCTCTCCAGTACGGTGTGCCGGTGACGCTAATTGGCGAGGCCGTCTTCTCTCGGTGCCTGTCCGCCCTGAAGGACGAGCGCGTCCAGGCCAGCCAGTCGCTGAAGGGACCCTCGACCAAGGCGCAGGTGGCCAACCTGACCAAGTTCTTGGACGACATCAAGCACGCCCTCTACTGCGCCAAGATCGTGTCCTACGCTCAGGGATTCATGCTGATGCGAGAGGCGGCCAGCGAGAACAAGTGGCGGCTCAACTACGGCGGCATTGCGCTGATGTGGCGCGGTGGCTGCATCATTCGCAGCGTCTTCTTGGGCAACATCAAGGATGCGTACACGTCGCAGCCGCAGCTGTCGAACCTGCTGCTGGATGACTTCTTCAAGAAGGCCATCGAACGCGGCCAGGACTCGTGGCGCGAGGTGGTCGCGAACGCCTTCCGCTGGGGCATCCCCGTGCCGGCCCTGTCCACCGCCCTCAGCTTCTACGACGGCTATCGGACGGCCAAGCTGCCCGCCAACCTGCTGCAGGCCCAGCGCGACTATTTCGGAGCCCACACCTACGAGCTGCTCGGCCAGGAGGGCAAGTTCCACCACACCAACTGGACGGGCACTGGCGGCAACGTGTCCGCCAGCACCTACCAGGCGTAGGTCGCTCCAGCTCCTCCTCTTCCCGCTCACACATTCCATGTCATAGGCCCCGGGTGTCTTCCTTTTTTTTTTCTGGAGTACTTTAGTACTTATTTATACCATTAATATATATGTATGTATATATAATTTCATATTTGTTGTTTAACATAACATTAAATTGGTGTTTTTTTTGCTAGCAAATGATTTCGGTTCCCTGGTTTGATGGATGCAAAGTGGCATGTACAGAATCAATGCGTGTGGTGTGTGTTGTGTTGTGTGTGGGTCGAGTCTTTCGAGTTGTGTCTTCATGTGGAGACGGCTCCTGCTCCTGCATCTCCCCCTGCTCCTGCTCCCTCCCTGCTTTGTAGTCTCCTCAGCTCCCGCTCGTTTCTTCCTCAGTCATCGGAGGGCTTCAGGGTCTTCTTGTTCTCTATGACCAGCTTGTCAGCGCTGTACAGGTGCCCGATGATCACCTGTGGGCATTCGAGGGGTTAATAAACTCGACGCAACTGATAAGCGAAAAAAGCGGGTAAAATTATGACTTTCGTTTTTCATTCAGCCAGGTGGTGAACAAGGAGCAACCTTGTTAGGTATACTATTTATCATATAGAAACACAGAAAAAAATAAGATCAAAGGTCATTTCTGTGTCCATAATTCTCTTTTAAAATCTTTAGCTAAAACTAATAGTTATTTATCTTGCATTTGTCAACAAAAACTTATAGGCAGTTAGGAATTTAAGTTTTTAGGTTTATTTAAATGAAAAATATAGATAATAAATTAATGTGAAACTTATATGAGTTACAAACATAAAATATGAGATAGCTGAATAAATATTTGTGATGAATCTGTAGGAAATATAACATATTTTATTATGTTATCAAAACGTGATGTTTGAGTTCTTAACAATCAAGTAGTGTACAACCGGTCATCGTAGATGACAAATGATCGTATAAGAGTTTCTTCTGTATTGTATCAGGGCTGATAGTTAGGTGCGTGTGACCATCTAGATACTTCCCACCGTTGCTGATAAGAGGTGCTGTCAAAACACTCACCTGGCGACGTATCAGCTCCAGATTCTCCTGGCCCGCGACCATCTGCCGATCGATCTCCCCGAAGTCCCGGATGCCCCTGTTGGCGCGGAATGTATCCCTGATTTTGCGTGCAGCGTACATCCTGAAAAGATGGCCGGAAATGTATTGATTCTCCCCGCGATCTGCCTATTTCACCACACTCACCTGAAGTTATAGGAGGGGAGCTTCTCGGATTCACGCAGGAGATTTCTGTATAGTGTGATCGCCTGGCGACGCGTCGACATCCTGATCCTGACCTGGCCAAACGGATCTGAGCAGGAGGGTTAGCTGGAGTTTTGGAGCGCCTTTTAATTGATAAGTGATAACGCCGGAGTTTCGGTGGCCCCGTTTTGTTTCGTTTCGGAAAATCCAATTGGATTGGACCGCCTGATGACATAAAGAATTACATGCGGCTAGCGGGAAAATACCCACTTCCCCGCTGCAAAAATACTAGAAACAGCTGATTGCGGTATTTTCGCAGTCACATGCGCTGGTATTAGAGATGGACCTTATCCGCGCCGCTATCGATAATATGTGTAGTATATATCGATACACATCGCCCACTAAATATCGCTCACCCCTAGTTTCGATAGTGTTTCTCTCCTCTCGTGTAGAAAAACAGAGAAAATACAATTTTTCGTGCATTTTGCCCGTGCAAAACCCGAAAATCGGCCCGCGTCCGCTTGCATTGCACCGAATTCGCAGTGCACTTAACGCGCGAACTGAATTGGTCCCGATTTAGCGGCCCGTAAATCGCGAAATCAAAAATATTCGCAGCAAGAAGAAGAACGGAACGGCAGTAGCAGAGCAGCTATAATTGTCGCTGTTGTTGTTGTGGTTGTTTGTGTCAGTGTTGGTGGTGGTGGTGCGTGTGTTGTTGTTGCTGCCTCTGGGATGATGCTGTGCTGTAAAGTAAAGTAAAGTAAAAGTGGTGGCAAAACCAAAAAGACCGTGTGTGTGCAACGCAAAATACACGCTGCAATTGGCTTGGCGGCCAGGCGGACAATGATAAGAACAATGGTGGTTTAATTTAGGATCCAATAGTCGCAAAAATATCAAACTGTGCTTCGTGCAAAAAATTGCGCCAATAAGCAAAAGCAAACGCAAACATCGTTTGTTTTATTGCATTCCCAACACACACAGGAACGAACGCACGCAGTCGCATACATATGCGTTGCAGCAGCAACAGAGATTTTTTTTGACCACACACACTCACACACACCCACATGCATCCACGCAGCAATTGGAGCACAACAATAACAAAATACGGAAAGAGCAGTCAAATGTTTCACTTGAGGTGAGTTCCTTTAGTTTTGTTTATTAACGATTAGGGAAAATTGCTACAGCAAAGTGCAACAAATTGTTTGAAAATTGGACTTGATTTGATTTGTGATGCGTGTGTGTGTGGAAATTGGAAATCGCTGGGCTGTATGTGTGCGTGTGCGCGCACTATCGTGTGCTCTCGCTCGCACCCAACCAGTACTTACGGGAGCGCGTTTGTTGTGTTTTGCTGTTGCTGCACTTCTCTCTTTGCCTCGGCCAAACAAATCGCTCACTTTTAGTAAAATTCAATAACTGTCCGCAGTGCAAAAAACATGAATTAATAGTTAATGATGCTGGAGAAAGGGGTATATTGTGGTCTATATCCTGCGAAAGTTTCGCCCGCTTAGATTTTCGCATCTTGGCAGGAGACGTTGTGAATTATAAACTTTCAATTGGTATTTACCATGAAACTAGGTTTTCTATTTACTTTACAAAAGTAAAGGTTGCTCTATTAAAGTTTTGACTATCTATTTAATTATTAATATTACTGACATAATACCGAAGCTTATCTTTATATTTATTTGGTCAAATAACTTTTATTTTAAATAGAAATTTTCGAACATGTTTAGCTTTATTTTTTATTTTTAAAGTATTTGAAAGCCCTGCTTACAGTATAAATGCATTTTTTATTATCAAACTTATCCAAATGTTTGCTAAGCTAAGCTTAGGTTTTGCCGCTCACCGTAACTCTTAAAACTGGCCACTAATATGTTCTCCAATTGCAGTGATCTGGTTGCCAAGGATTAGAGCCACCAACAAGGAGTGAGAGGATACGACAAGGAGGAGCCAAGGAACCGCAACCGAAGATGTCGCGCTGGGGCAAGAACATCGTGGTGCCGCTGGACTCGCTCTGCAAGGAGAAGGAGAACACCAACCGGCCCACTGTCGCCCGATCCGTGGGCACCGTGGGCAAATGGGGCAAGATGGGCTTCACCTCCACGCGCACCTACACGCTGTCCGCCCTCCATCCGATGGCCGCGGCAGCGGCGGCGGCTGCAGCGGCCGCCAGTCCCTCCCAGAGTCCCGCCTCCACGCAGGACCACGATCCGAACGACCTGTCCGTTTCGGTGCCGGAGCCGCCGAAGCCGAAGAAGTTCTTCAAATCGAGGAACGCTGCTCCGCCGGAGGTTATAGCGCAGATAATCCAGCAGCTGCCGCATTGCGGGGCCGGTGCATCGCCCATGCGGGATCAGTTCTCCGCGGCGGCAGCGGGTGGTGGACACACACCCACCTCCGGTGGCCACGAGGCGGGCGGACTAAAGCTAAAGCCGGGCAAGGGCGGCAGCTCCGCAGAGCGGAAGCGCAAGTCGCCCAAGAAGAAAGCAGCCGCAGCGCAAGGAGCAGCAGCTACGAGCACGCCCACGACGCCTGGTGCGTTCTACGGCGCCTCCGATCGGGATGGCGATGGGCTGAGTGATCCCGCCTCGGAGCAGCCGGAGCCGTCCAGTGCGTCGGGCAAACAGAAGAAGGAGAAGAAGCCGAAGGAGGAGAAGAAGCTGAAGCCGGAGGCACCGCCCTCTCGGGTTCTGGGCCGCGCCCGCAAGGCCGTCAACTATTGCGAAGTGGACGAGGACGAGCGCTATCCCACGCCCACCAAGGATCTGATCATTCCCAAGGCGACTCGCCAGCCGGCTGAAGGGGCGGCCACAGCAACAGCAGCCGCCACCTCCTCGTCGGAAGCCTTCATCAGCTCCACGTTCGGCAGTCCGGGATCGGAGCCGTCGTTACCACCGCCCACGTCCGCGCCCAGCACATCCGCGTCATCTACGACAACCCAGTTGCCCTCCGCGTCGGGCGGCGCGTCGAATCCTCCAAGCGCCTCCCGCACGCCGGAACATCCCCCTATCGTTCTTCGCATTTCCAAGGTGAGTGGCGAAATCTTTTCGGGACATGGTAATATTAAGATCTGTTGGAAACAACATAGGTTGAGTTAGGTTGCCCATATCCTTCATATTAGTTATTCAAATTTAGTACATGTATCTGTATCTTCTTGTGATAAAAATATCTTAAAGATCCAGTAGCTTGAGACAGGTTTCCAATCGTTTTAAAATAAAGGATTTCTGGGTAGAATTGAGTTATGTGTGTAATCTTACAAATCTTCCGGTTTAGGTAAATCTTTTTTAGATCCTTGAACTTTTCATTTAACTTCAGATTCTTCACAAAATCTTGGGGTCCTATATTTAAAAAAAAAAATCGAAACGTATTTGATTTGTTAATTTTTTAATCACTCCCCATAAGAAACTAATTGTTATAGAAATATTATGACGATCAGATTTAGCGGAAAAAATGTACATATATTAAAACATATTTTAGCTATCTTATCTCAGGATATGTAAATTCGAATTCAATTTGAATTACTTTCTCACCACATAAGTGAGTGCCCCTGCTTTTTCTTGCATTTCTTTTAAACCCACATTTCACCACTCTCACTCCTTCTCACTCTTGCTCGGTACATTTCACCCAGCGAATCGAGCAATTATCCAACTCCAACAATTAGTCGAGTACCCCGAACGCGATCGCTCTCTCCACCGCCATCTCTTACTTCTCACACTCTCCCAGCCACTCTCTCCCAGGTGCTTCTTCTCCCTTTCCCTGCCTTCTCTGCCATGTGTGGGAAAGGGAAAGCAGCGCAGCGCGCGAAGCGGTGTTAAATTACGCGCGCTTTTACATGGCAAAACCAACGGAATTGGAGTCTCTCTCCCAAGTTGTTGGTGTTTTGTTTTGCGCCTCTCTGTTGCTTCTTGTTCCGCATTTATCGGTGGCTTCTTGCCCAGTTCGGTTCAGTTGGAGTGCTAATTATCGGGCACGGCGATACAGAGGTCCCCCTTTTCGATTTGCCAGATCAGCTAGAAGTAAGAAGCCCCCAAATCAGTGCATTCAAGTAGAAGTTCTCAGCTAATCTCGCACTTTCTGCATTTCCAGGGCACTTCACGCTTGGTCAGCACGGATAGCGAGGAGCCGCCGAGCAGTTCGCCCGCAGCTCACCAGAACCCACACAACCTGCTTCCGGTGTCGGAAGAGGAGCCAGCGGAGCGGACCGGAGACGAAACAGTTCCTGCAAGTACGCCAAAAATCACAGTGAAGCCACTGAGGCCGCCGCCAGTAGCAGATTTGGCGGAGGCATCATCAGCGGCAGTGGGAGGAGCAGCAGGCGATTCCTTCGAGGAACGCAAGTCACTGGACGCCAACGAGGACGAGGAGGACGAAGAAGAGGAGGAGGACGAAGAGGAGGAACCGCCGGAGATAAACTACTGCACAGTAAAGATATCACCGGACAAACCGCCCAAGGAGCGGCTTAAGCTGATTATCAAGACGGACGTGATCCGCAACGCCATCGCCAAAGCCGCTGCAGCAGCGGAGTCCCGCAGCGAGAAGAAGTCCAAGAGCAAGAAGCACAAGCACAAGCAGCTATTGGCCGCGGGATCTGTAGCCGCCCCAGCCCCTGGAGTCAATCCCGCCGAGCCCAACTCTGAGTTTAAGACGCCCTCACCTCATTTGGCCTTCAGCGAGGCCAACAGTCAGCAAGCACAGCATCCGCCATCCCAACACCATCAACCACTGCATCCGCAGCGAGTCTCCACCGTCATATCGCCCACCACTAGGTCCGATCACGACTTCGACTCACAGTCCTCGGTGCTGGGCAGCATCTCCTCCAAGGGCAACAGCACTCCACAGCTCTTGGCGCAGGCCGTCCAGGAGGACAGCTGTGTGATCCGCAGCCGGGGATCCAGTGTGATCACCAGTGATCTGGAGACGAGCCAGCACTCCTCGCTGGTGGCCCCTCCCTCGGACATTGAGTCGCGACTGGAGTCCATGATGATGACCATCGATGGAGTCGGTACGGGAGCAGCAGCTGTGGTGCCGGAGACGCCGCTGCAGGAGGACATATTGGCTGTGCTGCGGGGCGAAGTGCCACGGCTAAATGGCAATGCAGATCCTGCTCCAAACGAGGAGGCTGATCAACAGCAGCAGCAGCCGAAGAGAGCCACGCGTGGCAGGGGCAGGAAGGCCAATAACAACGTAGAAGTACCTCCTCCGGCCACGGAGACCAGAACCCGCGGCAGAGCCAAAGGAGCAGATGCGGCTGCGACTGCGGCTGCCATTTCGCCTCCAGCGCCCAAGCGAAGCACACGAGGCACTCGAGGCTCCAGAAAAACCGAGCAGGAAGTGGACATGGAAGTGGACGAACCTGCGGCGGCGGCGCCGGCGATCGAGGAGCAGCTGGAACATGCTGCACCTCCGCCGCGAAGAGGACGCATGGCTGCCGCCCGCGCCAATAACAATAATTCGGCCAGCGTCAACAACAACATCAACAAGATAGCCGCCAGTCTGTCCGCCAAAGCCGAGGCCAGTCGCCTGGTGGAGGGCGGAGCAGCGGGTGGAGCACCTCGTAGCTATGGCCGGAAACGAAAGAACCAGCAGGTGACGCAAGTGCTGCAGCAGGAGCAGGCGCCCGAAGAAGAGGAAACTCCCGAGGGCGAGGAGGAGCAGCCCACGCCCGCCAAGATTCCGCACACGGATCACAGGGAACAATCGCCGGACCACGATCCGGATCCTGATCCCGACGAGCTCTCGAACAACTCAAACAACTCGTCGCTGCAGCACGACGGATCCTCCTCTTCGCCCCCGCCGCGCGATTTCAAGTTCAAGGACAAGTTTAAGCGAACGCTCACCTTGGATTCCCAGGGAGCGGCTAACGCGGGAGCGGGAGGAGCAGCTGCAGCAGGAGCAGGACCAGGACCAGCGGAGCCCTCTGGCGAACAGCGAGGCGCCGTCAAGCTGGTCATCTCCAAGAAGAAAGGCAGCATCTTCAAAAGCCGCGCCCTGGTGCCCTCCGATCAAGCGGAGCAGGCGACAGTGGCCAAACGGCATCTGTACAAGCACAGCTGGGATGCGGCACTGGAGGCGAATGGCGGGGGAACCGGCAGCGATGCCAGCAATGCCTCGGCATCAGGAGCAGGCGTCGCCGGGGCCAAGGACCATCTGCTGCATCATTTGGCGGCGGGCAAGTCCGATGGCGATTTCGGCGACAGTCCCTCGTCGAACAACAACGGCTCCTCCAGTGCGTGCAGCAGTGCGTCCACGTTGCGCGGCGACAGTCCGGCGCTCGGGAAGATCTCGCGACTAGCGGGGAAACAGGGCGTGCCTGCCACCTCCACGAGTGTCGATGCCTTTGACCTGGATCTGGAACCCATACCCGGCGAACTGGACCTAGAGCGCAGTGCAGCGGGAGCAGCGTTCGGCGGAACGGGTGGAGCAGCAGGCGGAGGATTAGCGACAGGCGGCGGGGGACCCATTCGCGTCGATCGCAAAACCAAGGACTACTACACGGTGGTGCGTAACGTGAAGACGGCCCATCAGATTCAGGAAATCGGAGAGTACCAGGAAATGGACGACGACGTCGAGTATATCCTGGACGCACTGCAGCCGCACAATCCACCTGCGACGCGCTGCCTCTCCGCCCTGCAACTGGCCGCCAAGTGCATGATGCCCTCCTTCCGGATGCATGTGCGTGCGCACGGCGTGGTCACAAAGTTCTTCAAGGTGAGTCCTTTCTGTTTACTTAATTGTGGCCATGTGAGACCATTAATTCTCGATTATTTATTTAAGATATTTAACTCCACACACCTTATTTTGTGCACCGCTTTGCAATTTATTGATTATTTATTTTACATGATCGAATTTAAGCTTATCAGTGTTTATAAATCAGCGGTTGAGCTACGTATGTTTTGACAGGTTGCATGTTATTGGGTATTAAATGACTGCATATACGTACAACACTAGTCAAAATCGAATACTTGTGTTTATAACTTCATAAATGGGGGGTTTCAGGTTTATAATGGTGTCGTGTTTCACTTTAAATCAATGATTTTTTAATAAATAATGCTAAAGTCATCATTACAGTCTTGGATATATTATTCATAGTTTGAAATAAAAAGCAATAAATACTATATGCTAGTATGATCAGACTTCATTTAAGTAATTGAAATCATTTTTATTTAAACGAATGCTAAGTGAAATATATCTAAGAATATTTTAGCAAATATAAGTCATTTGCTTAAGTCTAGAGTACACAGCTAAATCTCTATAACCCTTAGGCACTATCCGACGCCAACAAAGACCTCAGCCTGGGTCTGTGCACCTCGGCCATTATGTACATCCTCTCCCAGGAGGGCCTCAACATGGACCTCGATCGCGACTCCCTGGAGCTGATGATTAACCTCCTCGAGGCGGACGGTGTGGGTGGCGGCACGGAGAGTGGACACCCGGATCGGGCGGGCTACGACCGCAACAAGCAGAAGGTGCGGGAGCTGTGCGAGGAGATCAAGGCGCAGGGCAAGGGTACGCATCTCAATGTCGATTCCCTGACCGTGGGCACGCTGGCAATGGAAACCCTGCTCTCCCTGACGTCCAAACGGGCAGGCGAGTGGTTCAAGGTGGATCTGCGCAAGCTGGGCGGTCTGGAGCACATCATCAAGACCATCTCGGATTTCTGCAGACCAGTGATTACCTGCGACACGGAGATCCACTGGCAACCGGCGCTGCTGGACAACATGCAAACGGTGGCGCGATGTCTGCGAGTACTCGAAAATGTGACGCAGCACAACGAGGCGAACCAGCGCTACATGCTCACCTTTGGCCAGGGAAAAGCGGTCGAGACGCTCTGCCAACTGTACCGCCTGTGCAGCCGACAACTAATGCTGCATCCCTCGGTGGACTGCGCTGGCAGCAACAAGGAACATCCGGGCGTGGCCATGCGGGAGCTGCTGGTGCCGGTGCTCAAGGTGATGATCAACCTGACGCACACGTTCAACGAGGCGCAGCCATCGCTGGGCGCCGAGTTGCTCGGCCAGCGGGGCGATGTGGTGGAGACGAGCTTCCGGCTGCTGCTTCTCTCGGCGAACTACATTCCCGACCACTGTGTCTTCGAGCTGAGTATTCTGGTGAGTGTCCAATAGTCCATAGCTTTTCCCTTCTAGTTTCTTATTTGTGTTTTCCTGTAATAGGTTCTCACCCTGCTTATTAACCTGTGTATGCACACGCTGCCCAATCGGGCTGCGCTTATGCAAGCTACCGCTCCGGCGGAGTACGTGGCGGACAATCCGCCGGCACAGGGAACTGTGAGTGCACTGCAAGCTCTGCTCGAGTACTTCTACAAGTGCGAAGAACTGGCCAGGTATGACAAAACGATATTCCCAGGTATTTGGCATGGTTAATGAATGGTTTTCTCTCCCCAACCCGCAGATTGGTCGAGAAGAACACGGACGCCTTCCTCGAGAGCAACGAGAAGGGCAAGAAGAAACAAGAAGAAGTGGAGGAGACAGTCAACAATCGTGAGTAATCGGCCGAATAATAAACTGTGCTCCTTGCTAATAAGCTGCTGCTTCTACCCCACAGTTCTGCAACGCGCCGGTCATCATATGGAGCACACGCTGAAGGGCAGTTATGCGGCCATCCTGGTGGGCAATTTGATCGCGGACAATGAGCGGTTCGAGGCGCTGGTGCGGCGCCAGCTGCGAGGACAAAGCTTCAAGGAGATTATCGGCGTGCTGGAGAAGTACCACACATTCATGAACCTGACCTCCAGCGTGAGTTTTGCATTGGTTTCTAATATATATTCTTAATTTTTAGACAGGTTAAATCGATAACTTGACCCCTAACTATGATAAACTCCATGACCCTTCTAACTGTTTAACGCTCTCTCCCGTTCTCATCAGTTGGAGGCAGCCTTTGTGGCGCACATGAAGTCCACGAAACGCATCATCGACAACTTCAAGAAGCGTGACTACATCTACGAGCACTCGGATGACCACGACAATACCCTGCCTCTAAATCTGGAGACGACGGCGCAAGTGTTGGCCGTGGAAACAGAGACGGCGCATGCTGCTGCCTCGTGCTCATCCACATCCGCCTCCGCTTCCTCATCCACATCGCCCACAGGATCGACGAGGGTGACGCGGGTGTACAAGACGTACAGTAGCCACAGATAATCGGACTCGGAATCGGGAACGGAATCAGAATCGGAATCGGAAAGCCATCGCCATTGTCGTTAACCACACCGAAAGCCTGCCACCAAAATAAAATTCTGTTGTTTGTGATTATGTAATTTGTTTATGTGTTGATATAGCAACCCCTAAATGTATGTGTATAGTCTGTAATGCACCTAGTTTCAGTCAGCTGTATCCCCACGTATATATATATTTATATATCGAAGTATATAGCTAAGAGCGATAGGATACAATGCGATCTGATCTGTTTCTGCGTTTGTATTAACCCAAAGTGATAGCGAATTCGTGAGCATGCTCTGCGTTTTAACTAAGGAAAATGATAAGGATTGACGAAATGAAAACGTGAAAGCAACACCCCGGACAACACAAAGATCCAAATCCCCTACTGATATCTGTACGTTATATAGTCATAAGCAATATTAGCAGCTAAACGTCGGCTTACCCTTACAAACACACACACACACCCATGTAAATATTGTTTAATCAGCGATTTTATCGGACGCGTCTTAGGTTTATTTCGAATGTGTTTTTTACCTATTCTTACCTTATATATTAAACCTTTTTTTTTATTCGTAAACTTAATGTAAATGCTCTCAATCTCAACAACACTGCAGGAGAAAGAGCGAGAGCGGTAGACAGAAGTGTAAAGAGAGAAATATCTAGATTCGATGAGGAAAATAAAGTTATTTTATTGCCTAAACTTAAGCTAAAGAAACTCTACTTATAATACTAAAACTGATCAATAAATATATATATATATGGATATATGTGTACGTTTACAACCACAAAAATGTCATATTTAGGCTACAAAAATCAGATTTAAAAAGCAAGCGCGTGCGAGAAAGAAACAATTTCGGGAACAAAATATATATTTATTTTGTGTTTTCAACGAGTACATATTGTATTGTTCTTGCAGAAAAAACAAACAGAAATAAAACTAAAATTGAAAAAGAAAAATATACTGACAAGTTGTATTATTTTGGAGGATACAATGCTGTTTCGATTTCTATTTTCCTCCCTATTTCGTTAAATTCGTTTATTTTGCGAACAAAAAAAGTCATTAGTCAAAATTATCTGAAAAACAGCGTTAAAAAACTGTGAAAATATATGTTTTATCTATTATTTCCGAAATATAAGCTATGTAAATCCAACATTATTGATTTTAAAAGAAATCATATTCTTCTCTTTTTTTCGAAAACGAAATAGTTTTCAAAAAAAGGGACGCAAAGCTTTTCTGGTTTATTAATTGTGGAAGTTTTCAAGCTTTTCAATATTCCGCCATTTTAATGACTTTTTAAATATCGATAAGTCGACACAATTCTGCAGATAATATATGTTAGTTTAAGTGTGACCATGTCATGAGCGAGGAAAATTCAAAATCAGAATTAATGAAACTAAATCCGTTTTCTATATACATGCATATATTTCCCATAATTTCAATTTAGTTTATGTACAAATGGAACAAGAAGGATGTGAGTGGATCAGTAGACCCGCTCCCGCAACTTGAACATCAACGGGTCCTTCGTGCGCAGGATGAGCTCGGCGATCAGGACGGGCGGCTCCGAGGTGTCGCCCACAAAGTCCACCTCGTAGTGCCTCAACACATTCGCCACGATGGCCTTGATCTCCAGCATGGCGAACTTCTGGCCAATGCAGTTGCGGGGTCCTGCCGAGAACGGGATGTACGCGTACGGGTTGAGCTTCTCGGCGGTGGTGACCACATCGAATCGCTCCGGCTTGAAGCTGTTGGGCTCACTGAAGAGCTCCTCCCGCCTGCCCAGATACAGTGGTGAGATGCCGATGTTCGTGCCCGCTGGAATCAGTTTTCCATCTGAATGGGAGAAAGAAATTTTGAACACAGATTTTTAGAGAATTAAACCACAAGCTTTTAAAGGTATACCATTTCCAAATCCGATTTCTGTGAGAAAAGTTATGGCCTTAAAAGTACAGATTTTGGGTCACTTTTCGGTAAAGCCATTTTTTGAAAATTTCGAAAGGGGTTACCTCATAAAAAATTACGAAAAATCGATCGAAAAATTAAAAACTAAATTTTAAACACAGATTTTTAGGGAATTACACCACAAGCCTTTAAAGGTATACCATTTCGAAATCCGATTTCTGTGAGAAAAGTTATGGCCTTTAAAGTACAGGTTTTGGGTAACTTTCGGAAAAGCTATTTTTCAAAAAATAATTTTCCTTTCTCATTACTCACTTATCTCGCAGTCCTCGAGCACCTTGCGACCCAGCAGAGGAACGGAGGGGTACATCCTGAGGGTCTCCTTGACGCACAGATCGACGTAGCTCAGCTTGTTCAGCAGCTCGTAGGTGACCGGCGTGCCCTTGTCCTGGCCCACCACGGATCGGATCTCCTCGAAGCACTTCCTCTGCGCCTCCGGATGGGTGGCTATGTTGTAGAAGAAGAACATCAGGGCCGAGGAGGTGGTGTCGTGGCCCTCGAACATGAAGGTGTCCACCTCCTCGCGGATGTCCAGATTGGTCAGTGGCCGCTCGTCGATGGTCGACTGCAGGAGGATGTCCAGGAAGGCCATCTTGCGCTTGGCGCCCACATCCGCGTCCTCCCTGCTGCTCTCCTGGCTGCCACCCCCGCGGAGGATCTCCTCCCGCCGCTGCACGATGATCCGCTCCGTGAACTGGTGCAGCACATCCAGCGCCTTCTTCTCCGCCCTCGCCAGCGGGGTCAGCATGTAGGTGAGGTCGAAGCGGTACAGGATGTTGAACATCCGCTTGTGCAGCACCATCGATATGGTCTTCACCGCCTGGACGTACTCGGAGTCCACGTTGGTCTGGGCATTGAGGGACACACCCATGGCAGTTTCTGGAAAGGAAGCAAGAACGCTATTAGAACAGGCATCTAAAACTGAGAACCGATTGCCAATCAGTAGGAGTGTTGAGAAAGCAAAGTTTTCCAGACATAAAATAAATCCAATTCCATTTCAGTAGCTCAACGCAATCCTACCGCAGATCGTGTCCATGGTGCAGAGATTGATCCAGTCGTAGAGGCTGAAGCCAGAATCGCCGTGCTTCAGGCGATCCCGCTCCATGTTGCCGAGCAGTTCCCGCGAACCCTTCTCGAAGACCTCGACGAACTGGTCGAGGATCTTGAAGTGGAAGGCGGGCGTGATGATCTTGCGCCGCTTGTGCCACTTGCGACCGCGGCTGACGAGCAGGCCCTCCTTGAGCCAGGGCTCCAATGCCTTGTACTCGCCGGCCTTGTCGTTGAACCGCAGGGTGCCCAGGACCACCTCCACGTCCTTGGGGTCGCCCATCAGCACGTTCAGCTCCGGTCCCAGCCAGACCTTGAGCACCTGGTCCTTGGAGTAGGTGTCCATGAACTCGAATATCTTCTTCACCAGCTCGTGCGGCGGCTTGCCGATGAAGTGGTGGCCATGACCCACCAAGGGAAGGGACGGCGGACCCGGCATGTAGCTGATCAGGTCTATCAGCCGCTTGAACTTCAGCTGGTAGATCAGCAGGCCCGCGAATAGGGCGCTGGCCAGGATTGCGCCTACGATCAGGAACATAGTGCTGCTGGTGGTCTCTATGAATATGTGTGTGTGTGGTTCCCCCAATCAGTCTCCACGTATTGGCAACGGAGGAACAACTGATCCGGCAACAAACCTTTCATAAACTTGAGATCGGACTCGGCCCAAACCATTGATAATCCACCCTAAGATACACTGCGAACAAAAGGCCCTGACTTGATAAGGTTTCTTACACATACTTTAAAACTACAGAGGTGCACTTTAGGTTTAGCACTATTGGTTAAGAACTTAAATGGTTGAAATATATTTTGGGTTATGCTCAGTTTTTCATAAGATCTTAAAATGTTACATACTTTTAATTCTGTATTTTTTGGACTTATTTGTTTTTTTTTTAATCTTTAGAAATAATTTGTCAATACACGAAAACAAAGTCCATCCTTGTGTGGCGTGTTCAACAATCTATAAAAAAAAAAAAAAATTGTTCTTTTCTCCAGTTTTATTTTGAGTGCCCCACCTTTCCTCAGTGTAGTTAATGCTAATCGCCCTGGGAATATCTTATCGTGCTGTCGAATGACTGCTAACTACCGAAATAGTAGGCTATCCCCGATATCTTATCGCAGTTGGTAGCCGTATTTAGTGTGTGTTTTATGGCGGTGAGTTGGATTTGAACATTGGCCCAATGTTTTCAATAAGTGCTCCCCTCCGGATTTTTCGATTATATTCCGGCCACTCAGAGATAAAGGAAACTAATAAAAGTAAAAGGTTTTGGACTCTCGATTTGGAATTGCCATTTGGTCTCTATCAAAATAATATTGTTGATCACAAACACTGTCGATGTGTAAAATCTTTCTTAATTTATTAGTTATTATATTTTGATATCAATGTTTCAGGGATAATGAACAATACTCTTTACTTTCATTCTTTCTTGACTTTTAATTGACAAATCATAAATGGAGCCATCTTAGGGGCCTATTTTTGAATATATATCCTAATATTTTTTTTAAAATTTTTGATCCGCAATTTGTTTAGCCAAGATCAGTGTACTCACCGCAGATGGCATCCAGTGTACAGAGGTTGATGGCCTCGCCCAGGTTGATCCTTTCCTGGCCGCTGCTCCTCCTGGACTTCAGTTCCTCGACGAGTCGCAGCGATTGTCTGTCGAAGATCTCCACGTACTGCTCCAGAATCCGGAAGTGGAAGGCCGGGGTGATGATCTTGCGCCGGCGGTGCCACTTGCGTCCGTTGCTGACCAGCAGTCCCTCGTTCAGCCAGCGGCCCAGGAAGGAGTACTCCTCCGACTTGGTCAGCAGGTGGGTGCTGCCCAGAACGCGTTCCACGTCGCGCGGGTTGAAGAGCATGACGCTGTAGGATGGGCCCAGGAAGAGGCCGAAGGTGTCGCCGTGCTTCTCCGCCAGCTCGCCCATCCGGAGGCAGGCTTCCGCCGGAGAGAGGCCCAGGAAGAGGTGGGCGTTGCCCAGCAGGGGCAGGGGCAAGGGCCCCGGAATGGTCCTCATGTTCCGCACGAATCGCCACATCTCCAGGGCGAGGATCAGCAGGACCAGGACGAGGGCGAGCAGGAGCCACATTTTCGGGACTGACCACTCCAACGCAGGCGACGATACCAACTGCTTGGGCTCCCCGGCTCTCAGCACCTGATAACCCAAGATGATGCTCCCTATCAGCAGCTCGAAATAGTGATGAAAATTTGGCATTATCTGTTCTCCAAGTCAGAAATGCGCAGTGATTTGAAAGTGATTTAAATTATATTATGGAAAAGTGGGGTATAAACTAATTTCATTATATTTTTGTTGATTGATTATTATTTTAATTGGGTTTTTGTTGGTCTGCCCTTTCTTATATATTATGTAGGTGTAATGATATTTAATAACTAATAATTTAAATATATCTTATTCAATATTTGTTTTTTTTTTTGTAACATAAAATAAATATAGTACTTCCATGTACATATAGTACTACCCATGTTTTATTTATTACGACCTTAACCTTACATACCCGTTTTATTAAGTTGAATAACTCCAGGCTATTAGTACATTTTAAATCTGTAATGTTTTCCAAATATTAATTTTTAAAGTAATTCTATATTTTGGACCTTGCACCCATTTTGCACTCGGGAATCTTTCGAGATGTCACAGTCTAATTTGCGATTCCCCGAGTCATCCTTAGTTGGCATAAGGAAAGCGGGAAGGGTCACCATGTCGGGCTGACAGATTGGCAATTCTGGGAGATAAAGAAACCCATCTTCCGATCGGAAGAGAGCGAATTCCGACGGAGATTTCTCAATTTCTGGCTGGCGAATTGATTGTGAGTGAGTAGATGGATGGCGGGTAAACAATGGCATTCCAGCGATAGTTGTTGTTTACATTTCGGCGGGGACGGGGGCGAGCACCTGACCGCAACTCATCCTGCTCCACTTCCACCCGACGTCACACTGGCCACATGGCCGGTCTATTTTGGGCCAGGTGCTCTATATTTAGGCCATCCCACTCACATCCCAGCGCCGGCAGACAAACAACGATGACGAAGTCGCGAACTTGAAATGGATTTCTCCGCGAATTTCGATGGGGATTGGCATTTGGATAGAGCCGTCCCAAAATGACATGAAAAATTGAGTGAAATAAACTTTGCTGTATGTCTTAATTCATTTAGTGTGAATCTAAATTTTAGTTGGACAACTCTTCTAAAAATATTCATCTAAATACTTCACAATTTAATGTTAATAGCTCAGCTATTTTAGGACTACAATTTTAAGTACCCTCTCTTTTTTTCAAGTGTGAAATCATTCCGATTTTCTTAAACTGCGTCCCATTATTGCCTTTAATTACACAGGCCATAGAATTGAAAATAAAAACATAAAATTGCAATCAAAGTCTCTGAATTACTTCCCTATTTGGCTAAGTAAAACCCCTATTTTCCCCGATCTTTTCAGCACTTCTAACCTTAATGGCCTTTAAAATGCAGATGTTTATGCAGCTGCGAATTTGAATATTTTTATATGAGTATGAGCATTTGCGCTGCACACGAGCACAAAATAGAAATTCCCCTTTGGCAGCCCACAGTTGACTCATTTCGCAGCCACATCCGAATCTGAATCTGAATCCGCATCAGAAGCCGAATCCCAATCAAAAAACACATGCACATTCGCCCACTGCGTACTAGATATAGATATATATATATATATGAATAGGAGGAGGGAATATATAGTATTTATCGGCGGCTACAACAATGGCAACAACAGGCGTCCTTCGACCATGCCAAATTCCAAAATTCTTGCGTCGCCGCTCGTCGGTCGTCGACATCGACGTCACTTTATCTCGAAGATCCTCCTGCCGATACCCCCCTCCCTCCCCCACACACATAAAAAAAAAGAAGGCGGAACGTAAATATTTACACATGTCTTACAAGTGCTGGCGATTTCTCGATGTCGGATATATAGCCATATAGCTTGTGGGGATCTCGATGTGCGTTGGAATTTCATTGGCATTTCCATTTTTCGTTTTGTTTCCAATTTTGTTCAATTTAACATTGCGCATCGCTCCCCAGTCGACAGTTCAATGAGGTGCCCAGAGGGTCGTAGTCAGGATTCTTTCAGAGGGGGTTCCACTTGAAGACAGGGGGTCTGACAACAAATATTTAGGTTGATTAATAACTTAAATATTTATTGACCTCTTTAATCCAGGTTTCGAGGTGGAATGGGTGTTAGTTTAACTTTTTTAATTTTATTAATTTATTTTTTTAGATAATAGTACCCATAACTTGATCAAATAATGGACGATTTTTAAGTAGTATAACCTTAGAAGTTTCCCAATTAATTGGCACCGAAAGATTTAATTATTTTTTAATTTTAAATATATTTGAAAAGCAAAACTACCGTTATTATAAGGTTTGAGGTTCTGTTAATAAAATAACAGTTAATAAGGTTCTGTTAATAAAATAACTACCGTTATTACAAAGCTTGGGGTTCTCTTAATAAAAAAACTTTTTCGTTTCAGTTTCCCCCACTGGAAATCCCGGCTACGGATCTGGTTCGGATCCCCGATCTTGGCGCACTTCACAGCGAAGTGCAGCGGATAGATGGACACGGAGCGACCTCAACTCTGGAGAGCACTACATCATAACAATAAAAATAATAGCAATTTGGCAGTGGCGCACAATTTGCGTCAACGGCACTTGCCTACTTGGCATCTAGTACTCACATAGAATACGCCATATACCACAAGTCCATGCCGTGCAGATATATTATACGATCGGTCAGAAAAACAAAAACATTATTTAAGAATTAAAAAACAAATATAGCCCAAAAATAGTATGGCTTCCTTCATTAAATTGTTCACATTGCAAGTAATACTTTTATTTAAATCCCCTTTTTATTAAAATGTTTTAATACGCTGCTATTATTTCGACCTTTGCTGTTAATTGGTGAGCACAATGCGGGCCAAGTGCCTGTTTATATATAGAGCAAAGGATGAGCCATCATATCGTTCGTCTTCTGCGCCACAATGCATGCCCGTACTAATAATACAGCATAATAACAATAATAAAACATATGAATAAGCAGACGCCGCGTATGCGCAATTTTCCGTTGCCCGCATTACGTATACGCCACCGATCTGAAATAAATAAACCAAACGAACAGCGGCAATCGCTGGCCAAATAAGGCAATATCCGTTATGCAGCGCAATTACTTAACCAGGCCAACAATTAAATATTAGCAAATCCGTTTTATCTCGTCGAAAGTGACATCGCCCCACGAAACTCGGGATGAATCATCCCGCATCCCGAATATAGTGGCTCGTTTTGACGTTTCACTTGGCTATTTTCACAGATAAATACAACTAATTGTTTGAATTACACATTATGTCGCTTTGCTGACGAATTCCCAGCTGAGGGGATCGCAAATGCAAATGATTCAAAGTGTCTCGTTTTTCAGAGGTTTTCAGGCACTTGGTAACAGGGATTAAAGGGTTACTAAAAATATACATAAATACTTGTTTTACATTTCGAAACAAATTAATAAGTTAGCCTACAAATCTATTCAGATTAGTTTGTAAGGAGCAAATAAATAAAGAAGATTATTTATAGTTTGAGCCTATATGAAAATAGGATTCCATTCAATCGATCAATGATCAATTTGTTTTGAACGAATGTTTATGAGCCAAAAAATACGACGCAAATCGCAAAAGAAAAATTAATGGAAAAATTATTATGGGCCAAGTGCGGCAATCCATATTATGTTCTTGAAACTTGGAGATTGCAGTGGCAATTGGCATTTGACTTTGCATTACTGAGGGACAAACAGTGCTGACAGCATGCTGGCAGATCTATCAAACAATTTATGCTAACCATTTGGCGATTATTTAGTCTTCGGTCTTTTAGTCTTCTGGTTTCCTTTGGCCGCAACAGGAAATTGCTCAGGCGAACGCATTTTCATTCATGAGTTGATTTTATTTATGTGCTGGCCGCTGCCAAAGCAGGCACCCCGATGTTGGTGGCCACTACAGTACATAGCCAACGGAAGGCCCCGACTCGCCACGCCCCCTCCGCCCACACACGTGCATTATAGTGTATAATATGTATATAATTGCCACCGAAATCGCATCGCCATGCACTTGTGGCTGTCAGCCAAACATGCAACAATAACAAGCGAGTGCTGCAGTGCCACCCATTCCAAGGAAGTGATGGACGCGGGGATACTTATCCATCCATCAGAAGGTAAAAGTTGGAGTCGGAATAGGGTGTGGCATTACTAGTTCTCCATTTAAAATCCTTCTAATTAGGAAACGCGTTCTAAGACTTAAGACTCCCCTTCTTACATTATAATATCGATTTATAATTTAAAACAACAATATTAATATTTCTATGATTCTATTCAAAATCATATGTATTTTAAGAAATATAATTACTATATTTTCGGTACATGTTAAAGTTTTTACATTTAAATACCAACTAGCTTCTTAACTAGTGTTTAATCAACATATTTACCTTCTATATTTTTAAAAGCTTCAGTAAATTAGAGATATTTGTGTACAATGGTGGCTATTTTAAACGTATTAGTAAGCTATGTTTTTTGTTATTGAAAAAGGAAGTCCGGTTATATCCCGACCCAGGGCCCAATATACCCCCATAAACCCATCATTGAATGCAAACAATGCAGTCGAATTTGTTTAATTAGCGGAATAAACTCGTATATTAGAGATTGGCGGGCCGAGTGGACCAAGTCCAAATCCGAATCCGAATCCCAACTGACAAGCCAAGGCAGCTGGGCACGCGCATTTTGGTGGGTTCTTTGACTGTGCGCCTCTGAGATCCTGGTATCCTCCGATTCGAGATCCGAGATTCAAGATTCGAGATTCAGGATTTGAGATCCGAAAGCCGCGTTTCCTGCTGTTTTCGGGTAGGGATTTTTGAACGGCATCCAAAAAGCCCAGCGACGATCAGCGCGTTACGTGAACCCCCGATCGAAACGCGACCCAACCATCAGCATACCGTTAGATGGTCGGTCTATTTCGGGTCTATACTTGTGTACACATGTATATGTGGGCTGCCGAGGGGCGTTGGGGAAAAAGGGGGTGGGGCAGGGCGACCGCTTCCGGTTTTTCCCAAGAGCACTTCGAACGGCACGAGCGTTGCATCGCTGATTCGATTTTCACTTCTTTCGCGATTCCCACACGCTGCTACACTGAGCGAAAAATTGCCTATCTTTCAAGCTTGGTTTTGTACAAATGTCGAACAATTTATGTTCGTAATTTTGTTGGGAAACTACCACTGACTAATCGTGTCTCTTTTTTGAACCCCTTTAGTGTTTTCTTTTTCTAGAAATTCAAGTTTTTTTTTCTCTTTTTCTTAAAACATTTAACATTTTCAAAGGAAAAAAAGGAATTTAAAAAAGACTTCAATACAGTCTTCATGGAATATATTTTCATAATCTATAGTTTAGTATACTGTGTAAACAAGGATCTTGTAGATCAAAAGAGTTATCAGTATGATTTAATATTTATAAAAGTTTTTTGAATTGCAGTCATTCGATTTTTAAGAGATACTGTTCAGTATTACCAATGAAAATTTGATATCCAAAGTGCATTGATAAATGAGATTAAAGGGAGTGTTTTATTATAGCTGGATTTTGGGTCTTATTTACTTGTAATTATTTTTTCCCCAGTGCATCTCTCTCAGAGCGCTGTTTTCTTTGCGGCTTCTTGGAGGGCAATGAAATCGGAATCGGAATCGGAGTAGGAATATCTGCGGTCGGACCGAAGTCGGACCCTCCTACCCTCGGACCAGCGAAGCGCGTAAGCTGGTGTTGATTGAAGAGTGACCCCCGACTTTACCTGTATGTGTGTACATAGTGTGCATTTATGGCTGGGCAAAACTCCGGCAGGTGCTCCCTTGAACTTCCAACTTCTGGGAGTTTTTCTCGGAGCAGCTGGGAAAAAAGTGGGTAAAAATGCTAAGAACGGTCTAAAATTAAAAGGAAATGCAGAGAGCGCTTTCCCAGAGAGCGGGAAAACAAAGCAGAAAAGCTGAAAGGCAGAAAATCAAAAAAGCAGCTGCTTTGCGAGAGTGTGAGTGGCGCCGTGTGTGTGTGCCATCGCGGCTATAAAAAGAAATCGCGATCGCTTTCGGCGCTCACTTTTGGTCCCAGCAACCAAACGGCGTGTACCCACAAGAGACATTAAAGATATATACCAAAAGCGATCAGATCCAAATCAAGTCAAAACCAAAGATACAAAACCCGGAACGCAGGCATTCACACCGTATCACCCAGTTGAAAGACATTTTTCTTGTTTTTTTTCCGTTGTTAAATCAAAAGAAGAAGCGTTTCTCAAAACGTGTGCATTTTGCATTGTGAGTGGATCGAATCGAAACGGAAATTGGAAGCCCGACATATCGAGGAATTCCAGCCAGCCAAAAGCCAAAAACTAAGAGGAGCTACTTCTAAAAACACCAAGAAAAGTGAGTGAGAAAACTATTAAACTAACAGCGAACAAATATGAAACACCGCTCAGTGTTCCCAAAAACTACAAATATTTTAAGGCCAAAATTTGCGAGAGAAAACCCCAAAAATTAAGTAAACCAAAACAGTAAGCCAATTTTTCTTGACACGCTTATATAAATGTTAGATTGTATTTTATAGCATTCAAAGTAAATACTTTCAATCTCATTTTGTAAGGCAAGCTGTTCTATTTGATATATATATATTGTATACTTCAAATATAAATAATTGAAATAATTTTCATTTCGATTTTTTTATTTTCTATTGTGCTGAATTTTTTATTATGTGTTGATTTAAAACGTGTTCTATCTACCAGCTAATTTGCATTCGAAATATAAACAAAGGTATCACCTTTTATGCCAGTTTCTTTTACACTTTTTGTGTGGTTTTGATTGAGATTTAGGCTTTGAAAATATTTGCCTACACCACTTTACGTTTTCGTAAATCTCTGAATATTTAGAGAGCTATTTCTCAACTAGTAAACGTTTTATTTGCAATCTCGGTACCTTTAAGGGTTTTATTTGATAATTTCATACTCAAGTGGCCTTACGTTTTGCGTGATTGATATGGGATGCAAACTACAATCGCATATACATACTTACATACATAATACGTATGTGTGACAGGTTGTCGGTAACTTAAAGCTTACTGGAAATCGGAGGGGTTAATGCTCAGCAATTTCCAGTTAATTCGAAATGGAAAAACGGAACGGCAAATGGGCACGAAACCGAATTCCGGTTCATCTTTCGGGGTCGTACGACTACTATAATACGAGGGGCGCTCAAGAGTTCAGGCCTAACGGTCTTTTTCGCTTTGTTTTGCTTCTGTTTTTGTCTCCTCTCTCCCTCTTTCCATCTTTCCCCTTTTTTGTCTTTTCTGCTTTCTGTTTTTCTATTTTTCTACTTTCTGCTGCCCATCATCTTCTGTAACTTTGCTTTGGGTGGGGAGGGGGGTGGGATGTGGAACCGTACACCTCTTTGGAGGTCTGGGTCACAAAGGAAATGGTAAATTGGTAACCTGGTGAAGAGTAAATAAACGCTGTTTGGCAATTCGCCATAGACCAAAACACCGAAAAGAAACAAAATAAACTCATCCACAATGGGCACACACATTTCCATTGTTATGAATGTTGTCTGTTGCTAAATTTAATTGGTTTTCTTTCCCACATTCGGGGCCTTTGTCTCCAACTCTTTTCTCTTTCCGATTGCAGGCAAAAGTGTTGCGAATTCGCGGTGACAAAGGGCCGAAGAGCAAAGCGGCCAACCACCCAACTATCCAACCATCCAACTGCCACTTTCCGGACCAGTTTGCCCGGTACCACTAGGCCACCAATCTGCAAGATCCCAGCCAGAACCCGGAACCCAATAAGGCCAAGCCCGGTGGAACTATGACGGACGTATCGCACGAATTGGGCGCCCTGCGCTTCGTGGTGGTAAGTAATTCAGATATTTATTTACCTATTAATCCTAAACGACCATCACTTGGGTATTTAATGTCCTACAAAGACATCTAGTTTAGTCTTACTTACCTATCAATCATAAATAATCTTCACTTACCATTTTAACCACTGTGAGTAATTTAGTTACTAAATGATCACCGCTACCAAATTAATAGTTTGTAAAAACGAAACTGATGTGATATGTGGAGAAATGTTAAATCTGGTGCTAAACTTATAATGAAAAATTCTTAAATGGATATAAAAGTTAGAACTGAATTATAAGCTTCATTGAAACACACCAATGCTATGGCGATCCTATTTCCAATTTCAATTAAATTAATAAACACTTAGAGAGATATTGACGTCAAGATAGAAAAAAGCGAAACATCAAAGAAAAGTTTTTGAAATTCCTGAGAAAATACCTATAATAGATAGTTTGGTAGTTTCAAAGAAGGAAACAATTGAAGAAAGATTACCTTGGATAATTCTAGTAACTCAGTGACAAATATCGAAGTAAAAGCTTCTTGAAAATGCTGCCCAGCAACAATAAGGCCAGAAAATAAAAAAAGGGATTTGGATTAAGATTTGTGCGGCATGTTTGGAATGCCGCACTCGGAACTATAAAAAGATTTGTTGCGATCTCAACCACATTGTATTGTTTTTTTCGCTCGCACATCTCGTGCGACAAATGCCCGAAAATTATTTATGCGCAGAAAACCACAAGAAATGCGTGAGGAGCCAGAATAAAGCCAAAAAAATAAGAGGAAAAACAGAAAAATGGCCAAGAAATATTATAATGCAAATGGCCAGAATAAATGTCAAGCGAAAGCCGCGAGAAAAATGTCTGGACAGTTTCCAACGGCATGATTAAAAATCATTAGGATTGAAATGATATAAAGAATTTCAGCCTGCAAACAAAACAATAACAAAGCGGTGGAGGGGCGGGAAACGTGAGGGGAGGGGATTTTTTTTTCTTTTTGTTGAAATTTGTTGCTGTGTTTGTTTTAATTTGTCGCCACATGAATTGCCAAAATATACACACCCCTACTTTGCCCACTATACGTATATGTAGACAAATAGAACATATAGAATGGCAGAGGAACGAACGGGTTTTTCGCACAGCAAAAAGATCAAAACACGGAAAAATTCTTGGCAATGACCATCGAAATAGCAATGCTGAATATGCACAGATACCCATCCCATCACATCCCATCCCATCCCATCCGTAGTGTCCGTCCGTATAGAGGCTATATAGATAGTAGATATAGAATGCGCAGACTTCGCGAGAGTGACAACGGCGCCGACAAATAGATCCGTAAGACAGAGGACTACGTAACCAATTCGCCCGGACCCGGCCAGCTGCAGCTGAAAATGTTACCAAAAAACACAAAAATATCCGTTTCAGTGTCTGCATAATTTGTTTAGCACCATAAATAATAATAATCCTATGGGTTCCACACAATATCATGAGGTTTTCAAATGTTATTGTCCTGGCAAGTGGCAGTAACGCTATTCCAAATTACTTCGATCCCAAAACAATGTTGGTTATATAAACTTGAAAGTGAAACACAAGTATATATAATATATTGTCATTGTGTATCAGTGTATTACAAATAGTTTCTGGATCAAAAAGAATAGTATTCTACAAACCTTAGGTTGTTTTAATACTATTGAAATGATTTGAAAACAAAGTCATTGCTTATTTTCACATGAAAACCTCCCACAATTGTTAACTAATTTCGCATTTCTTCTGTTCGCACATAAGCTCGGTTTCTTTGGTCGTTGGCCTTTCGCAGTGGATTTCCCTTACATTTGAAGATCGGTGGACCTTGTTTACAATATAAATTTCGTTTTTATCGCCCCTGGAGAAGTGGAGAAGTGGCTTCCCAGCTTTTGCGGCGACGAAATGAAAATGAAAATTTCGAAACTAATTTCCATGGGCAATTTATGCATTTTTCCCAGACTTTCTCCCCGGGGAGAAGAAAATAAAAGAAAAAACTCTCCCCGGCGGACGAAAAGTGGTTGCCAAGTTCTGGCCGCTTTTCATTCATCGTTGGGTTTATTTTTAAACGCCTTTGCCAGTGTGATATGAATGAAATTCGCCTGATTGACGAATTTTTGGATATTGATCAAAGAGACAAATTCGGAACGTCATTGCGGGCGTTGCCAAAATGGCCAAAATGTCCAATTATATAAACCATAAACCTCAGTGGAGGGAGTCAAGTCAATAGCATCATTCATATTCATGGGCAACTCGATCGGGGACTCCACTCTCGTTGCGGCCCCCATAAATAATAACCAAACTGAATAAACACCAGATAGTGGCGAAAATTGGCCGTGAAGGTCATTCCTGTTTTCTTTTTGATTTTCGTGAACATCTCTCGCTTTTATTTGTGCTGTAGGAAGTGGGCATATATCTACGATTATATATGTGCGCCTTGGTTGTTCGTCAAAGAGTGCTGCCCCGCCCACACATCGCCCGCCGTTTGCCCGCCCCCTTTTCCGCGGAGGCCTTTATTTATGACCACGACATTTGCGCATTCCTCTGCTGCCGTGGCTCATGGCGCGGGAATCTTGCACTTATTAGATGAAAAATTACACAAAATGTAAGACCGCTGTTATTTAATTGCGGCTAATTAATTTTCCCGGTGAGAACTTGTTCGAGCAAGTTGTAGTATTTGAAACCCATTAATTGCGCGCCCAGTGGGTGAGTTGGCAACGCGGGAACGACTGCTTGCACTTGAACTGGGGGCTTAGTTTTTACTGTTTCAATTTTAAAGGCCATTAAAGAGGAATTTTGGTGAAAGATTAAAGAGAATTACTGCCTAATACTTGATACAATTTAGTTTAATGATTTTGGGAAATTCCTCACAGCACTTGACAGCTATTTAGCATTAAATCATCATATTTTTTAGGGGTTTTCCGAAGTGAATATACAAATGTTGTTATAAACAAGTAAAAACTATTTTTGAATATCGTATATGTGTATACATTTTACTTAAGCGATTAGCTGACCAAAATGTCTTTAATGATTTTATTTTTGTAATGCAGGCTCAGTTCCTGATTTTAATACTTTATTTTAAATATTGAGCAGATACCCACTAAAAGATAAATTTAAACTTGAGAAAAGCTTAAGCAGTTGTGACGATCAGTTGGCAACGCGACAAACTGACAGGACAAGCAGTGTTAAGCCTGCAGCCTGCCTGGCAACGCCGAGCCAAAGTTCAATTTAAAGTTTGGCTTCCTCTGTTGAAATATAATATCCCCGAAAAACCTTATTAAGAACGGCTCTTTGTCCACTTATCCTTGCAGGACTCACCGCTGTCCTCCAAAGTAGCCATGTTCAACAACCAGGCGACTCAGCACAAGCAGTCGCAGCTGCTGAATCCCTTCTCCCAGGACGGACGCGCCTCCTCTCCGAAACCGACTTTCTCGAAGGATCAGTATGGAAAACCACTGGCCGGCAGCCTCACGGAGATGCGTGGCCAGAAGGCCAACATCCACGTAATGAAGGAGATGCTGGAACTGTGCCAGATCATCAATTCGGAGGGCTACGACGTCAAGGACGAGCCCACCATGCGCGTGATTCCCTTCGGCGAGCTGTTCAATGTGAGTGGTTTACAGTCCTTGTCCCTAGTGGCCCTCTAATCCCTTGTGTGTTCCTCCTGCAGATCTACAACTACATCTCCGACAAGGTGGTGGGCATTCTGTTGCGCGCCCGCAAACACAAGTTGGTGGATTTCGAGGGCGAGATGCTGTACCAGCGGCGGGATGACAATGTGCCGGTGTTCCTGCTGAAGCCCATCAAGGAAATCCGCGCCGAGATGGACGCCAAGATCGAGGACATCAAGCGGGCGGCCAGTCCCGCGCCACCGCAGTCCACATCGGTGCTGATGGACCGCAGTGCGCACGAGCAGAATCTCAAATCGAGGACTCCCTCGCCGGCAGTGGGCAAATCCGCTAAGGCCAAGTCCGCATCGCCTGCGCCGGTGGCCAAGGCCTCTGCTCCAGCTCCAGCTCCAGCGGCTCCAGTTGTGGAAGCAGCTCCAGCAGCAGCCCCAGTTGTGGATGCAGCTCCAGCAACAGCCCCTGCTCCTCCAGCAGAAGCCACTCCTGTGGCAGATCCAGCTCCCTCTGCAGAACCTGCTCCTGCTGCGGAGCCCACTCCAGCAGCAGCTCCTGCTCCTGCTCCCGTTGAGATTAAGACATTGGCGCCGGGCGTGCCTGAGCCTGTGCCAGTGGCTGTGATAGTCACGGAAGCACCACCAACCACAGAGGAAGCCACACCAACCATCAGCGAACCGCAAACGGAGGAGGCAGCTGCTCCTTCTGCGCCTGCAGCCGCTGAGGACTTGCCCACAATTGTGATCGAAGCCACCGCCGAGTTTGTGCGCACCATCAGCGTGGAGCAGCTGGCGCCCAGTCCCGAAGCAGTCGCCCAATCCCAGCCAGAGCCCACGTCTGCCTAAGCCGGGGACCAAGGACTCGATGGAAGGAATAAACATCCCCTGGAATCGTTTAAAAGGAACTCTCGCAACTACTAAAGCGGCAGCTTTAAATTGCAGTAGTTTAGTTTACGGCGTACTTAGTTTAATTTACAATTAGAGCAACACAACACTGAAGACAGAATATCGAGAGCGATTATCTATTTATTTATATGTATCCATTAACCGACGACCAAAGGAGCAAGTTTCCTCAATTTTTTAATCATTACTTTATGGAAATTAATCAAAGTTTTCCACATACAAAAGTTGGGAAAGTGCAAAGCGATATAATATATTAATAAAATAAATACACGTACATAGACACAGTAAAAAAATCTTATTTGTTCTGAATTGACCAAAACTAAAAATTTTTAGTTGGGAATTGGCATTCTCAATTCAACTCCTAGAGTCCATAATCTAGCCAAATGTAATTCGATTTCAAAGTGGCATACCTCTAAAGACTTGTGGTTGTATTCACCAAAAATCTGCATTCAAAATTTTCATTTTAACGTTGACCGACTTTTTGACCCATTTTCATGTTGGTTATTTCCAATTGCCCAAAGGTGACCCACAATTGGATTTATAGATTCTATAACTTTACCAAATATAATCCGATTTCAAAGTGGCATACCTCTAAAGACTCGTGGTTGGATTCACTAAAAATCTGCATTCAAAATTTACAGTTTAGCGTTGACCGAATTTTTGACCCATTTTCATGTTGGTTATTTATAAGTTTCCGATGAGTTGCCCAAAGGTGACCCACAATTGGACTTCTAGATTCCATAACTTTACCAAATGTAATCCGATTTCAAAGTGGCATACCTCTAAAGACTTGTTATTTGGATTCACTAAAAATCTGCATTCAAAATTTTCAGTTTAGCGTTGACCGAATTTTTGACCCATTTTCATGTTGGTTATTTATAAGTTTCCGATGAGTTGCCCAAAGGTGACCCACAATTGGACTTCTAGATTGCATAACTTTACCAAATATAATCCGATTTCAAAGTGGCATACCTCTAAAGACTCGTGGTTGGATTCACTAAAAATCTGCATTCAAAATTTACAGTTTAGCGTTGACCGAATTTTTGACCCATTTTCATGTTGGTTATTTATAAGTTTCCGATGAGTTGCCCAAAGGTGACCCACAATTGGACTTCTAGATTCCATAACTTTACCAAATGTAATCCGATTTCAAAGTGGCATACCTCTAAAGACTTGTTATTTGGATTCACTAAAAAACTGCATTCAAAATTTTCAGTTTAGCGTTGACCGAATTTTTGACCCATTTTCATGTTGGTTATTTATAAGTTTCCGATGAGTTGCCAAAGGTGACCCACAATTGGACTTCTAGATTCCATAACTTTACCAAATATAATCCGATTTCAAAGTGGCATACCTCTAAAGACTTGTGGTTGGATTCACTAAAAATCTGCATTCAAAATTTTCAGTTTAGCGTTGACCGAATTTTTGACCCATTTTCATGTTGGTTATTTATAAGTTTCCGATGAGTTGCCCAAAGGTGGTTGGAAAGACTTGTGGTTGGATTCACTAAAAATCTGCATTCAAAATTTTCAGTTTAGCATTGACCGAATTTTTGACCCATTTTCATGTTGGTTATTTATAAGTTTCCGATGAGTTGCCCAAAGGTGACCCACAATTGGACTTCTAGATTCCATAACTTTACCAAATGTAATCCGATTTCAAAGTGGCATACCTCTAAAGACTTGTGGTTGGATTCACTAAAAATCTGCATTCAAAATTTTCAGTTTAGCTTTGACCGAATTTTTGACCCATTTTCATGTTGATTATTTCTAAGTTTCGGATGAGTTGCCCAAAGGTGACCCACAATTGGACTTCTAGATTCCATAACTTTACCAAATGTAATCCGATTTCAAAGTGGCATACCTTTAAAGACTTGTGGTGAGATTCACTAAGAATCTGCATTCAAAATTTTCAGTTTAGCATTGACCGAATTTTTGACCCATTTTCATGTTGGTTATTTATTAGTTTCCGATGAGTTGCCCAAAGGTGACCCACAATTGGACTTCTAGATTCCATAACTTTACCAAATGTAATCCGATTTGAAAGTGGCATACCTCTAAAGACTTGTGGTTGGATTCACTAAAAATCTGCATTCAAAATTTTCAGTTTAGCATTGACCGAAATTTTGAACCATTTTTATGTTGGTTATTTATAAGTTTCCGATGAGTTGTTAAAAGGTGACCCAAATTTTGAATTCTGAGTCCATAACTTAACCAAATTTAATCCGATTTCAAAGTGACATAGCTCTGGTTTTATTCTCTAAGCTACAGTAAATTTGACTTATTAACGATGATCAATTTTGTGATCCATTTTCATGTTAGTTTTTAAGATAATGCATCGCTTTATTACAAATGAATAAAAAGTCAAATATTTTTAAATTCTTGTAACTGCAAACATAGTGTGACCGGCTGGCGAAGGAAACAATACATTTGCTTTCGGTATTATGGTCGGAATAAGAATCGGGCACACTTAAAAACTGGTGTTTTTTAGAAGAAATAATTTAGTTGCAAATAAACAAAATAAACCTCTCAGGATGTCTGCCCTGCGCCGTGACGTTTCGCCCTTTATCCAGCGCATTCGGGCCTTCCTGCTAGGCGTAAGTATCCCCAATTCCCGGACAACAGCCCCACGGATTACTGAAATCCGTGTTATGTAAGACGGAACATGGGAATCTCTGGTTAATCCCGACTATAATTGCAGCGGGAGCACAACCTGGCGCTGCGTTTCGAGGACGGAGTGGCCGATCGCACCCAGCCGCAGCCGGAGCTCCCGGACGGACCGTCGCACCTGCACTCCGCCAACTACTACTGCCAGCGGGATGCCCGTCGCGAGGTCTTCCCGCCCATCGACCTGGTGGAGCAGCAGAAGCAGCTGGCGGCCGAGGCCGGAGCAGCGCCAAAGGCCACGTCCTCCAAACTGCCCACTCCGGGCAAGGTCTACGGCTGGGACTAGTAGCCCAACGCCATAGCCTCTCTACGGAAATCGCTTTTTTTTTGAGTTGTTCGAGCCGGTTAAAGCTAATATAGAATCCATTTAAACCGAAGACGGAGTGCGTGCAGGTTGTATACAGTGATGGAGGGTCGGGATCAAGACATGAATTATTCCCATTTGCCCATTTTAAAGTCTATTTCTGAGTTCCGCTAACGAAAGGCCAAACCTATTCTATGATATTCAATTTATTGTCGTGCTTTTGCATTAAAAATCATATGAAAATTATAAAATCTAATCAATCTATCTATCTGTCTACCAATCTAATCTATTTCTTTTTCTATTCGGAATTGAACTTTTTTATTTTATTGTTTCCTTAATAATTTAATAGTATACCTCAACTCCAAAAAAAATGCTCACCATCACTGGATATTACTAAGTACAAGTAGTTTATTGAAATATTTACAAAGCCCTTTCCTTAAAATTATTTAAAAAAAAATGAAGACCACCACAGGAACCCCTAATAGACTCGTGGCTTGATGCCGCAATTAATACCCGTGGAGGAACGCAAGATTAGATTCAGCACCGGCTGGACATCCTCGCCGAGAGGCAGCAACTCAAAGTGTCGCACCATTTTGCTGATCGTGCTCTTCATCTCCAGCATGGCGAACTTCTGGCCGATGCAGTTCCTCGGACCCGCGGAGAAAGGAGTGTAGGCGAAGGGGTTGATCTCGCCCTTGCGGTCCATGCTGAAACGCTCCGGCTGGAACTTCTCCGGCTCGGGGAAGTAGTCCGGATCGCGCTGGGCATGGTAAATAAGGATGACCACGTCGGAGTTGGCCGGTATGAGCTTGCCATCGAGCACAGTGTCCTGGGTGATGTGGCGTCCGATGAGCGGCACCGCGGGAAATAGTCGCAGCGACTCCTTGATAACGCACTCCAAGTACTTGAGTTCGCCCAGGAGCTGCATGCTCACTGGAGCGGACTTGTCGTCACCGATGACATCGCGGATCTCCTGGAAGACGCGAGCCTGAACCTCCGGATGACGAGCCAGCAAGTAGCAGGTAAAAGCGATGCTACTGGTCGTAGTGTCGTGGCCCTCGAACATGAAGGTATCCACCTCCTCGCGGATGTCCTCGTTGCTCAAGGGCGCTCCGTCGATGGAGGACTGCAGGAGCACGTCCAGCAAGGCCAAGCGGCGCTTCTGACCCACGTCGTTCAGGAGGGCAGCGTTGGCATCTTCTCCATTGGCAATCGACTTCTGGAGGAGATCGCGTCGCTCAGTGATTACCGTGTTGGTAAAATCGTGCATGCCCTTCACAGAGTCATTCAGCTTGGTGAACAATTTGGGATAGAAGAGCTTCATGGAGGGATCCGTACGCTGCAGGGGATTCATGAAGCGTTCAGCCAACATGGCAGAGGCACTAAAAGATATGCATGTCAATCTGTTAGCTGAGGATTAAGCTGATATGGTACTCACGTCTTGACCGACTGAACGTAGGGAAAGTCCGGCTGAAGCTGGGCGTTGATTTTCACACCCATCGCCGTCTCCGCAATGATGTCCATGGCGCACAAGCAGGCCACTGGGAACATGTTGATCACCGTCTTGCCATCCGCCCGAGCGTAGAGCTGCTGGACCATAATGGCGCTCTGCTGGTCAAAGACCTCCACAAAGTCATCCAGGATCTTGAAGTGGAAGGCGGGTGTGATGATCTTCCTGCGGCGGAACCACTTCTTTCCCTTGCTGAGGAGCAGGCCATCGCCCAGCCAGTTGACGAGCAGTCCGTAAAGGTTGTTCTTCTGGATGGTCTGCTGGCTGCTCATGATGGCCTCAATCATCTTGGGATCGGCGGTCATGAAGCCGCGTTCCCCCAGCATCTGGATTTGGATGTTCTTGCCGAACTCTGCAATCAGTCGGAATTGCAGATCGAACACAGCTGCAAGTATATAAATGGTATGTTATTATTTACTCCTTTTTTTAAAATTTTTTCAAATATTTCTAAAAACATTTATGGGAAGGAGTTAAAAATGAGTTGATAAAAAATGTTTATCCCAGAAGCTATTAAAATATATATTAATATTTGGATTTCCAAAACATGGTTTTGGAATCGCTAATGAAAAATACAGAACAATTCATTCTTAAAAAGCAATACCTACGAACTGTATAATTTTATAATCAACAAAACTCAGTACTAATAATGGTCATGACCTACTTTTGGGTGACTCCTTGATCATCATGGGAGCATTGCCCACCAGAGGATAGCGCCTGGGTCCCCGGATTCCGGCGGCGGCGTACATCCGGTTGTGGCGCCTGTTTCGCAAATAGTCCCATGCGAAGAGGGTCGTCAGGAGGATCGCAAAGAGCTCCAGATACATGGCTGCCTTCTCGGTTTCGGCTCTTCGGGATGGGGTATGGGAATGGGATTGAATCTATCTAACGCAGCGACCGTTTGCCATCGACTAGTTGGTTCTGCTCGGCGGCGGGGCTGTTTTGTAGCCGACGCGGATTGCGATAAGGCGGCCACAATCAGTGGACTGGAGCCGAAAACCAAGGCGAAGGCCAAAAATTACGACCGGGGTCAAAACCGAGCGGCAGTTGGAGTGTCAACCGAGGAGCATCTTTTCCGCCATCCCACATGTCAGTTGGGGTATCTGGAGATGATGAGCTCGACCATCCACAGTGATATCCAAGGACTAGGAGCGGTCCGTTGACCCACATTCTGTGATGAATGAACCAGAAAGTGTGCCTTCATCGTGACTAGGCTTCGCCACTATCGGAGGACCAAGAGTTCAGATTAATTTTCACGCGGTTCCGCCCCCGCCTTGGATAGCGACGCCAACAAGGGCCTGGGAAAAGTCGAATGGTCTCGGCGTTATCTGACTTCATGTGTATATGTATGTACATACAAAGTATTACCGGAGTGATTAGATCGGAAGCCTTTACCAAACGCAAAAAAAACATTATATACATAAATAGATTATGGTTTAACAACTGAAGCTGTAATTGGACTGAAAATGAAGCTGTGATCAATGCAATTTTAATATATTTTCATATATAACATATGTACTAAAATACAAACAATTGATGTGAGTAAATTACTTGGGGAATCCCCAAAAATGTAGAATCAGAATTCCTTACGTGAAATAAAAAATAGAAAATAGACCAAAAATTATATGTTAACTTATAAAATCGAAAAATAATTAACATTTAAGATTATCTTTTTTTAAATCAAAAGACTGTGTAATTAAAAATGCAATGTTTAATGTTCTCTTAGACAACAAACTCTTAAGTTTATAAGGCGCAACCAGAGATTAGAGAAGAATTGAGCGAACCGTTTGGAAGCTGTTCTATAACAGGTTAAACTAGAACTCTCTGAACAATTTAATATTCAAACAAACAATATGCGGGCTCATTAGTCATTACTGAACTTTGTCTCTATTACATATAAAAACCGAATTGTCAGTGGTGCATACAATTATTCAGAGCAAATCGATCTTTCCATTGATGATTTTTAACAACTTCCGTTCAGTTCAAAACAAAGTGGTTGAACGAACTCCAAGATAACTTTATCGGAATAATTGTTTAGGTTTTTGTGTTTCCATGGGCATACAATTTTGTGTCGATCTCCATAAACATCCTGAATATATATCTTTATAATCAGCCTGTCTTAAATCCAATATTCGCTGAATAAGCATGACAAGGGAAATTGATAAGAACTCTTAACTGCCTGGTAATCATGATTAGCAACGAACTCAATTTAGGTGCATTCTTTGGAGGAAGATAAGCTAACAAGAGATTTTCCAATTGTTGTTCAAATTATATACATATACTTATCTTTTCGATAAATTGGACAATTGTAATGGGCGCTATTTACACAATTACATTAATATAAGATAAGATTTTTGTTCAAACAGCAATCGTTTAAATCGGTTTAAATTTTATAAGACATTTGTTGGAGATCATTTTAATCTTTCTATTAAAATTAAATTGATGTTTTAAATTCTTATTCGATTAAGATTTATTTATATTTTCTATATACCACAATATTATTTACAGCAATCTAGTTAATATAATATCCTAATGTAGGTTACATATAGTTAGCCCTTAAGTGAATTTGTATACATTTGAAACATTTGGTATACAATTTTGGCGACAATTGACCGACTAAGCATGATCTTTCAACAAAAAGACCACCCATCACCGTGACTGGGCGTGCAACTCCAATCAGTTCGATCCGTAATCGGCTCTTTGGATTTGCCTACTTGGGAACAGTCCGCCACACAACGTAGATTACCAACGTAGATTCTCTTACGCCCCGCTCTCTCTTACGGATGCCAGCTGGGGGTGGACTCCAGATTAAGAGCCCACACAGCGGGAGATAACGAATCGCTTTCATTATTTATAGTACTGCTCAGTAGTGAATCGCTCGTCGAACGCTGCACAATGCTGGGTGTTGCTGGTCTGCTCCTCCTGGTGGCGTTCGCCACACTTCTTGTGTGGGATTACTTCTGGCGGAAGCGGCGCAACGATATGCTGCACTATATGCCGGGTCCGCGGCCACTTCCCCTTCTGGGAAACGTCCTTATGTACCGCGGTCTGAATGCCGAACGTAAGTTCTCCTTTCATTTCGTGAAATCATGCCTTTATTATGTTAAATAGGAAAATAATAAAATAATTGTAGAATACCCACTCATTACTATTATAATTTCATTCCACAAAAAAGCATAACATATTCAAATATGATGGTTTAAAAAACGGTTTCTTTATCTGAGCACTCAACAATATCAGACCCTGTTGCATAGTGTAATCTCCCCTCATATATCTGTAGAAATCATGGACTTTGTGACGAAGAATCAGCGCAAATACGGTCGCCTCTACAGGGTGTGGGTTATCCACCAGCTGGCCGTGTTCTCCACGGATCCCCGGGACATTGAGTTTGTGCTGAGCAGCCAACAGCATATCACCAAGAACAATCTGTACAAGCTGCTCCACGGATGGCTGGGCGAGGGATTGCTGATGAGCACGGGCAGGAAGTGGCACGGTCGGCGGAAGATCATCACGCCCACGTTTCACTTTAAGATCCTAGAGCAGTTCGTTGAGATCTTTGACCAGCAGAGTGCCGTGATGGTGGAGCAACTTCAATCGAGGGCCGACGGCAAGACGCCCATTAACATCTTTCCAGTGGTGTGTTTAACTGCCCTGGACATTATTGCAGGTGAGACATGGTACATATATTAAATTGAAAAGTTCTGAAATCAGTTACCTAAACACAAATTTTGACTTCTCCTACTATCTTTCCTTTAAGAAACTGCCATGGGCACCAAGATCAATGCCCAGATGAATCCTGATCTGCCCTACGTAAAGGCTGTCAATGAGTGAGTGTGCTCCTGGTGCAAACCCCTTTCTATCTGACGATTCCTTCATTGTGACAGCGTCACCAACATCATGATCACTCGTTTCATCCACGCCTGGCAGCGGGTAGACTGGATTTTCCGGCTGACCAAGCCAACGGAGGCTAAGCGGCAGGATGCAGCCATCAAGGTCATGCACGACTTCACCGAGAACATCATCCGCGAGCGGCGTCGCACGCTGGTTAATAATTCCCAGGATAAGGCGCCAGAGGAGCAGGTAGATGATCTGGGCCAGAAGCGCCGCATGGCTCTGCTGGATGTGTTGTTGCAGTCCACCATCGACGGGGCTCCGCTGAGCGATGAGGACATCCGCGAGGAGGTGGACACCTTTATGTTCGAGGGCCATGACACGACCACGTCGGCCATTTCCTTCTGTTTGTACGAGATCTCTAGGCATCCGGAGGTGCAGCAGCGCCTGGTGCAGGAGATCCGCGAGGTTCTCGGAGAGGACCGTAAGAGGCCAGTTACCCTGCGCGATCTGGGTGAGCTGAAGTTCATGGAGAATGTGATCAAGGAGTCGTTGCGTTTGCATCCGCCAGTGCCCATGATCGGCCGCTGGTTCGCCGAGGATGTGGAAATACGTAGGTGGTGCGATTGAGATCCTAGTCCTCTATCTAATCAGACTCCTCTTCTACTTTCAGGTGGCAAGCGCATTCCAGCCGGCACTAACTTCACCCTGGGCATTTATGTTCTCCTCCGTGATCCGGAGTACTTCGAGTCCCCCGATGAGTTCCGACCGGAGAGATTCGACGCGGATGTTCCGCAGACTCATCCCTATGCCTACATCCCCTTTTCTGCTGGGCCAAGGAACTGTATTGGTCAAAAGTTCGCCATGCTGGAGATGAAGAGCACCATCAGCAAGCTGCTCCGGCACTTCGAGCTGTTGCCCTTGGGTCCTGATCCCCGGCACTCGATGAACATCGTCCTGCGCTCAGTCAACGGAGTCCATTTGGGCTTGAAACCTCGCTCAGCTTGACGAGATTTCTCCTTCCCGTCAGTCCTAGCAGCTGTGTTTGTTTAGATTAAAATTGTATATATGATTAATATTCATATGCCTTGGCTTTTGGATAATTGAATTGGTAGTATGTTTACTTTATCTTAATACAACAATACCGTCCTTATCACTGCATGTAAGTTCTGTGTTGATTGATTGATTTTCCACCAGCTGTGTTGAACGAAATCAGCTGGCTAGTCGGATTCTCCGTCTCGCTTGGCTAGGCGCTCCATCCCCCCGTTTCACTCTGGCCAGAGGCGCACTATTCGAATCGGTTCGCTTATATAAACTTGGGCGAAAAGCTATAAACGCCAAGTGCTTGGTGTATAAATAGGTAATCCATTTGCGGTGCTTCAGATAAGATTGCCAGCTGCTCGAGAGTCCAAACCACTCAACACCGAGTTGCAGGGGGCACAACATGCTGGTGGCTCTGCTGGTGACCCTCCTGTTGGCTCGCCTGGTGGCCTGGTTGCTCCGATTGGTGTTGAAGGAGCTGCGACATCCCCTGCGTGGCGTGGTGCCCAGTGTTTCGAGGGTTCCTCTAGTGGGATCCGCCTGGCAGATGCGAAGTTTTCAGCCAGACAGTGAGTTAAGGTCCAAATGCTTAAGGTTTCCTCATTCCCCTTCATATCTTATAGATCTCCACGAGAAATTCGCCGAGTATGTCCAGCGTTTTGGTCGCAGCTTCATGGGCTCTGTCTTGGGCCACGTGATTGTGATTACTGCGGAGCCGCGACACGTAGATGCACTGCTGCACAGCCAGCAGCAGCTGAGAAAGGGCACCATGTATTTCGCCCTACGTGGTTGGCTGGGCAACGGACTTCTCCTAAGTCGCGGAGAGGAGTGGCACACGATGCGGAAGATCATCACGCCCACGTTTCACTTCAGCATCCTGGAGCAGTTTGTCGAGGTCTTTGACAGGCAGAGCAGCAGGTTGGTGATGCGATTGGAACCCCTATCGGTTGGCGAGCAGACCTTGAACATCTATCCCTACGTGTGTTTGGCTGCTCTAGACATCATCACCGAAACGGCCATGGGGGTTAGTGTGGACGCCCAAGGAGACGAGGAGTCCGAGGTGGTGCACGCTGTAAAAGAGTAGGTGGAAGTGCAGTTCTTAATACTTTTTTAGCTGTCATACTAACGCCTTAAATTCTGCAATAGTCTGACGAATATCCTGGCCACCAGGTTCATGAGACCGCATCTCCTCATTCCCCAGATCTTCCGGTTGTGCTGGTCCAGTGGTTTTAAGAAGCAACAAGCAGGTGTCCACTGCCTTCATCAGTTCACCGATGGAATCATAGAGCAGCGCCGTCTCCTGCTGGCCAGGGAGGCACCCCAGAGTCGGCCGGAGAAGCGTCACGCTCTGCTGGACACTCTCCTGCGAGCCACTTTGGATGGACAACCGCTGACCGACAAACAAATCCGCGATGAGGTAAACACCTTCATCTTTGAGGGTCACGATACCACGACTTCGGCAGTGTCCTTCTGTCTATATTTGCTCTCCCGCCATGAGGCAGTGCAACAACGGCTGTTTGAGGAACTGAAGAAGCACTTCGGCCGTGATTTGGACAGGGGCGTGGTCTACGCAGATTTTGCAGCGCTGCCTTATCTGAACTGCGTGGTGAAGGAGTCGCTGCGTTTGTATCCGCCGATCCCGGCAGTGGCTCGCTGTCTGGAAAAGGATTTGGCCATAGGTGAGAGGAAGTCGGTTTATAATCCACACGATACATACTCTCCAATTCCCGCCAGATGGTGGCCGCATTCCAGTGGGAACGAACGTAGTCGTACTTCTCTGGCAGCTACTCCGGGATGAAACACTCTTTGCCGATCCCCTTCTTTTCCAGCCGGACAGGCATCTGGGAGAAGAGGCCTCTAGACTGGGACCCTACAGCTACATACCCTTCTCCGCTGGGCCGAGAAACTGCATTGGCCAAAAGTTCGCCTTGTTGGAGATGAAAACCATGGTGACCAAATTGATTAGGCACTACCAGCTTCTCCCAATGGGAGCGGACGTGGAGCCCTCGATCAAAATTGTGCTGCGATCGAGAAGCGGGGTTAATTTGGGACTACGACGTCGGTTGTATTAATATCTTGTGATTTTAGAATAAACATAAAATTATTAGGATCAGGTCAGCTGGCGCCATGGGGGTTTGAATTTGGTTGAGTTATCGATAACAGAAAGCCACAATCAGCTGGTGGAGTGATGGCCAGCTTTAAATTATACCCCGCCAAAACAGAATCGATTTTATGGCTGACATAATTTTGGTTTAAATTTCTATACATATTGAGGCTTTTTATGAGGAATAACATAAAATATAAACACGGGTATATTTTACAGCTAAGGTGTTTCAAAAAGTGTGCATGTATGTATTATGTAGCGAAACGAAACCTGCTAATACAATTTAAGGCTCTGCTGATAAAGCATACAAAATAGATGCAGCTGATAGCAAGTGAGAGTGTGGAATAAACCCAAATAATGTAATTAAGCTAAGCAAGTGAATAACAAGAGATTACATATGTGCCTGCGTCACAATCGGCACGAATATATAGCTTATAACAACAATAAATGAACATCTGACATTTTTAGCTGTTTTGCGATTGGCAATCGATAAATGTCGCCTCGTATCGATACGCGCAACTGTTGAATTATAAAAAAAACGTTTGTTTTCTCAGCTTTTCACAGTTTTCCTTGAGCTTCCCCTGGGAAATGTGTCTTCTACGTTTTCTGGCTCAAGCCCGCGGCGCCTTGGGACGGGTAAGTACCCCATAGGAGTGTCTTGACTGGGGAAATCCAAGCACTAATAGGGTTTCCCATTTTCTGCAGCATCTGGCGGAAGCGTCACCTGCTGTTTGGGCAGCTGCTTCCGTCGATCCCGGAAGGAAACTGCATCTAGTGATTGGGAACGAATCTTGCGACCTGGATTCCGCCGTGTCAGCCCTAACTTTGGCCTTTGTCTACGCCCAGCGCCACCGGGAGCACGACTATGTGCCTATTCTAAACATTCCTCGCCGGGATTACCCTCTGAAAACAGAGGTGGGCTACTTGTTTGGCAAGTGTGGCATTGCCGAGCCCGTACTGCTCTTCCGTGATGATATCCCCAGGGAAGTGGCCCAGAATGTGAACGTTATCCTCGTGGATCACCATGTCAGTCCGCTTGCACCAAATGTGACGGAGATTTTGGATCACAGGCCCTTAGAGGACAGTAGTGCATCCTTTAAGAAGCTGCCACCGGGTTGTGAGCTGGACATCGACGCCACAGTGGGTTCCTGTGCCACTCTTGTGGCCGAGCGTTATCTGGCCGAGGAAGAACCTCGATCCGCGGGCGTGGCCAAGCTTCTGCACGCCACTATCGTGCTGGACACTATCAACTTTGCCCCGGCGGCTAAGCGTTTTGGGCCAAAAGATTTGGCCATGGTGGAGCAGCTGGAAAGGGAGTTGAACAGTCAAAAGGATCAAAGAACCAGCAATTTCGATGAGCTAGTGGCTGCAAGGGCCGACATTAGTAAACTTACCCTCACCGAAGTGCTGCGCAAGGACATGAAGATCCTGCAAACCGATCGCCAGGTCGTGCCTCTGGCTGGAATGCCTATCCTGGTCAGGGATTTCGTGGAAAAGAGCGGCGCCGAAAAAGCTGTACGCGAGTTTGGCGTAGAGAGTAATCTACTGGTTATTCTGGGCATGTATGTCTCACCCGCCGACGGCCAAGTGCAGCGGGACCTGGCCTTGATCTCCCTTTCCGGCCAGAGCCAATTCGTGGAGCGCGTACGGCTCGCACTAGTTGAATCCAACGATCCTAAGCTGGAGCTGCGACCGCATGAGGTGGACACCCGCTTTATGGGTGGGTGCTTTCTGCGTCAACACAATGTCCAGGCCACCAGAAAGCACATCCTTCCCATCGTAAAGCAAGCGCTACTCGAATGGGAGGCGGAACATGACTGCGATTGCGAAGAGGTATACTTCTTCAAGGAGAAACCCCAGCTGGGACTCTCTTAAGGCGGAACGAACGAGCAGCTTAGACAAGACTTAGCTAGAATTTTAGTGAAACCCTTATGTTACCAACGTTATGCTTACACCAAAAAGGAGCAGAAAATTATCATTTAAGATATTGTCAAACTACTTGAAAACTGTGCGGCAGTTTATAGTTTCAAATGTCCCTTAAAGAACCAAAAGAAATATTGAAGCAATCAGTATTCCGATTACAATTTACTTTGCCACCTTGGTAACAAAAAGGTGCTATTACTTTGCAGTGTAAGTAGATCCAAGGGAGTTTTCCACACATTAAGTTTCCTAGTTGTTTATGTCGCTTAAGCGAATATGTACAGGGCATACATGGGTAAAAGAATGTTGATAAATAAAAAAAAAAACCTATAACTGCGGCTCGGCTTCCTCGGCACCTCCCTCTTCGCCCATCTCGTCATCGGCGCACTCGAGCGTCATATCCTCCAGCATCTCCTCCAACGTGATCTGGGGCACATCTCCGCCAGTGGCCTCCGCCTCGATCGGTATCGTCTTGTTGGTGTCCCGATAGATGTTGACCTGTCCGCGGATATCCTCGTTCTCCTCGAGATCGTCGAGGAACTCGTGGTAGTCGTACTTGCTGCGTTCATCGGTGGCCTCCGCCGCCAGATGCTTGATCTTCCACACGCGCTGGCTGAGTCTGGTCTGGCGATCGTAGTGCTTGCGCACCAGGATCACATCTGGAATGAGTTCTGGCGATAGTTTGTCGAACTCCTGATCGTTGATGTTGGCCTCGCCGGTGTTGTAGCCCATCACAGAGTCGCCCACCTTGAGAAGGTGACCCAAGTGGGAGCGTGTGTGAATGGGGTTATCGTTGATGCCCAGTTCCGAGGCTCGCACCACCCAAATGTCGCAGAGGGCGTGCTTGAAGGAGACCTGTCCCTGACCAGGATAGGTTTTGCGATCCTTTTCCATGATAACATCAATGTCCATGACGACATACTCAACTAGCTGCTTGGGATTGCAGATGGCCTCGAAGGGAGCTCTGAAAAAGACGGATCAATTAGCTTACTCAAAGAGTCTAAGGAGGAGAGAATTCCCACCTGAAGTACACCTGCGAGGTGAGTTCGGCGATCTGTGCCGTCAGGGGATCAATCAAGTGAATGCTGCTGGACACCCGGTTGACCAAGACCAATGGCGAGAGATTACCCAGCTGGTGGCGCAGCTTCTTGGACAGGCAAACGGCACTGTCCTTCGACACCGGTGCTATCTCTACCGACCAGTTGTACTTATAGTTGTAGTTGTTGCTGTGGATATCGTGCGAAATGAGACGTTTCGAGGTGGTCACCTTGCCGGGCACCATGGTCAGCAGAAAGTCGACCATGCGCCGGGCATGGTTATCGCTGGCGTAGAAGAAATCCAGACCGCCGTGCTCGGGCTTTATGCCCAGCGTGTTCTCGTGGGCTTTGTGCTTGAGGATCAGCTGCTCCAGGTAGTAGAAGGTCTTCTTGTTGTCCGCCCTCTGGCGCACTTGCACCAGGCAGCGCCAGAAGTCCTTGGCCTCTGTGCGGTGGCAATCGTTGCACATCTGATTCTGCACTGTGAACTCAACCACGAAGACCTGCTGCAGGACCGTTCCGCCGGTGATCTCGCCGTGCACGGTCAGCTTCACCTTGATACGTTTGGAGTGCTGCTCCGTCCAGATAAAGCCAGCATCGACCAGCTTCACGTCCTTCAAGCCCTTCAGCTTCTTGAGGCAGATGGCCAGGAGTTCGCGGGACTCCAGGGAGGCCTGAATCCACTCGTTTGGCGGCTGCAGATAGCGCTCGCAATTGCGGCAGAAGTGGAGCACCGCCTGCTTGGGGATGTTCTCCGTGATGTCGACATGGTTGCGCAGACAGGTGACGCACATGTTGGCCGGATTCGGCTGGATGGCTACACCGCACTCGCAGCACAGGACTACCGCGTTCGAAGCGGCGCCCTTGCCATCCCCGGCGCCCAGCGGGCTAACGCCAGCATATTCGTGATCCATTAGACCTCCTAAAATCTCTACAGGTTGGCTATTTCACAATGGCGTTGTTACTTCTGAAATTCCAATGTACTTATAATTTGTAAACACGTGCGTGTAAAAGTATATCGATTGTCAATCACTAGAGCTGGCCGGAGAAAGTAATCGGTAAAAGCCAGTTAAGTCTAGCTGTAACTAGCGAAAGGCTATAAATTATTGTGTATAGGTGATGGTGATTCATAACATATGTAACCTTAAATTATAAAAAGATAACAGAATTGCTGTAAAAACTCTTAAAACTTTAAAAAAACAAGGTCAAAAACGACGACAAATTCGAATTTTTGTGGCCACAGCTAATCGATTGGTGCCCGTATCATCGATATACCCGCCGCTGTCTCATCACTGACAGAACAGCTGAGGAAACTTGGTTGGTGAACCGGAAATTTTCACGGATTTCGAAGGGAGTTGATTTGCCGCCATGCAGAAGAAGCCCATCAACGCCAACTCGCTGCTGGACAAGCTGCACCGCGGCGCCGTCTACGCCTGCATCGGGGTCACCCTCTACGGGACCTACATCCTGGGGATGCGCTACTACCACTACTACACGGTCATCCGGCCGGAGAAGCAGCAGGCGGAGCTGAAGCTCTTAGACGAGGGGGCCCACGACAAGGCCAAGGAGCTCAAGTACTAGGACCCGCCTTCCTCCGCCCCTTTAATTGTTAAATGTCTGTTAAGCGCAATAAATTTTAAGGAAATGTAAGCATTTTCAGCTGAAAAGGCCAACGCCTGTTGTTGTTGTGTAACCACGGACAGCTGGCCAAAGTGGATGGCAATCCGGAGCCCCGGCGGGACTTCGAGATTCAAGATCTGACCCTGGACAGACCCAACAATGCGCCATTAGCCTGCCAATAATCGTCTGGAGCCGTAAATCAAACCGGTCACAATGGGAAATCAATCAATTCCGCAGACTAGAATTAGCCAAGAATTATAATTTAGCTGGCAATCAAAAATGTTGTCATCCCCGGATCGTGACCAGATCGCAGAGCCCCCGATGGCTTCCGCTTGCCCAACGCGTCTCGCATTCGCGTGCATTCACCCCCGATGCGCAGGGCATTAATATTAAATGAAATGATACCAAACAATCGCGGGGAGGAGAAGACAATGGCGGTGCCACCCACTTTTGGCTGGAGATGACGAGACGTCGTCGATTGGGAAAACGAAAATGGAAACGAAAATGCGCTTTTCCATGCTTCATTCAACAATGTTGCCTCCGGCGTTGCTTCATTCATGACTTGGGAACTCGGAGCAGCACAAACTGCGATTGCGATTGCAATTGCCACTGCGGTCAAGGTCGTCCTTCATTGTGTTGCGGCGGTACGGTACTGGGTACTGGGTACTGGGTAGTGGTTACCCAGCCCCGGCAGACGGAAATGATCGGAGGAAGGAGTCGTCTCTACGGCTGAATATCCAGTAATCTAAGACTGGGAAAGTTTAGAGCAGTACTGAGACTGGATCATCGCCATCTCTTAAATTATTAAAGAAAAAATAAGTGATATTTAAGTTTTAATTAGTTCTGAGAATTATATATGCAAAAGTTATTATAAAAGACATTCAGCTTGTACTAATGCAATGTTACTTTCCAAAAAAACATAAAGAAAATAGCTTTTGATTACTTTATATCACTTAAATTAAGAGTATGATTAATTTGTAAAACACCAAAATTAGAAATAAATTTGGTATATGTACATATGTATTTATGTTAACCAGAGCATTGTAATGTGTTGTGTTTAATAACTTCAAACTTCTAAGAACGCTAAATTCCTATTAGCAACGTGTGTCTTTAAAAAAATGTTGTTAAACATACGATTTTTGAATACCTGTTTGCTTCAAATATGTAAGATACCCACTGAAACCGTAGTTCTTCGAATAAACCTTGCTTGCAATCACAACAATTAATGACTTTATTGACCAGGGCAGCAACCTTTGGCCCAATATACCCCTTCACCTAGAGGAACTCGCTAAAGTCGTGCACTTTGGATATTCTTTCGATAAGAGTTTGCATTGGAAATGATCTGGCAGAGATCTCAGCTGGCTGGCAGCTTAATTACAAATGCCAAAATGCTGCCAAACGTGCAATTGTTCATAATTTGTATATAATGCTGGCACATGCATGCGCAATTCCCACGGGACTTGTGGCATTTTATTATTTGGCCCAGCTTCTGAACGAACTTAGGTAATGCTCCCCTTTTGGGCCCTGTAAACCATCCGATTAGCCAGTGAAAGTGTTATACGATACACGACAGGGGCACTTGGTGATTGTGGAACTCATTTTAGAGTCTCATGTTGCATGTGGAGCGCATTGCCGCCTCATTGTTGATTGCCCAATAAGCCTGGGATCTTAGAATTTGGTCTGCGATTGCAATTATAACCGATATCGTTAGTTTCCACGCCCACTCCACTCCGCCGGATGAGCGGATGGATGACCTTTTGGCTCTCGCAGCATAAACAATATTCGATTTCAAGTCCTCAACCCGTCATGCATTCAATTCAGCTGCAACAATCGCTGCTGCTGCTGCTGCTGTTGTCAGTTTGCATAATTGCAACTGTAGCAGCAACAAGCCAAGCCGGGTGACTATAAAAGCGGCGGGCAACTGGCAGCCGTCAACAAACCTCGCCTGGCGCCCAACCCATCAAGACCACCAGCAATCCAGCAATCCAGCTATCCAGCAATCCAGCTATCCAGCAACCTCTGCAGCAGCAACATGAAGTTCTTGGTAAGCAGCAGCAGCACAAAGGATTAACTGCGCTTGTGAAAAACGTTCAGTGAAGGACTTTAATTTTTTTTTAAGTGACAGTTTTTTTTAACAACAAGTTTAAGTTAAAGTTGCAGAAATATTTATAATATCTCACTGCGTGTTTTATAACAGTTGTAAATCGTTTAATCCACGTTTATGTTGTTATAACATAAAAATGTGATTTTTTTTATTATTTATTCGAGTAATTGTGGCAGAAATATTGTTAGTATCCCGCTACATTTTCTAAACATTTTCATATCGATTACTTTATGTAACTCAAAATATGTCCTTATTTTCTTGTTACAAGTGCTATTTTAAAAATTTTTAACCCAGCCTTAAACTTAAATGTGAAGTTTGTATATTCTTTTACAATACATATATATTTTTTTAAATATCTAAAGGTGTAGTTATGGAAATATAAAAAAGAATTTATTGACGTGCTCTTATAAATAAAAACCGAAATTTTATAGTTAGTTATTTAAAAGAAGTTAAATCAATTGACATCGATATAATATAAAAATTGTAGTATAGCCAAGGATACTTTCTACAAGAAAGATTTTAACATGTAGATATTTTAAGTATCGAAATCAAAACCTGAATCTCCTTTTTTTTCCTTGTGCAGTGTGTTTTCTTAATCCTGGCCGTTTGTTTGGTGGGCACCTGGGCAGCCGTTTCGGAGCCCGCTCCTGAAGCCCTGGAGCCAGAGCCATCCGCCGTGGACGAGAAGAAGACGGAGAAGCGAGGCATCTACGGATTCGCCCACGGATACGGTGGCTACGGTGGCTACGGGGGATACGGTGGCTACGGACATGGACATGGCCACTACGGCGGCTACGGACTGGGCAGTCCCTACTACGGCGGCTACGGATACGTTCACTCGGCGCCCTACTACGGCGGACACCACGGCTACTATCCGTACCACCACGGGCACTACGGCTTCTACTAGGAGCCCCACCTGTCCATGATCATAATGCATTCTGTTTTTTTTCTCGATCGCTTCATGCTCATCACTGCACTATCATACATTTATATATATTTGTTTTCGTGAATCATTTTCCACAAAATAAATGTTTTGCAAATAGCTTTACGAATGTCTTTCAATTTTAAAGTTACAAAAGCCATGGAATATCACAAAATATAAATATCATATACAATTTAGTACAACACTAAATTGATACTTTTTTTTTTTAATGTATTAGCCTATTATAAGAAAATATAAATAAATGTGTGTGTTTTTATCGATTGAGCATTAATTAAAATAGAAAAACTGTCCAATAATATAAATCTGTTTTTTGTTTTTATGTAATATAATCCTATGAAAAGGGTGTTTGGCTTTTTTATGGTGATCTAACCGATAATATTCTGAAAAGAACGTTGTTTTTATTGCAACTGTTTGAAATTGATTCTAACACTTAGAATTATTAGAATTTATTAAAAAGTAGACAACATTTCTTTTGGCATAAAGAGGCTCGCTCTTTGAAATAAGCTCAAAGATGCATTTCTATGAATATTCAAAAAGAATATTTAAAAAACCTTGTTACAATTGTGACTGTTATACAATAGTCACTGTGCTATTTTGGGGAAAGTGTGATCACTAGCCGGCAATTGAGATCCAAAGTTAATGGTGTCGCTGCCGAAATAACTGTTCATTGATTAACGCTTAAAACTTTCCTATAAATATGCTTAAACGCGATCTACAGCGAATAACGCTAGAGTTGTCCGATCTGAAGGACTACGAGGTTGCCCGGGCGAAGAACAAATACAAGGCAGGACCACGCCCGAGGTTGTCCCAGGATGCCCTAGCCGGAGATGACGCCTCCACGTCGGGAACAACAGCCAGTTGCAGTTCCAATACGGGCACAACAACGGAATCCGCAACGGAAACTGCATCGGGATCGGGATCTGGTTCTGGTTCAGCTTCGGGATCGGGATCCGCCTCGTACATTACGGGACTGGGATTGGGCTACCGATCGGAGACACCCTCCACTGCGTCGTACACCGACACCACCTCGACGACCCCGACTCCGGCCACCCAGGAGGAGATCCTGAGACCCTCGTCCGCCGTTACGGCCACCACCACCACGGGCACCACCACTTCCGGATCAACGGATGACGTGAGCGTGGCTGCAGTAGTGGATGATACGGACACCATTGACGAAATCAGCGACGACAACTGGGTGGATCTGAACGCGGACACCAATGACACAACCGACACCATTGATGCCCACGTGGAGGAGGAGGAGGAGGAGGATGGGGCCAGGGGGGGCAGCTAGGAAGAACGCAAAGCAGCTGCAAGTGAAGTCCCCCATTTCACATAATTCATTCATTTATCATCGCTTTTTGTGTACGTAACATATCATTTGCACGTGGATTTTTATTTTCTCTGCTGCTATGCATATGCAAATGTGGAGCTATTTAATGTTTGCCTAAGTGAAACTGAAATATTAAAGGGATACTGGACTTTTTCCTTCACAAATATATGAATTATCAAAAATATATTGTAGATAATGGTATAAGCAAATATTGCAACATTTTTGAAAAGATTATGTAGTATTATATTATTTCACTCTTTTTTACCACCTTGTTTTTCAATCCAAGTTCTTTTTCAGCAGTAAAAACAGATTACATCCACAACAAAATGGGGCAACGAGTATCTACAAAACTTTCTGTTTTGAAGCAGAACTTTTAATTGCTGCATTTTGCCCTTTTAATTAGCAGAAAATACGTTTGGATTACGGCGGGCAGCTTTACCTGGATGAAAATGAAGTCATTAATTGGGTATTAGGCTACCTAGCAAGGAGCTTAAAAGCCGGCGGGTCAACTCATCGATCGTCGATTCAACAAGTGGCTTATGACCACCGGCAACAGGTATTTGTACGTATGTATGTGTGTAGTGGATGAGGATGTTCAGCTGTAAGGACGAATTGCAAAACACAGGTTATGCTGCTTGCCACGTGACTGGAGGCCCCAAAAAACGGAGGATGGGGTGGCCTCCACTGGGGAAAGCTCCTCGAAAAGCTGCAAAGCTCACAGGCATCGGCGCTGCATTTCAAAATCGCCAGAAGCAAAGCTCCGTGGGCCAGAGTGTTTTGAGCCCGGCACTCAGGCGGCAGGCTGGCCTGAGTTCAATCCCGTCCGGCTCGGCAGTCCGTCATTCCGGCAGTCTGACAGTCTGGCAATCCGGAGAACGACTAACTGGACAGCGGATGGCCGGCCATTCCCTAATCACGGGTCGCTGGAGTCCACGGCCAAGCGATTGCCAATTAAATACGCGACAAAGTTCGATTTTCGACCGCTGCGGTTACTGTCCCCTGTGGTATAAGTGCCCCCATCCGTATCTGTGTCCGTGTCCGTGCCCATGTCCGTATCCGTGTCCGTGTCCGTGTCCGTATAGGTGTCCCAGTCCGTAGTGGCGTCCGTGACCGAGGGATCGACCGTTTGCAGCACGTGCCACGTGCCGACTCTTTCGAAAGTGCAAGGGTAAGTGGCCAAGTGCACAGTGGTGGTAAGTATCTTAAGTGAATCTGAACCAAATTAATAACCCTTATGCCTTTACATATGAATTTAAGCATCAGAATCTGGAAAAAAAATAATACAATGTTATGAAAATGCTTGTTAAGAAAGAGTTTTCCAAAAGTTGATCCCTAGGGATCCCCAAATTCCGTTTTAGGGCTCTTAAAATGATATATTCACCAAGAGCCCTAAAAAATTGACCCCTTCAACAAGTAATTTAGCTAAGTATTCTAAGGATAGGTTGGTTTGGTTCAAAATCCTCTAAATACATTAGCATTATTATGCAACTATGTGTACGACTGAGTTTAACCTCTAGCCTTTGTTGCCTTTTTTTTTGGGAATAGTAGTTTATAAGCTTTGTATATTTGGAAACACACGAGGCATACACAGTTCCCCCGGCAAATGGCATGGTTCATTTTTGAACCCAGGGGATACTCCTAAAATGTATTCATTTCGGTTACACTTTCTCCATAATCCCCGTAAAAAGGACCGCCTTTGTCGGCACTGCATATGCATAACACATTGTGACCGAGAACGTGAGAAAGTGACGCCGGAGAGGCAAGCTCAGGTGCATCGATATAACCACCTGTCACACACACATTCGCGGCACGTGCAGCGCATCAAGGTGGGCAGAAGGGGGTGGAGTGAAAGTGGGAAATGGAAGCCGGGAAGGAAGTGAAAGTGAAAGCGAAAGTACAGTGACAACAGGCAGGAAGATGGCTCACGAAAGTTTCTCGGATGCTGTGCGCCACTTGTGGCAACGGGACACTTTCAATGTCCTTTGATTGCTCCTGATATATAAAACATATGTATATATTTACTAAAGTGTAGTACAGTCCCGCATACCTGGATTCCCATTTCCACACCGGTGTTTTTAGTGTAAACTCTGCTGTTTTCGCTCGACAGCGCATGTCTTTCATTAGTCCGTGCATAATTAGGGAAAACTTACACGGGAATGCCACAGCTGCGGTCGCGTTATTAGCACTTGAAGGATATATATATTGAGTCTCGGGGTCAAACCCATCAGCCTTACTAATTATTTTGACTTTTATCGAACATGTTTGGCACAATTGAAAAATTTAATTTATTTCTTTAGGTTCATCAGGCTGTAGAACAGGGTTTTTAAATATTGAAAAATAAAACAAATTAACGAACTGACTTTTTGCAGCTTTATTTCAGCTTAATTATTACTAGTTTCTTTAATTATATAGAAATAAAATAATTGTGTTACAGAAATGTTAGTATCCTTTTGTTATTTTCAAGTGTAATACAGTCTTGAGCAGACTGAAAATAAATAGTTTCCTTGCCCAAAGGCAAATACTTTAGTTTCTTTAGCCCTCACATTTCGGGTGGACTTAAAAAGCAGCTCTTAATTTTTCAGGTAACTTAATCACAATAGCTCCTAGCGAAATGGACACTGCTATCAAGTTGACCCCCCTGTAAACGGAGGTCCTTTTGGGCTCAGAGTGTTGTTTGCCAGTGTGTGCCTGTGCATATCTGATTGTTGCAACCAGGAGGTGATGTGGCAATCCAGAGGAGGAGGAGGGGCAGGCGAGGACCCACTCAACAGGTGGCTGTGAAGAGCATCCTGCCCCCAGGATCGACTTTCGTCCTGCCCCACGTTGCAATATTAATGCGGCCGAGCGCTTCGGACGAGTGCATGTTAAATAGCAGGCGGTGGCAGAGCAAACGACCCGCCTAGATACTATACTACTATATACATTTATATCCTGGGCTTTTGGGCCCCCTTTCGTCCTCTTTAGCCCACCTCCCCCCACCCTATTTCACACGGCCTTTGCTCTTGGCATTTGCCTTTTTAACCAGTTCTTATAGTTGGCTTTTGGGCTGCGGCAGGGAAAATGGCAATGCGGCATGTTTTGTGAAAAGTGGAAAAAAGTGAAATAACAAAATGGCCGTTGCAGACAATTTGCCGCTGATTGTCGAATGTCAATCTTGTTTTGTCAGCTAATTTGCATGCATATTCCCGAGCTGGCACATTATGCCATTGCCTTGCCCTCCTCACTTTCCCCACTTTCCCCGCTTTCCCTGGCAGTTCAATTTTCCGGCTTTTCGCCTGTTTGACGTTGACGTGCTGCAAAGATTCCAGCGTTTCCTTGGCCGTCAGCTGCAATTAAATCAATAGTTGGTACTAGGCCAGATAGGCAAAATGTACATGAAAATCACTTTGATTAAAGATATCTATAGTTAAGGGATGTAGAAAGCGTTCGGTTGCATTGCTCGAATCGATTGTAACTCTACTTTAATCTGATAAATTGAATCATTGAAATTAACTGTGTCATTTAACAATATTAAAAAGTCTAGAAACTTTTGTAATCTCAAACTGAAAATCTTTCCCAGGCAAGTATACGTAATATTTGTCATTATTGATCCCCAGGTAAATATGTAGAGTGGGATACTTAGTTAAGGGCACGTATTGCATTGCTCAAATCGATTGAGATAGAGAAACCTAACAAGTGGAACCTACTTTAATCTGATAAAATTAATAATTGAAATTAAATGTGTAATTTAACAATATTAAAAAGTCTAGATACTTTGGTAATCTTAAACTGAAACTCTTTCCCAGGCAAGAATACGTAATGATTGATCCCCAGGTAAATATGTAGAGTGAGATACTTAGTTAAGGGCACGTATGCCAGCGGAGTGTTGAGCGAGGATGACGCCAGTTGGGGATCGAGTTCCGTTTCGGATTGGAAGAGACGAGTGAATGCACCTATTAACGGACTATAAGCAAAAGGTGTTTGACACCGATAAGATGCGATCGCCATGGGATCATTGTCCACGGATCCGCCAATCAGAGGGATATATAACTAGTGGAATATTTGAGACATTCCCAGAGAGACAGAAAGAGCGATGAATTCGAACTGGGTATTTATTTGGCTACGGATCGGAGAGCTATTGACCGAGATTCGTGTAGGTTTTGAGGCTTATCGCCAAGCCGGATCGTTGTCTTGGGTACACAATAATAACAACAATAGCAACAGCAACAACAACAGTAGTCCGTATTTTAGGTCTCTCCGTGATTTGCCCGTAATCTCTAACGCCGCCAGCAATAAGAACAACAATATGTACGGCAAAGGAATCGTCTGGAAGTGGGTCCGTAGCTGAGTCTTGAGGCATAAAAATAGCGGGATGGGTTTATAAATAACCGGAACGAAACTATCTGCGATCCCAGGAGCGGACTTAAGGGAACCGACTTCGCAGCCCCTCCAGTTTGCTGGCCATGTGCTGCCAGATGCAGGCCGTCAGCGACCAGGAGGTCTCCTCCATCTGCGGCGGAGTAGGGACCCCGGCAAAGGACTCCCATCCGCCGGCCACGGAGGGTCCGAGGGCGATCTGGGACAGGGCATAGAGGCTGTGCACCAGGGACAAGGCCAGCACCGCCCTTTTCATCAGACCGCAAAAGGAGCGATGGCTGGGCGGCGGTGGCTCCTCGGGTGGTGGTGCTATAACCTCCGGAACGCCAACTGGATCGGTGGCAGTTCCCCTCTCCTCAAAAGTGGCTACGATTGGCGGCTCATCCGGACCAGTTCCGATTTCCACCAATCTTGGCAGGGTTACCAGATCATTTGATTGCGATGGCTTTTCATCATCAGATGGGCATGGACTTGCAAGATGAGGTGGGACTGCTACTATATTTATAGAAGGAGGAACATCATCTCCAGACTCTCGGGAACCTGGTTCCAGACTCTCGGCTGCCAAAGGAACCTCCAGACGTGGCTCATCCCCATCCATTGTCTGGATTGCGAGGCTCACGAGAAGCTTTCCACTGTGAACACAACGCTCCAGCTCAATGTCCTTGGCCTCCAGTAAATCGAAATAGAAACTCCAGGGCGGAGTCTCATCCTCCAGCATGGGCAGATCCAATGACAGCAGCCACTTGAAAAGCTGGGCAGGATTGCTCGGCACGCGAAAGTTGTAGTTCCATGGCTTCCCGAAAGTCTCTTCGCGCATGCCCAAAACGGACCTGCGCCAGTTGTACTGCTCATCCAGTTGAGATAGCTCCATGACTAGGAAATATATATCTGATGCAGACTGGAGGGGAGGAGAATATATAAGGCAGGATTTTTGATTGCAAAATAGTCAGAAAACGAACCAACAAGCACCGTCTGGTATGAAATATATCAAATTGACTAACTGATTGGGAAGTTTTTGAAGTCTGGCACCTGGGGCACCTGACCCAATCCCAATCCCAATCGATTGCAATTCCGGGGACCACATTTCGACCTGTTCCTGAGCGGGCGCCACTTCGCTCCTTGCAGCCAGTTGAGCCTCCAGTAGCGCTCTACTTCTCCTGCCCCGGACCCCACTATCTTATCAACTGGAAATGGGGCGTGGCATGGCCACCCTCGGACTCACTATGCGGAATTGATTCCCAGTCCCGGGTCCGTTCCTGTTATAGAGGGCGTTATCACTGGCCCGCCATAATCGGCTATCAATATTGTCCCATTACGCCAATCGAGTTGATGAGCAAGGGGCGAAAGGGGTTTTGGACGGGAAGGACGGGTAGTAATCAGGCGTATGTAGGATCACGGGTTGGCCAATTCATCTTGGGTGACCACCCAACCTGTGACCGATTGCCTCAGTCTAGTCTTGGGGTCTTGTGTATATTTTTAGCATTAAAAGTCACTATTTGCTCAGCAAATTATGCGATCAGTGCGAAGCGCGGTCAAGTCAGATTTCTAATGCTGATCAGTGGACACCACGGCGGGTGTGACTCTTCACGCACAGTGCTCCATAATCTAGGGAACACCGTGAGTAGGGGAAAGTTAAATACTCCGCTCCAGTAAATTTGTACAGGGTATTAGCAGTTCGCCGTAGGCTACAAATAGCTTGTCTTATCGCTGACCTTCATTTTTCACTACTTTCAAGTGAAGTTAAAGTGACAAGGCGAGTTCTTCACTCGTTTTATTGGTGCAAGTGCAATAAACTTCATGGGAACCATAGATTTCATTGTTTTGGACTGAGAAAAAAAGACATTTATGGCGAAAATAGTAATGATAGATTAGATAGATATTAAACCCCTTACCAGCATTTATTATAAACAAATTCAAGAGAGTAAAATGAGGTGTCTTCCACTGTGATTTGGGCTTCACCCACAAATACAATTTGAAATATACCCCAAGCATTAACTTAGTCGATTACTTGTGGACTCTTAAAAATACAAACAAATTCTATTCAGTAAAAAAAAAGATTTAAAATATGTAAAACTAGGCTAAACTATACTTTGAAAAAGCCTTTAAAGCTCAATAAATATTTTAAAATTATTAATTTATTTTTAAGTACTAATATGCTGTTTCATATAGAGTATCATAATGCATGGTCTATATAGTCTGTTGTATACAATTTGCTATGATTGTATTTTCATTTTATGACCGTTGTGATTTCGTTTTACGCACAGTTCAACTCGAGCAAATTTGTTAATTAATATTTAACACTAAGCCCAGAAAGGCGTAAGCGTTCGGGACCCCCTCCCCCCAGGTCCCCGCCCTCCCGCCGAAAACCCGTGTTATTTACCTTTGGACAACAATTGGAAACATGAACAAAAAATTATAAACTGATAAGGTTCCTATAATTCAAAGCGGATTGAGTTCGATCACTGGGTATTGTGGCGCTCTCCCCCCAAAGTTCTCCACACTGCATAGTGTAGTGGGCTCTCTCTTCCAGTGGGGCTGACCAGTGATAAGGAAAGAGAGAGCGGTCGAGAGACCCGGAGAAGAGAGGAGCGGAGAGCAGAGGAGAGTGCTTTTCGGTTTCAGTTCGGTGTTTGCTTTTCCTTTGCCGCCGCCGTTTCTTCTTCGTTCTGCTCGGCGTTCTGCTCTTACACAGTTCGCATTTAATTTTATTTGGTCGCCTGCTAACAGCGACATCGGTTCGACATCGTCTCCTCGCCAAGAAATAACAGCAGGCTCCCGGAATCGAGAAATGAATAAAAACGCCGAAACTGAAAGCCAATTTGTGATACGAGTGAACCGTTACCAACATTGAGTGTGACCAAATATCCAAAGACCGCCAGGACGAACATAGTGTGGCCAGTTGCCAAGGACCCTCTTTTTTTTTACCGCGCTTAATCGACTCTTGATCGACTTCATTCCGTTTTTATTGAACCCCCAACGCCTCGTTCGATTCATAATCTCTGCGATTGGACATTAGCAACTGTAACGCGAAGAACACAAAGTGTCAACAAAGTCGTAAAAAGATTTGCACACTCAGGCAATAAAGTAAATACAAAAAAGTACAGCAAAAGAGTGCAGGCAACGAATTAATTAACAAATAAGAGGCGCACAAAGCCCACAACACGAAAGGTAAGTCGGCTGGATCAGATAAGGCCCGCCTTAACTGTCGAATTACGTGCCGTAATGCTCCATGTCATAATCCCCATATCTGATCGGATCATCTCTGTGTTTTTGGACCTGCCCAAGGAGCGAAATGCAGTCGCCCTGGAAACGGAACCAAACAAAATCGGAGGAAACATCCAAATGTCGAGACTGCACTCTTCGTCGAGACTATTTTTAAACGGATTTGTTTCTTTATTTTCGGCTTTTTTTATATGCTGTGCCTGTAGACATAGAACGTGGGAGAGGAAAAAACCGAAAGTGCATTCGCTACCCATCCCCCCTTTTCGCCTTACAGGTGGCCATGATCGATATTGAAAGCTCCCGATATTGATATTGACTAAATCCGAAGGTTTGAGCTCATGTTGACAAGATCGTTGAGAAAGATTGATGGGGATCGGAGGGAAATGGGGATATTAAACAGAGGTTTATGTGTGATATGACATAAGAATGTGTAAATATGCAGGGGAGTTGCAGTGAGAAAAGGACGGGCTCCTCGTCTTGTTCAACTATTTCATTTATTAACTCATGTAGCTATTAAAACGTGGGAAATAATTAAAGATATAGATATACTACATAATCACTATAAGCTATCTGCAGAAATTAGTACATTACAAACCACAAAATGAAGAACACTAGGGACAGGAATTTGAGAAAATTCAATGAAAACAAGTCCTGGTCCCAATCAAAAGCCCTTTCTCTGTTCCCCCCGGACTTTCCATCCAATTTAATCTATACGCAGCCCGCGGAATCCGGTTAGTGGGTCAGCTCCCTGACCAGGTTCAACAGCCTGGCCAGGTGGATCTGATTGATGGGAGGTCGTGGGCCGGCGGGACTGGGATTCCGACTGGGAAGTGAACACAAAGTAAGTCCAAGGCCAAAGCAATTAAAAATCCGTGACCGCAAAAGCTGAAATTCATTTAGTGCCAAGCAAAGTGAATTAATTTCATAATAAACAAAGTGCGATTGACCGCTGGCCGGACAGTTTTCCAGCTGAGATGCAGTTTAAACCGGGCAAGGATAATCGAGACATTAATAAATCAGAAATCAGAAAGACAAAGGCCGGTGGGAAAACAATTGGGCCATCCCCATCATTAAAGGGCCAAGAACTGGAAATGGATGATAACGTTACGGGTGAATCACTCGCTTCGCTTGCATGTCGCATGCAAGTGTTCTCTATCACCTTTGGCACCGTTTCTTCTATTTGGCAAGTCGCATTTGTTTGTTTTGCTGCTGGTGGTTCAACGACACTTGCTAGCCACCAAAACGCAGCAATCTGAGCACCATCGAAAAAAAACAATAACAGAAACAACCCAAAACAGAGTCCCACACACGGAGAAAATATGATTACTAGGGTTAAATGGTTTTTATTTAAAATAATTTTAAATTATGAAAATTTCATAGTCAAGTTCTATTATTATATTATAATGCTTTAGAAATTAATTTTTAAAAGGCACGTTTCTTTTAAAGTATCTGAAAAATAACTAATCGATTGTAAGAAATTTGTAATTTTTAAATGTGATATGATTTTTGCTTGGGAAAGTACACAAATTGTTTTGCAGTGCACTCACGTAATCGGACTGTTCGTGTTGCTCCTGCTTTTTCGGTTGGTTTTGCTGCTGCTGATATTGCATTTTGCTTACTGCGCACATTTTGTCACATTTTGGGGCTATCACTCGGCTTCCACACTCGCCATGCAGATGGGTCAAGGGCAAAGGCGCCTCGCAGTGCCCTCCATCCGCCGACCGAGTGACTGAGTGCATCCAGTCCGACTGCTATCGCCTTCCGAGGAGGGGGCCGATGTCGTTGCCAGGCGAAAGTGCAAGATAAACAAGTGGAGGACTGGAGGGACTGGGGGTCACATACGGTGGAGTGGAGTGGAGCAGTTAATACCCGATTGCGATCCAGTTAGCGACCGGTTCGTAACTGATTTACAGGAGTTCAAAGGGGATAAATAACAGATAGGAAAATACATATTGCTTAAGCGGAAATATTTACTAGCAACATTTTCTTTCAATCTCCATTTAAATCCATTTAAAATTGTAGATTATAAAATACATAATAAAAGCCCAAATTGGAACATTAAAAGTACTCAGATTTGAACTAATCTTATGACCTTTGACATGACTTTCAAGCAATTTACCATCAATTAAAAATCAAACAGAAATAATAATTAATGAAAATTACGCTACCTCTAATTACCAATTAGTTTAATAGTTATGTATATACCATTAAAAAATTGCTATAAAAAACACAGATAATCATTTAAATAGAAAATATTAAGTATACGTCTTTGAGCGCTTAGCAAGATTTGATTCTAAGAACTATTGTTGTTTTAAACATTCGTGTCACTTTAAGCTGCTAAACAAGCATAAATCGCAGACAAATTACTTCTTTGTTGGACAAGATGAGTGGGCGGATTTTCGATAATACATATGTTCCGTGTGGACCGCACAATTTCCTTCAGTCAGTGCCGCCAACGCTGCGTATGCGCAATCTCTTTGTCGGCGATTAGAGGAATCGTTTCGAGACAATCGCTTGAATGTCATGGTCAATATATGGCCCAACTGTGTAGACATATGTGATAATGCCGAATTTCTTGATGTTCTTTAGGTTCTTGAGGTTGGGGAGGTAAAAGTTTAGGCTACATTTGTCGCTCTCATTTTGCGTTCATTTGATTTGTTTTGTTTTAATTGTCTCTGATTGCACAAAAGAGCGACGCCGACGGATGAATCATTCCGTATAAGTTGGAGATGCTGGGGATGCGTTTCCTGTTGTTGTAGTGCGAGCATATATACCACTCGCTTGTAAATGGAAAGTAACGCCCCCTCTCGACGCCCCTGCACCGATTGTTCGACTCTCTAATCAATTTTAGGTTCAGTTTTAGCTTTTGTTCATGCCTGGCTTTCATTGTAATGTGTGTGCATATCAAGTGCTTGCTGATATGGCTTTGGAAAAAGTGAAATAGCATTTGTTTTTGTTCAGACTGGGGGGAAATAGACCACCATACCCCCTCCCCCCATACATCTGCTTTATCACGTCACAATTATCTTGCGGCATTGTTGCAACTTTTGCGCTTTGTTTTCACTTCAAAAAAAACGCAGCAATAACAACGATGATTGAGCAGGCGGCACTTCTGGAGATACATGTGCATATAGGTTATATATTGCATATTATACATATATTCTATATTCGGTATGCCATATCTATTTGTGAAGAGACGAGAACAAAACAGCAAAACACAATAAACGAAAGTAATTCGCACCTTGGCCAGTGATTAGAGTGGTCTGAAGTGGCTCAAAGTCTTGGCTAATTTACTAAATCAAAACCGAACCAAGCTAATTCTATATCTGAATAATATACCAAACACACAAATTTTATGAGTTTAAAATGGATTTTGTAGTTGTCTAAATCGTATAATGAATCGTATTTTAGAGATTTGGATAAGTTCAAAGAAATGATTTTAAGAGAAGCTAAGTGGCGACATGTTCGCGACTTTTTCGCCGCATAAACGAAAGTTCTTTCCGTTCTGATCGCTGGGGGTCCAAATGGCAAAAGGTCAGCTGAGATCTTTGAGAGTCGGGTGTTTTTCTGAGCTGCGCCTGATAAGCCGTGCTATATGTATGATACCCCTCCCGTTTCTCCGCTTCTTGTTCATACGATCGGCGGACAATGGAAATTTAGCGGAATCTGCCCAATAACGGCGATGATAGGGACTATGCTAATGATCAGGGGGCGGACGACCGGGTGGGCGTGGTCAAGAGGTTACTAACAGGCTGATAACCGCTTTGATTTGGTTTCCGTCGCCTTTACTATATAGACGTCATAATTCCCATTTAATAAGGTTCTAAATTTAACTTAAGTTGTAGTTCCCCTGTGTTTTTATTTGTTACAAACAACGACTGTGCCTGATCATTATTGCTTCATCAGCGATTTTAAGTCCTTGTCGTAATAATTAAATAAAATAATATATTTCATTGATGCACAAAAGTTAAGATATTTCTAGAAAATGAAAAGCAGTTATAAAATACTTCTACAACGCTTATTTTTTGATGATTAAATATGTATAAATAATTTCATTTGATTTTGAAAAACATGAGCTCCCCCGGGCATGTGATTGTACAGTTCCAAATGTATATATAGAAACCACTCTGTTTTGGTTGTTTTTTTTTAGCAGGTTCAATGTATTTTGTATTTGAGCTCCGTTGATAAGCAGGGCAGACACACTAGCAGCAACAACTTTGGAAGCACAACAGCAACATCCTCTTCATCACGTGTTTTTAATGTTTTAAAGCTGACCTACGACTAGCCTCTAATTGCCACCGAATCCCTCTCGTTCTCGTTCTCATTTCAGTTGGCGCAACATGAGCCACTGGCTTTAGGGGGCATATCCAGCAGCAGCAGCAGCAGCAGGTGCAGCAGGTGCGGCATCCAGCACTCCCAGGTCAAGGTTCATTCGGTAACCGGAGCAATAAGCCCAGGGCGATACCAACAACATGGTTCACGGACCGCCGGCACGCAGAAAATCCCAGCAGCAGCAACAACAACATGAGGCCTGCGAAATGGATCTCGAGCGACAGCCCACTCCTCCGGATGGCGGATGGGGATGGGTGGTGGTCTTCGGCTCCTTCATGATACACATAGTCAGTAAGTGAAAGTGAATCTGTGGCAGTTGCCAGAGTAGAGTGGTAGAGACATGATTTTCGGGCGGTCTAAACTCTTCGATCAACATTGATCAACAGGCAATTAATTTATGAAATCGAACAACTATTACAGAAGTTATTAAGAAATATAGTTCAACACAGTCAATAACGTAAGCTCAAGAAGATAAATATGTCTTAACATCACATCCTTTTTCCCTTTTTCCCTTTGTTTAATGCTATTTTCAATCCTGTTAAAAAATTCCTTAAAATTACGAATTAGCAGAAAGATAAACATTTTATGAATAGGGTTTCCCCCAGTCGGTTTCCCCCACCGAAAATAAATGGGTCCCCCGTTTTGGGTTTCAATTAGGTCACGGAAGTGCTTCGCCGGAGGAGGACTTGACGAACTGGAGTTGGGTGCCTCTGAAATGCCAGCTTTTGCCACCTTTACGGCTGCCATAAATCAAACCCACCAGCCTTGGACTCACCCGGCAACCGGAGTGGCCAGGGAATTAAAGCATTTAGCTGTTTCATGGATTTTCGGGGATCGTAAATACTTTAAGCACTCTAATCGCTGCAAATCAGAGAGATTGAAATGGGGACTTATCGGCGAGGTCCAGTCATGACACTGATACCCGGCATACGGTTGCTGATTTACGAGAAGTGGAGTACAGTCGCCACTCGAGCCGTACAACCATCAATTGGATGATAATTGTGGCCAAGTGTGTGCCGATAATCTTATCGCCGCGTTGGCTGTAATTGCCCTGCCACGGAAATAGTTACCGATCGATCGGTGGGCCGGGGGCTGGGCAGACTGGTGGGGGAGCCTGATAAAATTGGGAGCCGTAATTAATTGCCCAACTAAACTGATTTATGGCCTGTCGAGGAGCCAGGCGATCGGTAACCAGTTTGATCGAACGGAATCCACTTTGGGCAGTGGATTGCAACTAAATGGCCTACTTTTAGGCGTCTTATTCTCATTCGCAGTACCTAATCTCAGATCTTTTGTCTTCCGCAGCCGATGGCATGACCTACTCCTTTGGCATCTTCTACAATGAGTTCCTGAAATACTTCAACGAGGGCAAAGGTTACACGGCCTGGATTGCCTCCATTATGGTGGGCGTGACCTTCTCTTCGGGTGAGTGCAATCTATGGAAATTTTAAAACGATGAAAAATTGACCCAAAAAAACTGAAACGCAGTTTTTTAGAGAATGAATCCACAATCATTTTAAAGTATGCCACTTTGAAATCGGATGTCCGTAACAAAAGTTTCGAAAATTTGGAAAGGGGTTACATTGCTTAAAATGATGAAAATTCGACCCAAAACCAAAAAAAAACTGGAAACACAGTTTTTTAGAGAATGAAACTACAATCATTTTAAAGTATGCCCCTTTGAAATCGGATGTCCATAACAAAAGTTATGGGCTAAGAAGTGCAGGTTTTAGGTTACTTTTCTGCAAGCCCATTTTTCGAAAATTTGGAAAGGGGTTACATTGCTTAAAATGATGAAAATTCGACCCAAAAAAACAAACTAAAGTGGAAACACAGTTTTTTAGAGAACTAAGCCACAATCATTTTAAAGTATGCCACTTTGAAATCGAATGTCCGTAACAAAAGTTATGGGCTAAGAAGTGCAGGTTTTAGGTCACTTTCTGCAATCCCATTTTTCGAAAATTTGGAAAGGGGTTACATTGCTTAAAATGATGAAAATTCGACCCAAAAACAAAAAAAAAACTGGAAACACAGTTTTTTAGAGAACTAAGCCACAATCATTTTAAAGTATGCCACTTTGAAATCGAATGTCCGTAACAAAAGTTATGGGCTAAGAAGTGCAGGTTTTAGGTCACTTTCTGCAATCCCATTTTTCGAAAATTTGGAAAGGGGTTACATTGCTTAAAATGATGAAAATTCGACCCAAAAACAAAAAAAAAACTGGAAACACAGTTTTTTAGAGAATGAAACCACAATCATTTTAAAGTATGCCACTTTGAAATCGAATGTCCGTAACAAAAGTTATGGGCTAAGAAGTGCAGGTTTTAGGTCACTTTTCTTCAAGCCCATTTTTCGAAAATTTGGAAAGGGGTTACATTGCTTAAAATGATGAAAAATCGACCCAAAAACAAAAAAAAAACTGGAAACACAGTTTTTCAGAGAATGAAACTACAATCATTTTAAAGTATGCCCCTTTGAAATAGGATGTCTGTAGGAATAGTTATGGCCTTAAAAGTGCAGGGTTTGCGTCATTTTTCGAAAATGTCGGCTTTCTTTCTAGTTAATTGTAACCTTTCTATCTTAACATTAATCCATAATCAGTTGCAGTATTTTATGATTTAATTTATTTTTGATTTGGTGTGTTGCAGGACCCATCAGTTCGTCCTTCGTGAATCGATATGGCTGTCGAGCGGTGACCATCGCGGGTGCCATCCTGGCCGCCAGCTGCATCATCGTGAGCATGTTCGCCCAGAACGTGCTCACGCTGATCATCACGATTGGCTTTGGCACGGGGCTGGGCTTCGGGCTGATCTACCTGCCGGCCATCGTGAGTGTGACGCAGTACTTCGAGGCGCGGAGATCCCTGGCCACGGGCATCGCGGTCTGCGGCTCCGGATTCGGCACCACCGTGTTTGCCCCGCTGACGGAGTACTTGATCGGCAGCTACGGGTGGCGCGGGGCGATGCTGATCATCGGCGGCATCGTGCTCAACTGCATCATCTTCGGGGCGATGTTCCGACCCCTGGAGCTGGAGGCGCCTCCAAAGACGCCGCCCAACACACCGAGCACTCCGAAGCTGGGCAAGAAGTCGGCCATCATCGACCAGAACACCACGCCGGCGGAGCTGGAGCCCCTGAAGATCCTGCCGAAGGATCAGTACCTGCAGCTGCCCCAGCGCACAGACACCCCGATTTCCGGAGGAGGAGGCCTCTGCCGATCCAATAGTGTGGGTCACAACCTCAAGCCCAGTTTGGTAAGAAAATTTTTAGAGTATGGTGGATTTGAAAGAACCTTCCCTTTAAATGAAAGTATTTTTTTGTTTTGTTTTTTGATTGTGAAATAATAACAAAATGGTAACAAAGATAGGTGCACCTAATTGGGGAACTTAAACAAATCAGAAACAATAAACAATAAAATTAGTCAAATATGTCAGCAGCACATAATAAATATAAATTATAGAAAATTATATAAATTGAGCCTAAAGATATGAGAGAAATTTAAGAAATGAAAGTATACTATTTAAGCGAACACTTTCTTGCTTGGCGTTTTAGTTGCGTTAATAAATAATTGGCAAAAGAAAATTTGATATAGTATGGCTAATAACTCCGTTGTACAAAATCTAAACAATTGCTTAAGAAATATTATTTGAAAGCTAAATAGTTTCACTTGGCCATGTTGCAAACCAATTTCGAAAGCAATTATCCATTTCCCTGATAGTAAGGTTGATGTACATCGTATTATTTTAAAATTTGATGTCATTTTTCTGTGGCCTTTCTGTAGCCCTTTTTGAAATCCACAAAACCGAAATCCGTTAAAAAAAGACTTCCAATCAAGGTCAAAAAGAAAGACAACACTGTGTATTTATGTTTGAACTTGTACAACAGAACAACAACTCGAATGGCGCTGTCAACGGACAGGCAGCCACCTTGGTGACCCCACCGCAGGCGGTGGCGAAGAGCACCAGCAACGACGACATCGCCCGCAAGTGCCACAGCCAGCTGCAGTTGACTCCTCTGCGGGATCTGCATCGGGAGCGGAGTGCCAGTGGCACCATGTACCGCCCGGATGCCCTCTACCAGGTGGGTGTACCCTCTAATCTCAAACTTGAATTTGAATTGCGCAACTAATTGGTGCATCTGTGTGTGTCCAGGGATCGCTGCACAACCTGCCCGACTACGTGAGTTCCAGGAACGATCTGAACCGCTCCATGTCCGGATCCGGGGTGATCAAGCGGTACGGATCACTCCGGCAGAGCAACAACGTGTCACAGAGTCAGGTGAGTTCCTAGGAGTAAATAATGTATATAATGTATATAATGTTTAGTACAAAACCTAAGGGGTGAAGTATAGTCAGATAAACTCTTGGTCAGTTTTTGAAGCAGACTTGTTACTGAAGATTGTCTTGTATGTGCAATCATTCTACTTGGTAAGCCTACTTAGGCCTAATTTTGAAGGCCTGTTTATATGACTCACCCTGTGTGTTCCAACATATCAAAGTTTAATCATTTTCCATTGGCAGATGTGTGGTAGTCAGCTTCTGTTATTTAGCATCCTTGTTGTTGTGTCAAAGTCGATCCTTTAAATTTTGCCATTCTTATTCAATGAAAATAAAAAATATATCCCTTGGGATTCCTTGAAAAAATAAATGTAATTTACTTTACAAGCTCAATTACAAGACTCACCGAGTATTCCAAATTATAAGTAATGAGTTGAAACAAAAGAGGATGCTTTGGTGAAATACAAACAATGTGTTAATCGGGTTTTGGGTTCTTGAACTAAATTATGGGAAGGGCCAAGCGTACAGACCCCAGGGATCGTTGTGGGGAATGTGTTTGGGAGTGAATATCGATCGCTTCTTGCGGTCGCAGTAGTCCATCAAGTGGTCGCGCAGCTCCAGTAGGATCCTCTTCAGCCAGCCCTGCCAGGTGGAGTCCGGCAGGGGGCATCCCACGGTGCGCTCCTGGTACTCGTCGAAGAGCATGGCCAGGAAGACGCCCACCTGCACCGAAAGGCAGATCTTGATGAGGAAAATGAGCACGGAGATGGGCCGCAGGTGCCACTGGATCGAGAGAAGGATCTGCTTCCAAAAGGGCAATGCTCGATTCTCCTCATTTTCCGGGCGCACCAAGTCCATATTTGCTTTTATGGTTGATCAACAATTAAATGGGTATATCGAGTGAAACGTTGTTTGTTATATTTGAGCTGATTTGAAATTCACTTCTACTTAGGTTAACAAAAAAAAAAACTAAAACAGAAAGATAGTAATATCAAGGAGTAGTGATCTAGATCTAGAACTGCGACAAATAGCTCGTCCAGATCCAGCGGATCAGTTTGTAAAGCAGGAAGAGGCGGAACAACCGGTAGAGAAGCACCTTGCTGAAATAGTTTTAATTTATAGTTTTCAATTGGTCGAAGGAGAGAGTACTGGGCACTCACATCCTTAAGATTATCTTGGTGCGCGCCATTGTTTTGGGATCTTCGCGGAGCAAGTGCGTTCGAATGCTGAGGAGCATGTTCCCGCAGGACTGGATCACCAGACCATGGATATCCGGATGCTTGAAGGCGTCCAGATTGAACGGAGTGCTGGAATGAACAGGGTTGAGGGCCAACGAACTTCCCAAAACGATGCCCCACCTACCCGGCGTTCTCCTCGCAAAGCGAATCCATGTCCGTGATCCCGGGACTGTCGTAGTTGTTGAACATGAACGGCTGCATCACCTCCAGCGTCTGGTAGGCCTTCCTAACCGCACTCATCAGCAGTGGCTTCCGCCCGAAGATCCGCAGCAGCAGATCGATGATCGCGGCGGGGAGGATCTGCTTGGTGAAGACGAGGAGCTGGTAGACCCAGCGCCTGTCCGTGTAGTGGCAGCCCGGTATCATCAGGCTCTTCCCGAAGGCCACGTCCCGCCACAGGTCCAGTGTGTCCATCTGCTCGGCGATCTGGGTGAAGGTGTGCGGCACGTGGGTGCAGGATGAGGACAGGTAGACCGGCAGCTCCGGCGGAGGACCTCGCTGGTAGGCCTCCGATCCCCGCTTCGTGTAGCACAGCATGCTCTTGATCCCGATGTCCTGCGGCGTGATGTCCAGCCGGATGTCCTTGCCCAGGTAGACGGTCTTCAGGATCCCAGCGCCCACCAAGGCGAACAGTCCCATGGCGCCCATCAGTGAGGGCGAAAAGCCGGGCGAGGGATCGTCCACCGCGAAGAGAACTAGAAGGTTCCTGATCAGTCAGGGGCACATATGTATACCATGGAGAAGCCTTGATTACCTATGGACGGACGGTACACTATCAGCGGCAGCCGATGGCGGTAATCATTCACCAGGGACTCGGCCAGATTTTTGGTGAACGTGTACGTGTTGGGAAAGCCCACGATCAACCTGCGATGGCCAAACGAAAACGCATTATATGGCATCCAGTAAAAGTACAAATCAATAGCTTTGCAGAGAAATCGATGAATATAGCTGATATGAAATTCAAGAGCCCATTTCCGACTTACTTCCTGGTAAGGGCATTAAGCATCCCATCGTCGGGGACTTCCTCCAGCAGTCGAAGGCACAATCGCCAGTCCATCGGCGAGGAGTAGTACTGCAAGGATCAGAGTCACGGAGTCACAGAGTCAGGGACACAGAAGAAGACCCAACCCACAACGCACCTTGGGCTCCACCCGCTTCAAGTAGGGATTGCTGTAGAAGGTGGACACGTGGACGAAGGCCCTGAGATTGGGCAGACCCTCGGCGAACTTGAGGGCTTCCAGGGTGCCGCCGACATTCAGGCGGAGAGCCACCCGGAGTGGTTCGTCGAAGCGCACCGTGGCAGCACAGTGGTAGACCAGGGACACGCCCCTCATGCGCTCCCTCATCGCGGGATCGATGCCCAGTCCGGGCAGGGAGACGTCTCCCGGCACCGCCACCACCTTGTCCAGCTCCTGCGGCTTCTCCACGGCCAGCACATGGAAGACGGTGGCCTGGCGCAGCCGGAGGAGCCTCTGCTCGGCCGTCAGCTGCTTGCGAGGACGCAGGAGGATGTAGATGCGGCGGACGTTGCAGGAGCGCAGCAGCTTCTCGATCAGCGCCTTGCCCACCACACCCGATCCCCCGGTCACGAAGATCTCGCTGTCCTCGAAGAACTCCTCCACTCCCATTGTCCGGTGATTCGCCAACCAGAGCCCACAGAGCACTGCGCTTGGTCAACCCGAATCCGGCGGTCAATCGGCTTAGCCGACCAGCCAATCCACGCATAGCAATGAACGTTGTAATTTGAATAACATGAGCTCAATTACATTCCCATGCTAATTTCGGACTCAATAGCACTGGGGAGTCGTTGCCAAAGCAAGGTTAACAGTGACCCCAACTTACATTGGGGTCACCACGCAGTCTTTCTTACTCTTTCCTTTACGAACTTACTAGGATTCTCTTTTCACAGATGTTCAAAGAGGAAATATTAAGTAATAAATGTAGTTTTTAATAGGGATTTTCATTAGGAGCAATGTAAATTGGGGTCACCACGCAGTCTCTTACTCTTACTCTTTCCTTTACAAACTTACTAGGATTCTCTTTTCACAGATGTTCAAAGAGGAAATATTAAGTAATAAATGTAGTTTTTAATAGGGATTTTCATTAGGAGCAAAGTAAATTCTAGTATACATTCCAAATAAAGGGTTATTAAACCACTTTCCCCTTTGCAGGAGGAGACCAAGTGCTGCGGCTGCATCACGTGCTCCAAGGAGACCCGCGACACGTTCGCCGAGATGATGAACTTCTCGCTGCTGAAGGACATGGTCTTCGTGATCTTCTCCGTGTCCAATTTCTGCACGAGCATCGGCTTCAACGTCCCGTACCTCTATGTGGCCGCCTATGCGGATGCCTTGGACCTTTCCAATTCGCAGGCCAGCTACCTGATCTCCACCATTGGGGTGGCCAACACGGTGGGCCGCATAGTCCTAGGTTACATAGCGGACAAGCCGTGGGTGAACCGCCTGCTGGTCTACAACGTCTGCCTCACCGCCTGCGGAGTGTGTGAGTATATGGATGATTACTTGGCCCCACTCATGCTCTAATCGAATTCTATCCTGGCCAACTAGCCACTGCCATGGTGCCGCTGTGCCATGACTTCCAATCGCTGGCCTTCTACTGCATCGTGTTCGGCTTCACGATCGGTGCCTACGTGGGTCTCACCTCGGTCATCCTGGTGGATCTGCTGGGACTGGACAAGCTGACCAATGCCTTCGGCCTGCTGCTGCTCTTCCAGGGCATCGCCAGCTTCATTGGTCCGCCCATCGGAGGTGAGTCCCCCCCTAAGTTCTAGTTTACAAGATAAAAATATCAGAATATGAACTTTGTAAAGATTTTGAAAAGAAATCATTTGATTGAAACGTATGATGATTTTCCACGTCTCTTACTTGAGTAACTTGAGTATCAAGTACCAAGTTGGGTCACTTGTTATATGTATGTACTATATGTTTGACCTCTCCTGCACAGGTTCGTTGTACGATCTGACCAACTCGTATGCGCCGGCCTTCATGATGGCTGGACTCATGATCGCCATCAGTGGACTGGTGATGTTCGCCATTCCGCCGTTGCAGCGACTCCAGGCCCAGAAATCGGAGCAGAAGCACCACACCGAGCACCTAGCCCTAAGTTAGTGAACCCACTCCATCTTCCACCACCCCCCACCCCCTCCCCTTGTTTCTGTTTATTATTCCTCTTTTTTTTTTTGTTTTTTTCTATTGTAACTATAAATCTAGATATATACTGATGCACACGACACTTGGTTAGATTAAGACATGTATGTATGAGTGGATGCCATAGCTAGAGCATATCCGATTATTTATGTATAGGCAACTACCCCAACTGACCCATGACCCCTGACCCCTGACCTGTGCCCCTGACCCAAAACTCCATCCCCATGAAAACCTTCATTGCAAATGGATGCAAATGTATACCTATATGTACGTATATCCATATACAAATGTACTAGAGAAATTATTGTTATTCTATTATGAATGTATGCCTGTGCGTGTGTCTGTCGGTCTATACGCCATTAAAGAAAGCTTTTGTACAACAACCCAGCACCACGGAAAGTCTATTTGGAATCGATTATCTAAAAACCACATGTGGCCTAAAAACTGAGGAATGTGACAAGTGAAAACAAGTAAGTCAAGGGAGGTTTTTAGGACGATGCAATTCTGACAATCTCTACAGTTTAACATTAACTCTACACAAGCCTTTATACCCAAATTTAATAGTTCTGCAAATCTAGATAACAAATAATAAATGTATCTTTGCACCCTCAATTTGCAAAGGCTTATCGCTTGTGTGCAGTATAGATAATGTTCAGTTGACTTGTGGCTCTCGACAAGAGATCGCTAGATACTATAATGCCAGCCAAAATATTTGCAAAAACAAATGAGAGCCCAGAATTTGAATAGCCACAATTTTCAACTTGTTGGTCAATCGCAGACCGGCGATCTTTGCGGCTGGTTGGCTCCTCATATTTATTGTCTTGCCTGCAGAGGCGTTCCCGAGAAGGGGTCTTACCCATCGGTCCCATGACGCATTCCAAATACTGCCTAGATAAAGAGACATAGTTCGGTGTTTATTGGTTTCCTTAAGTGATTACGAATAAAATAGCAACAGGGGGTCAGCAAAGGTGCCCCAAAAAGCACGCATTCCGTCACAAAAATACACTCAGTCATTCATACACACAAAAAAAAAAGAAGGTTATTCACAATTTCAGGAGGAGATCTCCATATCGATCTCACTGAATCTCCCCGGTGATCAGCTTCTTCAGGGTGCACTCCCCGGCGCCCAGCTTGTGGAGAATGGCCAGGACCTCCTCGCGGTAGCGGTCCATGTGGCCCATCTCCTCCGGCGTGTACTCCTCGCGATCGAACCGCGTCATCCGCCAGATGACGTTCAACTTGGCCTCGATGAGCACGTAGTTGGAGGAGGGGCAGAAGCGCGGACACAGCTCGTTGATGAAGTGGATCATGTCCTGGACGCTGCACGAGTTGATCCGGTTGTTGATGGTGTTCAGTGCGAAGTCCTGGTACTTGGCCATCTTCGCGTGCGGGAACACGTTCTCGCAGGTGATGCACCTCCAGTCGGGCTGCAGGGTTCGGGTCTGGACGGGAATCACCAGGCCACGGCAGCCCTGTTCCCGGCAGAAGAGCGCCGACAGGTAGGTTCCGTTCTCCTGCAAAGACACAATGGATCAGTGGGTGGAAGTGGAATGTGGAATCTGGAATGTGGAATCTGAAATCTGGACTTTGGAGAATTGCGGGCTCGAAAATATCGCGGATTCAATGTCCGCCTCTGTCAGTTCACGGCGTTCAGTTCATTCCACTTAAAATCGAAAACGAAATCGGAATAGGAATCGAAATCGAAATTAGCATTCGGTGTGTCATGCTCATGGAAGTTTTGGGAGGGGGGGGTTTGTTAGTAGAACCCGAAAACTTTGCTCCCCTCACAATTGAAAGTGAAAGGAACGGCGAACTATAAATACCTTTAAAGTGCTTTTTTATGGCAAATAGGAGAGGGAAATATAGAGCAGAAATTCTTGAAGTAAAAATAGTATTGTTTTACTGCAACAAAGGGTATGTAATTGATAGACATTGTAGTGCGTTTATTACTTTTCCAAATAAGTGTCCCTTTAATAGGACGTGGCTCAAACATTTTCCATAATCCACCAGAGAACCCCTATAACCACATTAAGAGCTGGAAGAGTACCATATTTTAGCCCCCCCTTTAGGCCTCCCCTTTGGGTGCGCCCCTGGCCCCCTGGTTGATGCAAATCATAGAACTAATTTAATTAGGGAACGCATTTGTGTCAGGTGGCCAGAGGCCATTATTCAACTCATCCCAGAGCGACCGAAGAGCGCCACATAAATAGATATGGCCGGATATGTGGATCGTATACATATATACCTCTACACACCCGCCGTTTCAGAGCGTCGTTGACATCGACGTTGGCCAAGAAATTTCGTTGAAATTCAAGTGAAATGCTTTTCAAATTTCAATAATTGCTTCTTGTTTTGGGGCCGACAGATTGCGAGGCTCTCACGGTTATTTTTTCTTTAAGGTGAGGAGTATACACATGCCCATAGTTAGACAACAATTTGGGATTTACTTTCCCCCAATGGAAGGAAAATTCTATTAGAAGAGATATCATATCTCTTTCTATATTTAAGGCCAACTAATATTAATTCCTTCTTCACTAAATACTAATGGAAAAAACACAAACTTAAAGATACGAGAAAAGCTAAAAGCAAAATATCTATTATATTTCATCAATAGTTTTTTAAAAGTATCTGTTTCACTTCGCTATTATCACTCCATAAAAGCTTTTCGCAAAAAGGGTTACAAACGAGTTTAGTTTGTCAAGTCTTTGGCAAAAATGTATAAATATATTTAACTAAAGCTCGTACTAAAAATATTTATTGAGATCGTTACTCAGTAAAATTAGAATTCAAAATGTAGAGCCCATCAAAGCTCTGCTGCAAATATTAGCAAGCAGCTATTATTTAGTAATTGGGGTCAAAGTAATGATAATACGAAAATAACGAAGAGTTTATTTGTAATTAATGATCTTAAGGATCATAAATGTGGATTATTATTAAGTGTGTCATTGAAGGTACAACTGAAAAAAAATGTATTTGAAAGCATATGTAGAAAGATAAAGAAGTTTCTTGTAGATTTCGATAAGTTGTTGGTTTGTTTTGTTTCTAGTTGGTGAAGAAAAGCCTTGCAAAGCAATTAAGCAGGGGAAAACTGAGGATGTAGGTTTGACCCCAAAGATAATCCCATAGGTAATCCCATAGGTAATCCTATAGGTAATCCCATAAGTAATCCCATAGATAATCCAATAGGTAATCCCATAGGTAATCCTATGTCCCAGCATCCGAGGTGCCTACTCACAGTGTTGTCGTGGCAGCGGACGCAGTCGCAGGCGAAGTGCTTGGTCATCTTGAGGAAGATGTTGCGGGTGAGGTTGCCCCAGAGGATCTTGGTGTAGGTGGTGGTGATCTCGCCGCCCCGGGGAATGTCCCGCGCCGCCCGCACCACCGCCAGGCGTCCGTTCTCGAAGTAGTGGCTGGCATTCGGGGTGCACTCGTGGTTCATGATCGCCGTGAGGGGGAAGAGGCCCCGGAGGAGCGTCTCGTGGCCGCCGGAGCGGCAGGGTGCCTCGAAGGCGTTCGTGTTCAGCACGCCCACGATCCGGAATAGCTGGTCCATGAACTCCCGATCGGTGGTGGGGAAGTTGCGGAAGCACTGCGCCGCCTTGATGATCTCCCGCCGGTAGGCCCGCTCCGCATTCGCCTGCATGGCGTCCACCAGGTGGCGCTGCTCCTTGCCCAGGTGGAACACCCGCACCGCGGTGAGGATCCTCAGCGAGAGGGGGTTCACCTGCTCCTGCTCCGCGTCCACGTCCATGGGCTGCCAGCGGCGGAAGTGCTCGCACTCCGCCTGGTGCTCCTCCGAGTCCGCGCAGGTGCCGCACACGGGCAGGGTGCAGCGGTGCCGGCAGAGGAACCCCTTCTGCGGCAGCGTCTCGTGGCAGCAGATGCAGCTGCTCAGCTGCCCCTTCCTGGCCGTCGGCCCCGTGACCAGGGCGCGCTCCTGGAAGATCAGCTCGCCGGCGGCGATGTCCCTGGTGGCGAACACCCCGCGCCCGGCCACCTTGGAGGAGCTGATGGTCCAGTTGGGCTGCTCCTGCCGCAGGTCACCCAAATGGGCGTCTATCAGCTGGGCCAGCTGCTCGGGCGTCGTGTCGCGACAGGGGGCCATGTGGGCGTCCAGGGCGGCCAGGGTGGTGTCTCCTCCTCCTCCTCCTTTGCGGGGGGAGGGGCACTTGGGTGGATCCGCATCCGGATCGGACATGGCGACTGCGATGGACGGGAGACGGACGGAACTGCGGCGAACCAACGCGACGCGCGGCAACTCAGCGAGTGAAGATGTCTCCGCGCAGCCGAGCGGTCTGTGCGGCAAAAGCTGCGATGTGGCGACAGCGACGACAGCAGCAACATGAGCAGCAGCAGCAGCAACAGCAGCAACAGCAGCAGCAGCAACACCCAGCACAACAGCAACAGCAGCAACAACTGACTGCTGACAGTGGAACAAACCCACCAAAGCAGCGACGCTTATGACGTGGACACGCCGACGCCCTCGGAGAGCATTAGACACAACTAAAAAAAACACAAATTAGAGGCAGCCGCCAGGGGGAAAGGGGGCCAGGGGGCCAAGGGGGAGGTGCAAGAGGGATTGGGGGGCACCACGACAACGACAACAGTCAAATATGATTTTGTCCAAGGCACACGCACACTGAAAACACACACTCGCCGCAGTGTTCCCATTTTCGAAATGGAAAAAGGCATTTTCGAAATCGCAAAAGACATTTCTCCCGATGAAGAGACTTTAGTTAACAAAATAATGTGCTACTGCCAAAACAAATAATATTTAAACGTTTGATGCTTTTTAGAAATTACTATTCATAGAAACAGATTTCCTTCTTTGGAATAATAGGATGTTTGCATAGGAGAAAAACATTTGTTTGAACATAAAATGCTTTTAAATTTAGGATTGGAAAATAAGTGGTAGTAAGATTGGCTTTTTATGAGGTACAATCATTTTAAAATCAGAAATAAAATTACAGGACTTCGTTTAAGTACAAATATTACCTAATTTAATAATAACAAGTATTTCAAATAAGAAATTGTCGCAAAAATAAGCACAATTCTATCTTCCTTTCAACCATGGTTTTACTAATACCAAGCTCAGAATTATTGAATTTATTTGAAATTAGCAATTTCGAAACGATTCTGAAATCGGGAACTTCGGGCGACTTGGAGTGCGCCACTGGGAAATAGAGACATTTGGCTGGGACGACGCAAAGCGGATTTTGCTTTTGACTCTTATTCAATTTGTGCTTGAGCTGTTGTTGTTGTGCGGTTGTTGCTGCCGCCGCTGTGGTTGCTATTGTTGCATTCAATTGGATTCGCCAGTGGGTGGGTATCGGAGGTGGGAGGTGGGAGGTGGGCGGTGGGCGGACCGAGAGCGGGTGGAAAGAAAGAGCATTGATGCAGCCATCAGCCATCAAAGAGCATTTCCCGCTGTCAATTTGTTCGCCAAACACCTTGGCGTGGCTACCTCCTGCTCCCCCTCCTCCTCCTCCTTCTCATCCCCCTGCTTGCGGTTGGTTATGGATGCCATAAAGTGAAGCCATAGCAGCACCACCCGCAACCCATCCACATCCACATACCCATCCGATTGCTTCCGGCGCCACCCTGCGGCAATCTGAGCAGCTGGAAAAATTATTTGCGGAGATGCAGCGCCACTGATACAAGGCGTGTTTGTCTCACACGCTTATACACTGCACAAAAAACATTTATGCAATATATTTAGGCCCTTTTGAGTCCCCTAAAACTGAGATTTCAAAACGCAAAGCTTTTGGTCTTACACAACATTTATGCTTGCCATAAATTATTTGTTTTGGCAACCATTTTCTAGGATACAATTTTTAACATTGATGAACATTTTTGAACTACAACACTCTGGAGAATTGATTTCTAGATTGTTTATTAACAATCAATACTCTTAGCAATAGCTGCTTTTGAAATATAACCGATAAAGAGCTTTGGAAAACCTTATTTTAATGTTGATGATCAGTAATTTGATATCCCTAGATGGTATTTTTCAGAATTATTGTTCATCCCAAAATAGTAATATGAGTATGTTAAACTCTTACTATTAGTTTCCCTAGAATAGAAGTAGTGTGTAATTGCAGTGTTCCACTGTATGTGGCAGTGCGTGTGGCCGGGACATAAATTAAGACACCGCCGACCAAGGAGTTGCGTGTTTCAGGGACAACTGGCACAGGGACACCAGCCAACGACACGTGACCAGGTGGGGATTTTGGATTGGGGCTTGGGGAACCGTGTTCCACTCCCCACCTGTTCACTTTATGCCGCGACTGTCACGCATTGTCACATGTCCTGCGAGGAGGGGGATCGTCCTGCCACGCCCCAAGTCCTGCAGACATACGTAAATCAGTTGCAAACTTAGGCGACTCTCGCGTTTTTCCACGCACAATGAAGCAACTATTTAGTTTTCCACTTAAAATCTATTTTCACTTTCAGGATTCAGGCCAATAGGCCCCAATCCAATCGATTGGTATCCCCAGCTAACAATTTGAAAATT